ATGAGTAAAAAGCTAACCTATGTTACCGCAGCCGATAATTATGCCTGGTTTTTTAACTACAACTGGTTCTGGCACCAATGGTCGACCTTTAATGGTGACGATGGCTCTCATTCCAAACGCTCTCTAGCGGAGAGAGATGATGATCCGATCAGCCCCGATGATTCTGAAGATGCTAAGAGTGAAGGCAATCTTAATGTGACGGAAGCCAGTCTGCCTATCAATGTCCACTTGGAAGGCGTCGATGAACATGGAACACCGCTCGCTACATTCGACTATGTTGGCGAGGATTACGATGATTTTATTGTTGAGTCTAAAGAATCTTTTATTGCACCTAACTCAGATTGTGTATTATCGTAAGTCGAGTGGCAACCTTTACACAAAAATACCTTGCTAACTGATTTCGAAGCGCCGAGTGCAATCTCGCTGATGGGTTTGCCATCAATGCTGCTTGTACGTGCACATGCGACGGACAGCCAGCAGCTCTAAGAGACCCGCGATGCGCAGGATTTTCTGGTGCTTTACCTGATTCTCCGAGCGTGGACCCAGGAGATGGTTCCTAATTTCCTGTAACCGTCGCCTAACACCGCTTTCTTTACATTACCTCTTCCTTTCTGTGTTTGTGTACCTTTGACTATTGTGGGGTTACTGGTCTCAGAATGTAGTTTGAACATGTTTATTATTCTTGTAGTTTGTTACCTGACGGAGTAGAGACTGGTGTATAACTATCTAGAAACAAATCACGAAGGTGTAGAGTCTTAGAGATTATCATACCGATTTGCAATTATATCAATTGTCTATTTTCAAGAACTATTACCCCAACCTCCTATTCCTGAAACATGATATGCCAGTACAAAGAACACTTAATTAGTAGAGATATAAATACTTCGTTATTACACACAATCATTAGAAGGAACATGTGAAGTTGAGATTACTATCGTCCACATTCTATTCTAAGCAGCCAGTGAGAAGGGGGCCCATTTCGCCACTGTCGAGTTGAATGTGCAGACTAATAAACTTGCAGCGTTTTGACTTTAAGCAAGATATATTTGCGATTTCTGCTGGAAAGTATTATGGATAGTGAAGCAAGGCTAGTTAAATACAGCGTAGAAGGCCCTGACTATTATTCCATAAAGCCCCTGCATTCCTCAAGCATCGTGGAGTTTGCAAATGTTTCAGTTGCTTAATTGTCGTGACCATCTCATTAAAAACTATAATACATATACAACCCGTGCTTGAAAATTATGGCCTAGAATAATAGCTTTAGTTTATTAGACAATTATATACGTGCCCCATCGGAATGCTAGCATCAAGCAACTTTAGTGGGATGGAAGTTAATGATAGTCGTGGCCGTATCCGGCCATCTCCAATCTATACGACAATAGAATACGATAATGTCTGCAAACAGAATCAAGGCTGCCTTGACGATCCAGGCAGTTCATTTGAGCGAATTTTCACGCACATAACTATATTCGAGGCGGGCTATTGTTCTCATCCAAGGATAAATGTTGTCGGCACAAAGGCTTGAGCTATTAACATCTTTCACTATCTCATATTCCAACATCTTTCTCACATGCAAATAGGCACCAATTCAAAAGTAACGATAAAGGAGTGTCGTAGCAGAAACAGAGCTCGGGGTGCACTTTTGACTGCTACAGTCGAATTGGAATGCTGCGCCTACTCAATACCCAAGCTATAATGCAAAGATGTTTCCACCAACTGATTTACTAAGTTCACCAGACACCCATTGATTAATCTGAAAACAATAATAACATTCCCCTCCTTCAATTTCGTCGATTCCCACCCCGATCCTTTGTGTAATATGACAGATGGTTTCGTGTATTATTCCTCAACTTCAAGTCCCTGACTTACCGCATCCGGACAAAGACCATACAACAAGCTCCATTGTCATCAGCTACGCACCTTTCTTATTACCTTTCTCCCTTTCTCCCTTATAATATCCTTTTCTCACTAGCAATTGCCACCCATCATTATTGAATTTACAACATCTTTTACAATAAGTTTGCAACTGAAATGCCGCCGAAGAACAACAAAAAAGGAGCAGGCAAGGAAAAGGGCAGTGGCCACTCCTCAGCCGTCACATCCCCCACGCCCTCCGAAAACGAATCACAATCACAATTCCAACTCCCCATCCCAGCACCAGTCTTCTCCGATGCCAGCACAACAGATCTCACTATCAGTACATCATCTCCACCAGCTGCAACTCCACCCTACACTTCCAAACGACCACCAACACCTACACTAACAACCCTTGAATCCATGATTCCTATCATATCCACCCCCCGCACCTCCACCAAAATCTCCCTTCCGCGCCCGAAACGGCAGTAAAGGAAAACTAAACAAAGAAAAACCACCAACCGCTCCTATACCCATCTCCACTAATCTCTCTCCACCTACAAGTACACCTACAGGAAGCAAAGGCAAGCTAATCAAAGAACACCGACTCTCTGTACCCATGACCCCTGAAAAAAGCTCATTGGGAGAATTCGTCTTCGCACCTCTGGGCGATGGAGAGTTAAGGCCGAAACCGTTGAAATTCGGCAATGGTGCCGACAAGAAGGATTTGACTCCTAGAGTTGGAGCTGAAGGCGCTGGAAAGAATATGTTTTCTAATTCCTTTACGGGGATGACGGCGGGGCGACTGGGTGATGATTTCGCGCCGCAGGAGCCGTTGCGGGTTTTTATGGCGAGTGGGGATAAAGACAAAGAGGGAAAGAAGGATGAAGAAGAGAAAAAAGGTAGGGAGCCCCAAGTGAATGAGTTTGTATGATGTAGTATTTAATAGCAGTAGAAAACGCTCTACGGAAAGATTCCTCCGCAAGTCACACAGGACGGATTTCCAGATTCATCGAGCCCACATACCCTCGCACAACGGTTGTGCATGGCACACCCCAGATAGCGCATGCAACAGCCTCCGATACCATTCGACCACGCACGCCAGCTGATGAGCGTCAGAGGCGATATGAAGAGGATTATAAGATCCAGAGTGCGGCTGTTGAGGAAGGTGCTGGTGGAGGAGATAGTGATGAGGATGGTAATGATAATGGAGGTGGGGATGGAAGCCGACGTATATCCTCAGACCGTTTTGAAATTGGTCAAGCTTTCAAGCCCATCTATCTCGATCAACCAAGCGCAGAAACAGAGCCACCAATTTTCAACCTCACTCAACCCGAAGGCCTAGAACCGCGTAAGCCATCCCCCGAACGACGGCGGCATAATGAGGAGAAGGAAGCTCCCGAGGAAGAAGAGAGGAAGAGAAAAAAGAAGACACTCCACGATGTTTTATTTGAAGAGCTCTTCCCAGAAGCCACCGAAAGGAGATATCTTGATCCAGATGGTAGAGTTGCTGAATCCATTTCTAACGCTCCTATTTTGGGCAACAGGTCTCCACCGCGTGAGAAGAGAAAGGCAAAAAGGGAACGCCTAGCGATGGAATTCGAGGAGGAAAAGCAAGATGCTCGAGACCGGGGGCTCGATCCGGATACGCTTCTTGCGAAACCAACGAACGTATCCAATCTTGTAGCTTATCCGATCGTAAGCTCACGCCATTCCGTGTGCATAGTATATACTAATGTTCTTAGGAAACCAAAGCTCAGGAAAAGTTCCGCGACTATGCCAATGAAGATGACAACACAGATAAAGAATGGGTCAAGCTTGCCTTGGCAGCTCTTGACGCCGCGGACAGCGCTCAGCTAGATCTCGTTGGGAGAAACTTGGGGCTCGAGGACGCTTATGACAAACAGCAGAAAGCTATGGCACCTGTTCTCGAGGCGTTGATGTCAGAAAAGGCAGTGCATGATGAGGAAATAGAAAAGTTAGAAGCAAAAATCAAGAGTTTGAGAAAAGGGGGGGCCAAGGGTCGACGATCGAGCGACAAGTTGCCGGAGGAAGAAGTGTACGAGGTCGACGTATTGAGGATGGATAAGGCGAGACTTCTGAACCGGATCGGGGCTTTAGAGAAGCAAATTGCGGACGAAGTGAAGCAGGCGAAGAGAGAAGAGGAGGGGTTTGGGGAGGCCGAGGAATTACAGGAGCAGTTGGCTAAAGCACAGCGTGAACATATTGCTGCTGAGAATAAGTTTCGCAAGGAGAAAAATGGTTTGAATAGAAAGATATTGGGGCTAGAAGAAGATCTAGGGCGGATGGAGAAGGTATTGGAAGATATCGAGGATGAGAAGAGCGAAGAAAGTAAGAGTTCTGCGTGTAAGACCGAGGCAGCTTTACTGACAGAGACAGGTCAACGATCAGATTCAGTGGCTACTGGAAACGGAAATTCAGCACACGACAGCATCAGCTTCGTGATCCTGCGTGTTGAAAATGCCCTCCGCACCATGGTGTACGAACGCACACTCTACGGCTTCCGAGACGGTGATACCAATGTTGCTCGCACAGCAGCAGCAGAAGCTAGTATACTAGCCGACCATCTCAAAGACGAAGCCCTGCAAGGCCGAGCGTACTTCTGGTTTGGCGTCGCGCTGTACTACGCCGGCGAAAGCAATCTGGCCTCAGATATTCTGGCGAAGGCGCAGGACTTCACGCATTGGCAGCATCCGTTGCGGGAGAAGAAGTGGTTGGCGAAGTGGGTTGATGCTGCGAATTCGAAGGAGGTTTGTAGACGGAAGGAGGACTATTGGAGTCCGGCGCTGTATGAGCATCTAAGGACTAGAGAACAGAAAAAGAAGGCGAAGAAAGGGAAGGGAAAGGACTCCGACAAGTGAGCGGCTAACTGTCATTAAGCACCGATAGAAAGGAAAAGACGAAAGATAACGACAATTTCAGTAGACTGATTGCGAAAGGGATGAAGGTATTTTAGGGGTATCTGGTTACATGTTAACGGAGTTTGGAGGGTATTTGTCTGGAGTAAAAGGGTGGATACTTGAATAACAATATTTTAAAATGTTCGAGGTTTAGATTTCCATCCTTCATTAGGCTCATTTACTTACTTAGGTATACACCGATCCCAAGCGCCAATCCATTTTGTATTACACTGATAATATACTGCTGAATGGAACATCCCAAAACCATCCCGCTACTGCTATCCCACCTAAACTCATGGTTAACGCCATTAGGAAGTTGACCTGGTTGTTATCAAGCAACCCGACGGAGCCACTCTCAACATATCGACTCGGTTTCTCATCCCTGATGGTCGGCTGCCGAATCTGGTTTTTTGTATCATATTTATCCGTAACTCCCATCCTCCCATTCAAAACTTTCTCCAAAGCTTCAGCCTCTTCGTTATTGGGATGTAACGGAACCGAGCCTTTTCCTTCTCCGCCCAGTAAGGCCGCCGTGACCTCTGCCTGTTTCTTGTAGTGCATACTATTGGGTCCAGCTTTCGAGACAAGAACTCTCTGTCCACCCTCACCTTCAACGACTCGCCCGCTTCTGGTATCAACCACGCTCTGTTGCAGCCAGCCTCCGAGGAAGCTATCGAGTACACTTCCAAGGGTACCCCATAATGCCATAGCCGTGCAGAAACGTTGGCGCGATCTGAAATTCCAACCCAGCGTTGGCGCACAGAAAGGTATCAAGGCCGTAGATGCTGTCACGATGACCAATGATCCCAAGAACCCTGCCATAATACCGTATGCTGTGACTCCGCCGTTTGTTCCCGGGGGCACCTCTCGTAAATTCCAGGATGTGATGAGGCGGGGTTTGGACTTCGATAGGATTCCGAGCTCTGAGCTGAATGTATCTGCTGCTACGGCGGCATAGTTTGCGACGATTCCCACCACCAAGAGGTCTCCTGGCAACGAATAACACGTCTCGTCGGCGCCAGTAGCGGGGTTGATGTCTTGTCCGCGTCGGTGGAGCTGGTAGGCGTGGAGAAGGGTAAGGACAGAGGCAACGGCGGAGTTGGCAAATACTGCAGATGTTAGAAAGAATGCGGGGCGTCATAAATTAGATGTTACCCTGAATATGGGTTCTGGCCCCTTCCCCACCAGAGCTTCCCGACGCGTTCATGGTCAATTTTGCCTTCTCATCGTGCTTTATCTGCAAGATTTCAGCATGTACAGTCCCCAGGCAGGCTTGGAAAAGGACCCCGTACCTTCGTAACTCTTGTGCCAGCCAGAAAGAAGACAATGAGCAGCGCAAAAGGCAAACTCCACGGATGTACGGCGTGGGCGATAGCTGTGAGAAGTGCTGCTACGATGCCTGCGGGAGTCAAAGATTTATGGGACCAGGAACGGCACAGCATGGCCACAATGACTGGTACTGCGATTATTGCCTTCATCTTGGAATTCTGAGTGCAAATGTTGAGGAGGAGAAGGTATTGCCAGGCTGGCTGGAAGAGATGTGGTAAGACATGGACTCGGGTCAGACAGAAAGCAAAGTCTCTTCGTCACTATACTGTACTCGCACAGATCGCCAAAACGCGACTGACTTTGGAAATGCGTGCAACATCAACAACTTTGGTTTTTCACGTGTAGGTTGGGTACAGTAATCGAAGTTGATTGCATTTGCATGAAAACGGGTCTTACAGTACTCGCGTTTCTTTTCTAAAGTCGACAGCCCCGCCTGAATTGGACCTATAATGTACTTTGTATACTCGCACCCCTCAGAGAGCTCAAATTCGACTACAATATTACATATTACAGGGCTTCTAAGAAGTCCAAATACAGTATACAACCCAGAAGTTTCACTGGAAAATTGCTTTATTGTATGGTTTCACGGATCTATACTCATGGTAGAGCTACCGCAGAGACGCTACGGTCTATTTATTTATCTATTTATTCCATTATTGTGCTGTCCGAGTCAAAGACTATGTGACACATTTGGGTACTTTCTGCACAGAACGCTACGGTCTATACTAGGATGAAGAGCCAGTTGGACTTATAGATCTTATCTACTTACGCCAAGTAGTGTTTCATTCTGTATCTTATATACCCCACTTCCAGAGCATATATACAATATGGAACACCAGGAATGCAGCAGGTGCGAGGGGGCTGTCAGCATTTGCGGGAAACATCCTCCTCGTTGGCTTTAGCTCGTTGCTTTTTGAATCGCGTCTGCGGGGAAGAGATTAATCATGATATTGATACCTCTTCAAGTCGGCTCTACTCTCGCTTTGATATCTCTCTATTCTGCCCAAGAAACCCGTACCTTCAATGCTTCTCAAGCCATTGAAAGCCAAAACCTCGAGAAATCGTACCCAGTACTTCAGAACGGCGCAAATCTGACCAATGGCCTATTTCCAATGCCACTATGCCGCGACTTCAAGCTGGAAGAAGCTTCGATCGATCAGAGGGGGGTGGTCTCGTGCCCAGTAGAATCACGTGGAAGTTCACCCCACCTTGATATCTCGATATATCGGTACAACAAATCCTCATCTTCCATTAAGTCTAAGTTTTCCAAAAATGACAGGAACAACGTCTTCAGGCCGAGCCAGCCTGCCAACAGCGGATTCAACTAAATCCTACTGGCATCGAGACCCCTCCAAGGTCCTTTTCGGTCATCGAACAACACCATCACTCCCCACAAAAGCCGATGTCGTGATTATTGGAAGCGGCATATCTGGAGCATCTGCCGCTCATTTCCTCCATGAAAATGACAAAGGCAAAGATCTTGATATTGTGATGTTAGAAGCCCGGGAGGCATGTTGGGGGGCAACGGGTCGAGTGAGTCAATTTTACACCACATCCTCAATCGGCTCTAACAAATGACAGAACGGAGGCCACTGTCAACCCCTATTATACAGCGCACTCCCTGAAGTTGGAGCCTTCGAGCTCCGCAATTACCAGACTCTCGAAGCCCTTATAAAGAAACACAACATCTCATGTGACTGGCGCGCCGTTTCGGGCTGCCACGCCTGCATGGACGCCGACATGTTCGCCGTTGGATTGAAACTAATTCGATCCCTTCAAGAAACCAGTCCAGAACTAGCAAAACTCGTCAAAGTCATAACGAAAGACTCCCAAAACCCATCACTATCAGATCTCCGCATCCCCAGCGCTGCAGGTGCATTCCTGCAAGCAAACGCTGCTTCTCTATGGCCCTACAAACTCGTTTCATGGATGCTAGAAACCCTCCTCTCTTCAAACAAGCAAGAAGTAGGGAATTTCAACCTTCAAACAAACACACCAGTCACACATCTCCAAAACATAGACGGGAAATCTTGGATTGTTCATACACCTCGCGGCATGATCGCTACAGACAGAGTACTACTAACAACAAACGCATATACATCACACCTCCTACCAAAATTCAGCGATCTGATCGTTCCAGTACGAGGAGAAATGAGCGCGCTTATACCGCCTCCCTCGATGAGCCCTGCGAGTTCTACGCATAAACCACTGGAGCATACTTATGTGTTCATTGGCCATGGGAAGCAGAATATCAACCAGGATGATTATCTAGTTCAACGGCCTTTTTCGGCAGAGAGTGTAAAGAACAACAGAGGAGGAGAGTTGATGTTTGGCGGCGGACGCTCGTATGCTGCTAATGCGGGATTGGGCGTCTCGGACGATTCATCTATCGATGACCCAGCAGCCGCTTATCTACGCCGCGAACTCAACGTGGTGCTAGATTTACAGAACAAAGATCATGAGCTCGAAGCAACTTGGGAATGGAGCGGTATCATGGGCTATAGTCGCGACGGTTATCCGTGGGTTGGGGAAGTCGGTGAGTATTTGGGCGGTGCGAAGGGATTGTTTGTTTGTGCGGGCTTCACGGGTCATGGGATGCCGAATACGTGTTTGAGCGCCAAGGCCGCGGTGGATATTATGCTTGGTGCGGAGGAGGTAGATATACCGGAGTGCTATAAGATAAGTAGAGAGAGGGTGGAGAGGGCGAGGGCGTTGGATGAGGTTGCTATTGCTGATGCCAAGGGGATTATGCTTTGAATGGGTTACTATCAGGAGCCGATGCTCTTACTTAGATAGCATCACTGGGACGATGCTTGGTAACCCAGGTTACGTACTCTGATCTCTCCTTCAGGGCTGTTTATCAGTCTTTGACTTCTGGACGTCTTATTCAAGCCGAAACTTCAAATATAGCCTCACTCGATTGCCTCTCTACCTAGCAGCAACTCTTTCCTGGTTTTTCGGATATAAAATATCCTTACCTCCAACATACGATATCACTAATAATCTTCATCCCCTCGTATTGTTGACAGCTCAGCTAGCTCACTTAGGCCAGCTGACAATATTAGACAACGGAAGATACATTGCAATATACAGTGGCTTTGTTGCATGTCACAGGTTTCCTCTACCCATCTGAAATAAAAACTTGCATGCATCAACAGTACGTAAAATTTCCTTGCTCCGTAACCTGCAGTGTTGTTGCACTTCGCATTGTTACCTCCGTTGTACTCCGAAAGCTGCTCTCATGGAGATTAGAATTTCGGCCGCAGATGCCGAAGGAAACATCGAACATGGCCTATGGGGTCCGAGCGGCAGTGATGGCGACATGCAACGAAAAAGAGTACCTTCGTACTACAGTAATCAATTCCCATCCAGCTACGGAGTACGCTCCGTAAGTCAATGCACTGTAAATCCGATGGGTCCGGATCATTCAGCCTTGCCCTGACGCTGTCAGATTACAGAGTATCACCCTCGCCGTCGGACGTGGCGAGGACTATCACTACATGACACTACTGCAATCGATCATAACTCCATGTATACAGAGTAACAGGTTGACGGGGTTTAATATTCGAAATGCAACAAAGTTCTGGAATAGGACAATGTTCTTGTAAAGATTTTTCTGTTGAATGTATCAAGATTCCCTATTTGGGTAAATGCTGCGGGGTATTATAAACTGCAGGACTACTACAACACGCTACAAATTTCATAACAGTCTTAATTGGTCGACGGATTTTCAGGTTCAAGGTGCAAGATAATGCCCACTAGGGTATCTAGTAGTTAAACAAACTTTCAATAGACCTACGGCATCTCGGGCTCCAGGCCTATGGCATCAAACCATAACTCCACGGAAGTACTAGAAGCCGGACGGACTTTAAAGTTCGAAATGCAACAGGATCCCAGAAAGGAAACCAATGATTACTTACTAGCATATCATGTGGTCGTAAAGCCAAAAAGAAATCCCTCCCCAATCCTTGGTGAACGCTGCAGGGTTAAACATTTCCTTTTATGGTGGTGTGTTTACGGAGCCAAATAGTATCACAACTCATCCTTGGCCTTCTTCACTCCCCCCTCTTTCCGAACCAATTGCTCCAACCTGAATTGCACCGTCACACTATTCCCAATCTCCGTCTTTCCCATAAGCGCTCCACTTGTCCTCTCTCCCCCAACTTCCATCCCATACCTGTTCAAATCCGCAAACGCGCCCCCACACTCCCCCACCTCCCCCACAAACAGCGGCAAGAACTCCCACACCACAGCCGGCGCGAAGAACGCAACCCCATCCTTCACATAAATCGACTTCTGATTCTTATTATAAGGATCCGTGACCCAATCCCTCACCTTGGCATTCAAATCCGCAAAATCGATCCTCAAGACCCGGAATCCTTCTTCACTCGCGGAGAAACCACCCGGATACGGCACCTCGTCGAAAAACGCATCGAGCTCCTTGGCAGCCCACCTCACGCCCGGATCTAGTTTCTCCGGCTCGTCCAGATTATCGATGGGGTAGCTTTCAAAGGACAGCTGGGCGGTCGTTGAGCAGACCGTTTTGAAGGCATCGGACCAGTGAGGCTGGGGTGGTGCACGCGCAGCTTCCATGCGGGCCTTGAAGGCTGCTGCTCCAGGGGACAGCGGCTTGCCATCTGTGCCTGTTGGGACTGGCCCATTGGAGGGGAGAGGCGGTGCGCTTCCTGCGTTGCCGTAGTCAATGGAGATTTTGACGTCTACAACGGCAAGGGCGAGGGGGATGGTGGTGAGGAGCGTTAGAAGTTTCATGGTTGAGGTTTGTATTTGTTGAAGGAAAAGAAAGGGGAGGTATGAGGTTGGTGTGAAGGAACAACGGCTGGCCTAATTCAGAGCAGACTAAAGGCTGCGAGACGGGGGAAGGAGGAGAGTCACGTGGTTGAGCTCGGTGCACTTGGGGGTTCGAGAGAAGTCTTGGAAAACACCGAGAAGCAATGATATATATACAAGAATGACTGTTTGTGGATAATGATGTCTCTAGGCAGCAAGTCTGTTGAATGCGAGTAAGTGAGAAGGACAGGCCACAAAAGGAAAATTTTGACAATTTACCTAGGCTAGCTGGGCTACGGTCCATTTTAAGCGATCAATGTGCTAATAGGGGATTGGCACGTGAACTTATTTTATAGATGCCTAAAGTTTTTAAAATTTTGGAAATAGCACAAATAAAAGTGAGTGGAAGTATACTCCGTATGGTTAGAGACCTTTTCCCTAGCCATCTTCAACAAAGTAGGGTATTTGACATAATCACGCTTAGCAACAAAATTTGAACCATATAACTACCTACTTACTACCTCCTTAATTGGACTAGAGTTATATAGGAGTGTTTCAATTGCTTCAACATACACTTGAGAAAGCGTTAGGACATTACTTTGCCATAACAAGCAAAAATAAAGGACTATCAAATTCCAAGAATGCCGAGTTCAAAACTCGAAATTCCACATAGAAAGGCTAAATTCTCAGGCAAAAGACTCAAGAGAAGAACCAACCCAAAATCTTCTCGTATCTAAACTTTCATCACACATTGTATCATCATACCAAAGTACCGAGACATACTCCATCATATAGAACCCCCGCTCCCACCACTCAACGCAACCTGCCGCCCACCAACTTCCCAAATGCAGCACGGCCCTCCCGTAACTTCCCAATCATCACACTAAGCCTCGCCCTCTCATCCCGTACTTCCACAGCCTCACCAGCAACGCTCAGTGCCTCCTCGTCCGCCATATCGCTGATGATAAGAGGCGAGAAGATATTTTCGAGGCTGCGGATAATGTGGCGCTCAATGACTTGGACGGTGATGACGTCGATGAAGACTTTTTGCTTGACCTGGGATGGAGGATGTTAGGTGGAAGTACGAGGAGGATTGAAGTGAGAATGAGGGTTGCTTACCTTGTAGAGAGACATGAGGGACATGAGGACTTCTTCGCTGGCGTATGACTCCATATCTACGTTGGATCTCTTCGAGAAGCTCGCCACTGCTTGGGAAATATCCACATTGGCATTCATAAACTTCTTGTTATAGCTGGTGGCATTTTCGATAGCTTCCGTAAGAAGCTTTTCCTGTTCTTCCCGATGTAACTTAGTGATAGTATCTGTGTAGTAGTGGTTGTAGTTTATTGGGTGATCTTCAAGATCCTCTTTGATCTTCGCAAGCTCTTCATCAGCAGCCTCCCTGCGGAGCTTCAGAGCATCTTCAATGATATCCCAAACCTGATCCTGCATATCTGATGGACACTCCGCTTTTAACAGATTCTTGAGGAAGTCAGCGCAGATACTGGCAACCCGCTCTACATGAGCTGCTGCAAACTTGTGCCACCTGGATGATTGCTCCCAGAAAAGCTCTCCAATAAGCAAAGGGTTAAAGTTTCCGACTAGTTCCTTTCCTCGTGTGGACTTCATCTTCATTTGAACCCACACTAGAGCATCTGCCTTGTTCATGGTTTCTGGAGCACGGGGCCATTGGAAGTCAAAGATGCTGTCTGGGTTCCCGCTCTTATTCTCACGATAGCTTCCTTCGCCATCCTCCAGACCCGTGCTAGTGCTATTGTTTTCTTCGTTCTCATAGTAACGATTATTTGAATCTGGTTCGTGAGTGGCCATATTAGCGATGTGATATTTGTGACCATGCTTCCTTATTGCAGTTTCAAACTCAATGTTCAAGGACTGAATAACAGCACGGATCCGTGGAGATATCGTTGTCTCATTCGAGGTGTATTCAACGCCTTGGTGAAAATACCCGCCCTCATAGTGCCCGTCGACGGCGGCCTTGCATGTTTGGTAGTATCTCATGCTCATTTCAGTTAGAAATGTCCTGCACTGTTGTGGCGTTGAACGAGACTTGCCCATTAGCTTCGATGTCTGCTCAAAGGTTTCCAGCTTTCCTTCCACCTCAGCCTTCAACTTCGGTAACTCGCGGCGAATATGCTCGAATAAAACCCGACTCAGACGCTTAATCAAGGCATCAATACCCAGATGGTCAGATGGTAAGATGTTGAAAACAGAACCAGAAATCCATTTCGCCTCTGACTCCTTGCGTTGTTCCAGGGTGTAATCACCTTCCGTATTCTCGCGGTTTTTGATAATGTGCCATCCAAGCTTTAGATGAATGTCTAAATTCTGTGCAAGCTCCAGGAAAGCCCGTTGTGAGCCTTCACCGTCAATGCGATCAGGCTTTGTGATGATACCCAATGTCCGATCGCCCTTGGGATCAACCTTCTTGACTTTCTCTAAGATTGTCTGGGTGGCATGATGACTCCCACCAGCCACTACAGCCAAACATATTGTGCGTGGTTCGGAGATATAGCGATCGGTAATGGCATCAACAAGAGCAACGTCTTCATCTGTAGCTCCTCCTGTAGCGGTGGCAATCAGGCCTGGAATATCGACCACCGTGAGCTGAGGTCGGTCAGGACCTTCTACCTCAATGCTAAGCACGTCTTCTGCGAAAATTCTGCCAGACTTTTGCAGCTTCTTGATACCCATCACACCCATCGCCTCCTCCATTACGCCTGGCAATTCACCGAAGCTCGCAATAGACTTCTCGAACGCAACAATCATAGCCTTTTCATCACCCGAGCGATTATCACCCGGAATTATTTTGATGGAAAGAGACTTTGTGTCGGCCTTGCGGATGTGAATGACCGTCGCATATCGGGTGCAAACATCATCATGTGTAGGGAAGGGCACTTCGGTCAGGGCTTCAAGGAGCGAGCTCTTGCCGGAAGATTGTTGACCACACACAACCATCTGGGGGAGGGAGATATCACCGGATAGGCCACATTTCCGTAGCTGTGTAATGAGGTCGAGGACGACTCGCTGATCTTTCGATTCCAGGTTTGAAAGGGACGTATTGAGAGCGATGTCTTGTACCGGGCCAGTTGGCGAGTCAATGGGGGTTATAGACCCGCTAGGTAAGCTCGAAGACTCCCGTGGAGACACGGAATCAGCCATTTCCTTTGATAAAGGTTTCAAGAGTGGCGAGATGAATTGTAAGTTTGTATGTAGTCGAAGGTGAGGAGAAGTCCTCGTAACGGCCGCGTTCTAGATTAATTTCACCGACTCAGAAGACGCTGGGGGCATTTACTTCAAGCTGTAAGCAAGAAAGTAGAAGCCGGTGCTAGTCTGAGGTTATCTTGGTTCTGTCCTGTTATGCGAAAGATGAAAGCTTTAAATACTGGAGCAGCAAGGTCGTGCCTGAAGTGACCGCAAAGCAGACCGCTGCGGAAAGGCTGATTGATTCACAGAGCTTGATTGATGCAGTTTCAAGAACAGAGGCAAAGATTGTTGTTGCCTCGCCACATACAACTACGCAGTGAGAAGTCTGCGAAAATTTCACTTGAAAGAGACAGCCAACGCAGGATCGTCCACAAATACGTACCACCCAAGCAACATCTCGGCTGGAGTACTTCCCAAAGCAAGGGACAAAAGGAAACTCAAATCTTGAAGTTATCCACGGGAGGCTTCCCGCAGCATCTCAAATGGATCTAGTGCATTGTACATACATACACGCTGAACAAACAGGCAGAATCCGTCTCGGGAGACTGAGTTGGGTACGCCGAAGAAGGATAGGCAGTTGTTGGCGATGAAGAGGAGAGGGTGCGCGCGCGTCGTTGGGCAAATTTCCAACATCGACTGCGCCTTCATCTTCTCAGCCACACCCCACCCCCACCATGACCACTCATGCCAAACGAATAAAGTACCTTTACCTTACTTTATAAGAAATATATTCGTCGGCGGCTCTAGAACATAACTGATTTATAAAAAGGCGCATGTAAGAATGAAATCAGAAGCATGACATCTACCTAAACCGCAAACAAATAACCCAACCACCATCCAAATCAACCCCCCCTATATCTCCACTCACTCACCCCCTACCCCCCATAACGCCCCTAAAAATCTCCTGCCCATCCTCCAGCTTCCGCACCCGATCTTCAAGGAACTCGCGCTGGCGCTTCGCGCTGGCAGGCTCCGCGGCAATGGCCTCGACTTCCGTATCCGACATGCTGGACACGACGACGGGGCAGAAGATATCCGAGAGGCCGCGCACGATGTGGCGTTCGATGATTTGCGTCGTGACGTTGGCGATGAAGACTTTTTGTGTCACCTAGGGGTGTTAGTTTTTGGAAAATGGATGTGGATGTGGATGTGGAAGAAAAGGGGTGGGGGAGAGGGGAAGAGAAGATAGAAAAAGAAAGGACTTACTTTGTAGATGGCAAAAAGACAATCGAGAGCTTCTTCGCAACTGAAAGATCCCATGTCCTTATCATTGCTGTTGGCCAACTCATCGACCACTTTGTCCAAGTCAATACTGGTGGAAGTATCAACAACCTTCCCGTATGCATCCAAGATCTCCTTGGAGCTACTCGCGTTACAAACCGTCTGCTTCAATGCCGCCTTTTGCCGATTCTGTCGTCGTCCTTTGATGCTATCCGTATAATAATGGTTGTAATTTATCGGATACTCTTTGACCTCACTCATGATTATCGCCAGCTCCTGACCAGCAGCTTTGCCGCGGCGCTTCAACGCATCGTGGATCTGCGAGTCCCAGAGACGGGTCTCGATGTCCTTGGGGCATTTGTCGTGGAGGAGCGTTTTCAAAAAGTGGCTGCATTTACGGGATACAGTATCGATGTGCTCCTTTGCAAAAGCTTCCCACTTTGAGGCTTGTTCCCAGAATAGCTCGCCGACTAGGAGGGGGTTGTAGTTTCCGGTGAGCTCGCGACCACGGGCTTGTGCTTGGGCTGCACCGACCCATTTTAGGGCTTTGTCCTTGTTCATACGGATAGGGGTGATGGAATCGGGGTGGAAGCGGTGTTTGAACTCTTTCGCGGAGTCCGGGTTGTAGGGTGCTAGCCCGTCTTTGTCCAGGTCGACATGATACTTATGCGCATTCATTCGGAACAGCGCGTCGAATTCTGAATTCAGATTTTGGACGACGGCACGGATGCGAGAGATTGAGATCTCGGTAGAATCTTCACGGAATTCTTCTTGGCGGTCGACATTGTTATGAAAATACTCTCCTTCGTAATGCCCATCCACTGCTGCACTGCAGATTTTGAGAAACTCTTGACTCATCTTGGCCAGATACGTCTTGCAATCGGCCGGGGTAGAGCGAGGCTCGCCCAACATACCAAGCTGCTGGTTGGTGTCTGTGAGAGCATCCTCCAGATCTTGTCGTAGCTTTGGGAGTTCATGCTTGACGTGATCAAAGAGCAGACCACTGAGCTTCGTTCTCAGTGTGTCGATGCCGACAGACTCCTTAGGCAGAACCTTGAAGTTCGAGTTGCGGAAATATGCAACCTCGGCCATCTTTCGTTCCATGAGAGAGAATTCTCTCTCCTCGTGGGATCGATTCTTCAGGACATGCCAGCCGAGTCTGAAGAAGAAGTCCTCATTCTGCGCCAAGGAAATGAACGCTTTCTCACTTCCAGATCCAGAGGAAAGACGATCAGGTTTGGTGATGATACCCAAGGTCCGGTCTCCCTCAGGATCGTAATTCCTCACCTTGGTGAGAATGGGCTGATTCGCAGGGTCATTGGTGCTGGCAATGACAGCCAAGCAGATGGTTCGAGGTTGTGAGATGTAGTGATCGGTGATCTCTGCGACTGCCTTGACATCTGCCTCCGTCACGCCTTTGGAAGGATTTGCATTCGCGATCAGTCCGGGAATATCAACAAGGGTAAGCTGTGGGCGGGATGGTCCCTCCACCTCAATGCTGAGGACGTCACGGGCGAAAGCACTGAGCCCGGAGCCAGAATCAGAATCATCCTTTTGATCTATGCCGATGACCTGCTTTGCTAAAGTCATGACCCTGGGCAGGTCCTCAAAGTCCGTGATACTCTCTTGAAAAGTCTTGATATAGGCCTGCTCCGAAGCAGGTCTCGTATCGTCCGGGATCACTTTAATGGTAAGCTTATTAGTGGTCGCTCGCCGAAGAATGATCTCGGTGGCGAAACGGGTGCAGAGGTTGTCCTCGCGAGGAAAAGGGATTTCAGTCAAAGCTTCGAGAACTGAACTCTTGCCAGCAGACTGGTCACCACAGACCACAAGCTGGGGCAGCGAGAGGATGCTTTCGAGACCGCATTTTCGGACTTGGGCAACGGTGTCGAGAACACGACGCTGCTCGTCGGTCTGTAGGTCTTCGAGTGAAGAAGAGATATTCATGTTGTTTTCGGAGAAAGTCGTTCCAACAGTTGTATATTCGCTCGTGCTCGTATCTTCGAAACTTTCATCATCAAACAAGGTGTTGGCGTATTTAGACATCGTGAGATCTTTGTGTCGTAGTGGTCTCGATTTATGCGTAATTCAAAGAATAAGAAAATGAGTAAGGAATGAAAGCAAACGAAACATGCACTCTATTTGTACTAAGACCTAGACTCTCAAAATTCAGAAACTGACAAGACTTGCTCAGTAGCAGCCTATAGCCACCAACACAGGCCATTGCGGCTTGCGGTGGCGCTGGCTGTTTCAGCATCCTAGAACCTCAGAATCTGCCCTTACCTCCGGTGAAAATATCAGGCCACCAAGCCAGCCAGCAAACGGAATGACTCACTCAAGAGGAAATGAGTCCTTCACATTTCGGGATCTGGCAGCATCCCCTCCATTCATCCCTACCCACCCATCCAAGATCTCCGGGCCGGTACTGTAATGTGGAAACGGACAGATGATAAAAGAGCCAGCAAGACACGTCGAATTACTTGAAAGCAGGAATACACTCAAAACTCAGAAATAATGTTTTGTGAAAAAGTCGAGAGTCTGTAAAACGGCATGCGTCGTCGGTGAGCTCGAGGTTGAAAAATAAAGAAAAGCCTCGCTTCGCTTGTTTGTTTGCTTTCCGGTCCCCCAGCCATCGGCCGGCCCATTAAGTGAACCCAAGGCATACTTACTTATAGTATCTTCCAACATCTCTTTTAGGCAGCAGAATGCGGAGCAGAAGACATGGTACTTACTGAGATATATAATTCTTAATTTAAAGATGTTGTGATATGCACTGCATCATCGCAAACGGCGATTCTGCATCAAAGGACGGCTGCATAGACAGCATGCCACGGTACAGTACATGGCATAGCATGAATCGACCTGCAACCCGCACCATTTCTCCTTATTTCTTTTCCATAGCCACATACCTACCTTCCAAGTAGAGAGAAATCTTCCCCCAAAAAACATAAGGCATATATGCATTCTATATATATACTAGATACATACATATATAGATTCTCATCTCGAGAAGAAAAAAGATAATTAGACGTACATGGTATATTCAATCGGTCGACTCGAATCTCGAACGTCATCTACTTACTATACCGCTTTGAATCAATCCAATCAAGCATATATGCTAAAACGTAAAGTATGTAAGCAACCCTCTTAAGCGCCAAATGTCAATAAGAGCATGAGCAAGAGAAATGAAATGAGACGCCAAAAACGCCTCCTTCTATGTAAACTAATCTTTCTGTCTTTGGAGTTCAATCGTAAATACGTCTCGTCATCGACATCGTCATCTTTAGCATGGTAGGGATAGTGGAAGAGAAGAGAAGAAGAAAATCATCTCCTTCTCCTCCCAACCCAACTCCTCCCCTTTCCCTGCTCAATACTCTCCAGAATGGTACAGCGATCGCCACTTTGACACGGCTTACTGCGTCCCAGGTTCTTATACCGCGGTCCATACGGCCCGTTCACATAATGATACTGCCCCACGAACCGCCACTGCCGGAAGTCGCCTAATTCGTAAAACTTGTCCCCCCAATGTCCCTTGTACCACCACCAGCCCATAGGGGCCTTGGGATTGCAGCTTGCCGGCTGAAGAACATCTTTCATCTGGCTGATACTGAGAGAGTTGGGGATGGATTTGGCGTCTTGGTTATGCGTGATGGAGGTGTTGTAATGGTATGCGACGTAGTTCAAGGCGGGATCCCATAGTGGCCCTTTATCCGTAACGTCGGCGAGCAAGCCGAACGGGAGCACGTACGGATGTTTCCCCGGTGTCGCGTACATGGCGTGGCTTCCCATCGCACTGTACAGTACCGGTCGGTTTTCTCTCCCTTTCCCCTTGCCCTTTTCCACACCATTGTAAGCATACGCCAGACCCCCACTGTGCGCGCTGAAAAACACCGCCTTCGGCACTCCGTCCACGAAGCGGATGAGCGAGTGTTCCCAGTCGCCGACGTGGTTCCCGAAACGGACGTTTAAAACAGTGGTGCCCAGGTTGTACGAGTAGAAATAGAACCAGAAGGCGTCGAGGATTCCATTTCCCTTGTCTACGAGGACTAGGTGTGCAGGTGCTGGTGAGTAGCCGCCTGGGCCGGGGAGGGCGGGAGTTCTTCTCTTTTGTTTCAAAGACTTCTTCATCGAGAGGCGGCGGCGGCCAGTGGATTGGGAACGGAATGATGAGGAAAGGGGTGGTGACTGTTTAGGTGCAAAGCCGTCGGGATCAAACCAGAATTCCTTTTCAATTTCCTTGGACTTTTTGTCTGTGAACTCGGTGTATGTATCTACCTCTTCCTCTTCCACTTCTGCTTCATCTGGATAGGGAATTGGTTTGTTGTGAGCACTACCCAGCCAATCTGGGCGTTGTTCTACGTCGTCTTTGCTATGCAAGAACATGGCTTTCCCTTGATTGCCAGAATTCAACTCGTGCAAGTCATGGACATTGTGCCGAGGCCTGCTCGTATTCATTTTCGTATGGTTGAGATAGGGCGTGATATGCGAGATATGCTCCGAAATATCTGACGGCCAAAACTCTTCTTTGGAATATAGATGTACCAGCGGCGCATGATCCAGCACGAATTGCGGGACATCCTTCAAAACTCTCTCGTCACCATCCCACTCACTCGGTCCCCCACCACCCCCAATAATCTCCTCCCAATCAATCCTCTCCCCATATACATCCTCCTCATGCTCCAACAGTATATCCTGACCAGCCCTCTTTTTACTCCACGACCTCGCGGCAGGATCGGGATGGTAGTGGGAGAGTCCGCACAAACCCATCCAACGACACGCCTGGCGATCTAGCCAGTGCTGCGACGTCGCGATCCAGCGCGCATCTTCGCGAGCCTCGTCGGGCTTGTGTTTGTTCGGATCGAGGTGCTTGTGCAGGGCGGTAAGGGCGAAGTAGCTGGCGACGATGAGGACGATGACGATTATAAAGCGTCGTAGATAAAACATGTCCGTCCTCCTTGTGGTTCTAGTTCCAATTCCACTTCCACTTCAACCTCCAATCTAGAAGGGTATTCTTCTCCCGGCTCTGCTGGAGTAAATAGTAATAGTGATAAGGGTATGGTAGGATAGCTCGACGACGCCGGCGGAGCTTTTGTTGGGGCGTGTTTCAGCAGGACATGTTCGACACAGTCGAACAGAAGGGAGGAAGTAACGGGGTGTCGACTACTGCTACCTTATAGGATCCATGTATGTGATGTAGGACAGGACAGGAACAAAGAGATGGAGGTTGGTGCTGATAAATCGGCACCATCGATACCAAAGGCAGACTCAGTCGATAAATGCATGCATTGCATTGCAAATACAATCCCGAAGTATCCGCATCCGCCGGTCTAGGAGTTAGGGAGCAATAGTCAAGAGCTTACGGAGGGAGGTCTGATCCCCAGCAGCCAATACATGTGCATGGTGGACCGCAGCTGGGGATGTGATTCGGTGTTGGGAGTTTAGGGTTCCGTAGATGCCGGTTCGAGACCTGAGGTGGTGGTTGATGACATGGCTGGCGTATCGTCAACGTGGAGCCTCTTGATCGGTATATGATATGGTTATAACTTATATAATAAGAATAATAATAATACGAGTTTTGTACTTCGTATAAGCTCACTTGATGCTACCACTTGATGATTCTGTTGCTTTGTCTTTCAGTCTGATCAGGAGAGAATCCCAACCATCGTACTGTATGCGGCGGTGAGCTTGACAGGGAATTGTTATCGCTATCGATGATCATCACTACAGTACACGACACTATACCATGTACAGTATCGCCGTAGCGCGAGCCTCACCCGCACCTCCACCCGCAGCATGCATGCGGCAGGCGTGCTGGCTTTTATGCCTATCACCGAGACCGAGAAACAGCTGACGGAGTAATCAAGGTACTTTTATAGAAGTACAAAGTACATGTATCCTCAGCGTTTAATACTTCGTATAAGCATACCCACATCAAGCTGATAAATAACTCATGAACCATGATTACAAATCCACGAGTTAAGACAAGTATATAAACATGCATCGTATTTACATAACCATCCCACCCCATCACGCGGCGGTACTTGTACACGGCATAGCAGAAGGCCAAGCTTATAGTACTCGGACAGTTCAGGTTTAGTTTACGAAGTCTACTCACCCTTTTCATCCCGTCTTTTCCGGAGAGGGGAAGAGAGCACACGACACTACAGTATACTGTACGGAGGTACACTTTCGGCTTCGTTATTGGCTGACGTGAGGTGAGGGGTTGGGAACGGAGGCCTTTCCGGAAGGGAAGGTGGGGCTATATGTATGGTTCGATTGAGAAAGAGACTTGGGTGTGTTGACGGATACGATAAAAGGGCAAGAGCATCAAGTGCACCGATAGAAAATAAAGGAATCCCCTTTAACGTCCTGTACAAGTCCAAGACTATGTAGGATGGCGGTAGCAATGCTAGCACGGTGTCAGATGGTATGTATTAGAAAGTTGGCAGTAAATGTACTGTTGGACGCATTATTCGCGACTTTTAGGGGACAATAGGATTTTGGACTCTTCTTCCCAGGTCTGGTCTTGATGTTCATCTGCATATATCTGCATTTTGTTCTTCACAATATGTTTATTTACGTTCCTGTCCAAGTCGTACTTGTTAATACCTAACCTATGGCTCGTTAAACCCCACTTCTCCCTTTGATCGTGCAATATTCGTCACCGAGGCAAGGTCGGTGACAAATTCGCGAGTCTCGTCGAGCATTCTCTCCACATCCGTGACCTTCAATCGACGGTTTTCGCGAGATGCTAATGAAGCTGCTGAGAAGAGCACATTACGAATCTGTCTCCCATTCAGCTTGTCAAACGGAGACACATCTTGGTCCTCTCCAATCCATTGTCTGAGCCTGTCTTTATCCGCGTTCTCATCGGTTAGCTGACCGATGAATCCGAGAAAGATGGCTTGTTTTGATTTGTAGCTCAGATCAGGGTATTTGATAGCAAGGTTGATGCGAGACTGCACGGCAATGTCCACAGATCGAATTCGATTGGTTGTCAAGATGAGAATTCCAGAATAATACTCTAGGGACCGTAGAAGAACTGATAATAGGGTTAGCACTATGTCGTAACACAAGCAGCTGGGCTTTGTACCAGATACTAATGAGTTTCTTTGGATATCGGCTGTACTGTTGGAACGAGATTCCAGAAGAACATCTGCCTCGTCGCTGCGAGAGGATTAGCTCAAATTGAAGCTTACTTCGATATCAGCACCAATTCTTACAAGAGCAGGATTGCTTTCCATGAGCTTGCCAGCTCAAAGAGATGGTTGAGTTTCTTCTCGATGTCTGCAGTGTCGATGCCAATATCAGATGGAGTAACGGGAAGCAAAGACGCACCCGTTGTTCTGGCGATACATTCAGCAGTGGAGGTCTTGCCAACACCTGGTGGGCCATGAAGGAGGATTACCAGCCCCCTTCCTTTCTCCCTGATGAAATCGGTCATGCTAGGCTTTTCGCTCATCATATGACTCTCGATCAGATTTTTGATAAGATCTTTTTTCTTCTTTGCCAGCTGCAGATTCTCGAGACTCGTTTTGTCGATTGAGCCGAGTGGCGTGATCTTGTCGACTTCCATCTCCAACCATGTCTTTTGGGCCAGCAAATACCCTAGCATTCGGGGTGGGAGCAGGGCGAATTGCAAATTATCAAAGCCTTTAGAGCTTTTCTTTCGATCAAAGGCATGCTTTTGGTTGTCGTTTAATCTTTTATTGTCGTCGCATGCTTGACACTGACAGCGATCAGATTCTGGGGGCTCATACACCTCCAGTTGATCCATGGGTAGCCAATCATTCGGAGATGTTGGCCCATGATCAGCGTAAGCTTTATGATCCACAATGACTTGATCCTTGGAGAGCTAATGGACGTTAGAATCTCAGTCATGACTACGGGATCAACCAAGGAGAGCACTTACATTCCTCGAGCGCGGACGAGCTTCTGGTTCTCCAACAGTGTTGAAGGGGGTATCGCTTGATCGTTCTTTCTGGAAACTAAAACCTCCTCCTCGAAGTTGTGCCGCACCACTATATTCAAAGACACGAGAAGACCTCTCTAAGAAATCACAGAATTTCTTGCCCCTCTTGCATAGAAAATCCATGACGTCGGCACTGTTCGGATCATACCTGAGGGGATAGCAATCCAAACTATCAATTTGGTTCTTAGTTTTGAACCGTTCGAATTTGACTGTCACCATTGCTCGGCAGTATTGTTTGCCATCCCAATCGTAAGTCCAAGCATACAGAAGCCATACCTCCTTATTATCTTGTTCTCTTTGTTCCTTGTTGTCAGCCGAAGCCTCTTGCACAATCAGAAGCTGTGGTTGCTTCAAACATTGCCGTGTAATGATCAGTTCACCTGGCGGGAACAATGTCCATAACTCGTCCCATGCAATAGAGGCGACAGGATCTGAGCCGAGCTCCCTTCTGTTCTTGAAATAATCCTCAAGCTCGGGCGTTTGCTCTATGTATCGAAGTATCTGCTTGAGATAATCGAGCGCAAGGGTCAACTTTTCCGGATCTTTCAAGTCCTTTATGGTGGAGTATTGACTCGTGGGATTTTCTTCACTGGATATCTGTTTTCGCAGCTCAATGAAACTAGAACTGTCTTCTTTCTGCTGGGCCACGTTTTGCAGTTCGGACCATGAGTGGATAAATGGCTCGTACGGACTGGAAAACGAGCTTGGCCAAGTATCTCGGTAATGCTTGAAAAAGGGGTGGTGCGCAAAAACGAACAAAACCACAGCGTTGAGATTAGGCTCTCTGCTCGTTATAGTGCTGTTTTGGTACTCCCCGGTTCTATCGTAGTATTTGAGAAAAGTCACCGGGACCTGAAGGGACGCTGGTTCCGACGAGTCGTTGTTTGTCAAGTTCTGCCCAATGACAGTTTCCTTCCGCTCTCCGTCCGCTTTGTATTTTGATTCTCGGTATTCGATTCTGGGTTGGATCGATTCTTCTTCTTTCTTTTCCTCACTCTTCTTGTTTCCGCCTTCTACTTCTTCTTCCAAGTCGGAGTCGTTCTTTGCCGGTTTCAGTTGACTTTCCAAAACTTTGATGCGTTCCTCAAGAAGCGACATGTATCTGATCTGCAAGCTGTTGAACTTGAGTTCCGAGTGACGACATTTAGAACACTCAGTTGCTTCTGCGCCATTGTTGATTTGGCTGGTATCTTCCTGTTTAGACATGATGATGAAACTGAAACTAAGAGGGCGAAGTGAATGTGCACTAGAAATGCCTGCACCTAAAAGCAAAATACAAAGAGAAGAGCAGTACGGAGCAAATTGCCACGTCGGAGTAATGATCGACGGAGTCGTCAAGGCAAGGTTCAAGCATAATCAAAGAAGAGCAGAAAGTTGCGCCCACACGAAAGGAAACGGAATTTATAAGGCTGCTTCATTACTATAAAATGTAGTGCGAGCCCACAGAGACGCATAGGCAGGACGCCCAAAAGACAAAGAGCTGAAATAAATGGGCGGGCTGTGGGAAACGTCCGAGTTTCCCAATCGGTCTCTGACATCAAGGCTGTGTTATGGCAGTTACATTTCGGCCCCTGGTCATATAGAAGTAGGCATTGAACTATTTAGAGAAGCCGTGCGCGAAGAATTGGTCGGACCTTGCAAGCTTGAGAGGGCGAAGCGCTGTAGAGTGCAGTACAGGAGGTCGAATCAAAGGAGACCACGTATAAGCTTGGGTAGTACAAGGGACGGGACGAACATTAAGGCGTACACCAGGAAGTAAATAGACGTAGCAGAAGGTCACCCTTATTCACCCGAGGAATATTACCAAGATCTTCAGAAGAGAAGATGCCAGTAAATAATTCGCCTCTAACAGTATGTGCAGTAAGCTTAGGGAGTAATAAAAATAAAAATCCTAGGTCGTATGACCTCCAAGTACAATACCTAGTTAAGCATTCTTTACATCTATTAACATCGAACAAGAACTTTTATATGTTAGCTGCCCTTTCAAGCCAAAGTTTTTGACTACACCAAGCCAGTAACTTAAAAAGAAAAAAACACACCCTGGCGCTTGAAGGAAGGAGGGGTGGCGGAGAAGTTGGAAGTAAGTAAGAAGCGTAAAGAGAGACTCTCAGCCTCAGTATTCTGCCTCTTTCTGCCTCGAACTTGAATTTCGGATGGGGTGTTTTACTTGCTACCAACTGTATCAACTCAAACTATGCAACCACTGCGTAAATTGAAACCAAATGACATTTCAGCCTAACACATAGCCTCACTTAGGGTAGTATTCAATTACCAATCGACGGGGCAAACGATTATTGGCCAGGTAGCTTTGATCGTTTGCCTTGTCGATCGCCGATTGAAAACCACCCTGGTCTCATTTTATTACATATGCAAGCAAATATATTTATAGTAGCGCCTATAGACACTTCTTCTTGTGTATGATATATTGGTATCGAGAAATGTCAGAAATGTTTTATCAATACTCCTAAAGATCTCCAGCAAGAGACTAGTCTTATAGTAGCCAAATTCTCCGGCGTAGTCAAGCTAGAGAGTATGGAAACAACGGTGGTCGTCCAGACGCAGGTCGACAAAACCCGTGATAATTGGAAAGGGTACTGGAAGTCACACAGAGACAGTGAATTGTATAATTCTCATCTTCCCAAAAAAGCCTCGAGAACTAAAGATACTAGATTAAAATCTGTGAAGACTAAGATTCTCGACAACGAACATCCTGCCTTCTCCAAAGAGTATGGAAGCAATTCGGCCCTTCATGATGCAGATGATATCGAGCGGCAAGCATCTCAGAAGCTTGAAGCTCTGAGGAATAAGATGGTCATGGCGAAGAGTTCTGCTAGTTCCAAGAAAGGAAAACTGTTGGAAGATGCTGCTACAAACTTTGTGAAATACCTTGATGCATATCCGGGGCTTATTGAAATAATAAAAGGTGCAGACAAGCAATACGGTGGTGTGGCATACGGAACTCTCGCCACCTTTATGGCTGTCGCAGTGAACAAGCGCCGCAAAGAGACCGTGATTGCGGATACGCTGAGAACTCTCACAGACAAGTTCGACCATATTAAAGCAATCAAGACGATTCACCAGACAGAGACGATGCGTCAGCTTATATGCGAAGCATTTGTCGAAAGTATCGATTTTATGCGCTATGCGACGGACTACTGGAGTATGAAACGAATGAAACGCATTATCAAGGCCATAACAGATCCCCCAAACCTAATGATGGACGAAAAAGTAAAACGGGTACACGACGCGCTTATCAGGATTAACAAGGAGAGGGATGTTCTTGATAGTCAACGACTGTCGGAAGTACACGAAAAGACAAACAAAACTGTCAAGCTCCTCAGCAAACTGCAGCAGCAGAGGTTGGATGCAAACATCAGGGAATTTCAGGCGCTCGTCGACGCATCATTTTCTGATCCTCAAATGGAGCTGCCTCGCTATGTACAGACACTCGACGACGCCTTTGATAATGCCCGGAGATTCAACGAGTTCCGGCTTGATGTTCTCCAGCAGCATGAACCTTATTTGAGATGGTTCAGCGAGAAGAATTCGGCGTTGTTGTTGCTCTACGGAAGTACTTCGCATGGCGATGGCGAGTTCTCTTGGCTCTCCCATTGTCTCGACCCCTTTGTCCAAATGCTCCATTCGCAAAATCAGTGCTACGGGGTCTATCTCTGCAAGAAATCTCACAACGATCAAGTGGTTCTCATAGCATCGATTCTCAGAAGCTGGATTTGCCAATTGATACAGTATCGGCGGGAGTCCCTTACTTCAGATCCATGGATCCGTCAGTTACGTACAGAAGCAAACAAGGTTTCGGGTCAGCCTAACAATGTCGATTTGTTAATAAACTTGCTCAAGTATATCTTAACCGGAATGAGCAAGGTATACCTCATCATTGACCGAGTTGATCGTGTCAAAGGTAGTACCTGGCAATGGCTCCAACGTATTGTCCAGCTTATGAAGAGCTCACAGTCAACTATATACCTTCTCTTGATCGCAGAAGCCAGCGGAAATCTGGATTTTGGCCAAAAGTTCGGTCCTGCTATATTCGAGAACCTGGCGGAGAGTTTGGATGATCAATTCTACCGCTGCGAATGCGACAGTCAGGACTATGGCATCTGAATGGGAATGCTTTTCATGCATTTAAGTTGTTAGAATGTCAAGTAGTCACGTGAATTATCCACGTGCCTTAGCGTTAGCTTAGTCAGCGTTTCCCTGGGTGTGCGATTTCGAAATTTGAATAAGGAGCAAGGAATGGGATGGAATTGCTTATGGAGATGCAGAGGTTGGATTGATTTGAGGCTGATGGGGCGGGGTTAATGACAGCAAATCTTATCACAAGTCAGCAGGCAACCATATGGCTGTTACAGTAGGCGAGTCTAGTCCAGCCAGACCTGAAATGTACTTGGGATTCTGTATCTTCATCCGCAATCTTCCGAATAAAGACATCCGTCTTTGTGTTTACAAACAGGTCTACCATATCCTACCTCAATCATTATGACTTCCTCCTCTCAGCCCCCAGAATGCCCCTTCACGCTTCATCAATTCCTCTGGGCTTCCCATCTCCACCAGTCTCCCAGCATCCAAAACAATCACCCGGTCCGAGTCCATGATCGTGTCCAGTCGATGTGCAACTGTCAACACAATACACTCACTGAACTCCTCTCGGATCAGTCTCTGCATCAGTAGGTCCGTCTCCGAATCAACACTACTCGTTGCCTCATCTAGTACCAAGATCTTTCCCTTTCCGGTTCTTAACATGGCCCTCGCGAGGCAGAAAATCTGCAGTTGGCCTTGAGACAACGGGTTGGTATTCATATTTGCCTCGAGACCGCCTCGAGATTCCAGAATGTCCCAGAGCCCAACCTTTGCCAGAGCTGCGATGATGGATTCGTCACCCGCGTTGCCGCTTGGGTCGGCATTGAGGCGGACCGATCCGGAGAGAATAAATGGGTCTTGGGGTATGGTGATGAGACGGGACCGTATTGTTTCGCGACGAATGAGTTCTAGGTCTAGACCATCGATAGTGAGAGAACCGGAATCGATATCGATTATACGGAGAAGAACCGAGAGGAGTGAAGATTTCCCACTACTGAATATCAGCCATGTAGAATCAGAGGGTTGCTTTTTACTTACCTTCCGGTTCGACCGCAGATGCCTATTTTCTCTCCGGCGTTGATACGAAAAGAAATATCTTGAAGGGCTGGTGCGCCTTGCCTTTGTACTGTCAGTCAATGTTTTTCTGATTGTATGAAATACTTACCCATATGATGCGGAGACATTCTTGAATTCGATAGCACCGGAACCCGGCCACTCCTCATTAGGTACGAAAGTTTCCTGAGGCTTATTTTCTGACAGTGTCCCTTCCTCAAAACCTTTCAGTCGCGCAATTGCGCCTAAAGATGTCTCTAACTGAGTCCAGAACAGCAGCAAAATGGCGAGAGTTGAATTGAAAGATATCACAGAGCTAAGTGATATTCCCAGTTGGCCACCACTCGTGGTGTTGGTCAGACTCGTAGCCAGTGCCATGACAATCACAACCATAACAGTAATAAGAAGCTGTAGCACGAGATTGAGCCATCTCTGTATACAATAGAGCATATAATAAGGCCGTTGAGAGTTGTCCAGTCGTTCCAAATTCTCTGAAATGAAGCTTTCTTGCCAACCGAAAGCACGAATAGTTGAGAGACCCTCTAGTGTCTCTGCAAAATGAGTATACAGAGGACTCTTACACTCCAAATCAAGAAACCTTAGCTGTCTCGAAGTTCGTAGGTAGTACTTCTGCAAAAAATAGATTGCGAGTATTAGAGCTGGACATGTAATAGCCATGTAGGTCGAACCGACAGCAATGAGAGCCATTGCACCCAGACATCGTAAAGCAGCTAGATAAAAATGTCAGTCGAAGCTTATGTCAGATCAGAGAATTGCTCACATGAAAATGACAACACTGCTGATATAGGCAATTGGCCGTCTATGATAGTCATGTCTTGACTGAAGCGATTCAATGTAATCCCAGAGTCTGTTTCGTCGAAAAACGACTGGGGAGCCCCCATCACCGATCGAAGCAGGACTTCATGTAATCGAGCCCCAGATTCCGGTGTGATACGCATGTATAAGTTACTGTTTCTTTATTAGCAGACGTTCCAACCCCAGCTTGGAAGTCTGAACTTACAATAAAACCAGCGCAATTGCACAGAGTGCTATAACTGCAGATACGGCGTAAATGCTGATGAAAAGCGGCAGACTTGAGACCGTGCCATTGGCATACCAGGTCAACCACAAAGCTGCGATCTAGTCAGAACCCGAAAAATATGAAATCAGATATCCTTACGAGGAAATATTGTGCAGAACATGTAGATGACAGAGGTAACAATGCTAACAGTAACATTCTTCCAACCAATGGCATGAAGGTAATACTTATAAACGGAAATGTCGCCTATTCTACGGCTCAAATCAGCCGTATCACTAGCTGTGGGACCTCTAAGAGATTTGGGAGCGGCTCCTGAGGGTTGATTTGACGAGGGGTTGGCTGAAATCTTCTGGTTTTCTTTTGACTGGAGGAGTTCCGGCGAAAGGATGATTTTGTTGACAAAGCCATCTTGTGATCTTAGTTGCTTAAAGGTTCCTTGTTCAGCAATATTGCCATCAGCACCTAGAACAATAATCTGATCAGAAAGCGGCAGATGTCGAACTATATACGTTAGTCAACTTATCTCTCTTTCTTTTGTTTGCAATAACTAACCGGCGTGGGTGGCTAATACTACAGTAGATCCAAGCTTTTTGAAGAGCCCAGTGTTTCCAAGCAGTCGGTCAACAACAAGTCGTTCGGTTTTCGCGTCAATTGCACTTAGCACGTCGTCAAGAATATTCACGTCGCGCCTGGCGTAGACTGCCCTTGCTAGGGCCTGTGAAGAGTTAGCGGATATCTTCACACTAAAGAGCTTTAACTAACTAGTCGCTGTTTTTGGCCACCGCTTAATGTCACACCTCGACTTCCAATAAGTGTATCATCAAGACTTGGTAACTTTGCTACATCTTCATCGAAGGCACAAGCATGAAGAACAGTCTTGTACCACAGTGCATCTTCGCACGAAGCTTCAGGGACCCCACAGACAATCTGCCGGACGGTGGCATTTGGGAGCCATGACGATTGAGAGCAGTAGGCAACACGTTTGCTGGAAACACTAATGGATCCACTTTCGCATCTAAGTTCCCCAATGATCGATTTTAGAAGGGTCGACTTCCCTGAACCAACTATTCCCACAATCATGGCTAGAGATCCTTTGTTGACGCGAAAGCTGAGGCCATGCAAGGCGACTGGCGACTTCTCAGATGGTCGAACATATAGGTCTTGGACGATCATCGCCGGCGAAATTGATACTCTGGATGGCAGGGGTTTGAGCTCGAACGCGTTTCCCTGTTCTTCAGAGATAACCTCTTCCGTGTTAGACTCCGTGTTAGACAAATCCGAAGATATTCTATCGTCTCTCCGAGGAACAGAAAGCAGGAAGACCTGAATTCTATCTAGACAGCCAGTGGCCATTCCAATTTGAGGCAAAGACTGCAGGAAGTCCGAAGCAGGAGAGGTAAGGAGCGAAATAATAGCTAATGACGAAAAGGTTTCACCTGCGGTAGGACGATCCGAACCGTCCACTGTTGCTTTGATCGCAAAGATAATGAAACAAGATAGGGGTGCTAGTATTGTAGGTACAAACGCTAATATCTCAGTTATCGTCGAGGTACCAAGGCAGCGGATCTACTCACATAAAAGTAATCTCCACAATCCCATCACTCTAAACTTCTTGGACAATTCCAATTCAAATATTCGATGCTTTTGGAGGCTCTCAGATAGATTGTCGGAGATTCCCATCATCTTGACACTTTTCATCGACCCTAGCATCGAAGAAGTCATGCCAACGCGGCGCTGGATACCTTTCAACCATTCCCTTTGTCGTGGGCCCATGCGTGTAGCGACTTTGCTAGAAAAAAAAATCGACCCTGATATTACGAGTAAGAACAGGTGGACTTACGGAACTATTATGGAACTCACCAGCTACAATGAATAAAGGGGCCACACAGATCCAACCCATCTGTCTTTCCAGAAGCCACAATCCAATTGACAGTTCGATAGCTCTCGCCCATATCTCACAAGCTGCCTGTAAGCTAAGAGAAAGACGGTCAATGTCAGTGCTCATCAATGTTAGAGCAGTCGACTCGTCGTATACTTCGGCCTGTAGTTCAAGTGTCTTGGCATAGATTAGTGACACAGTGGAGCCTCTGAATATCGTGATTGCTCGGTACATTTGGTGTGTGTAGTTAGCGGTCGAAAGCTGCTTGACCTTAGTATTGAACGGCAGTCGAGGAGAGCATATGTACCGCAATGCCAAGGTAGATAAGCCCAGCCGCTCCAATGAGACCATATCCAACACTCTTGTTCTGCTCTTCGATCGGGAGAGAGACGAAAGCAATGGCAGAGTTGATAAGAAATGGCTGAGCATAATTAAAACCAATTAGACATAGACGGGGAAAGACCATGTGTGCCAATGGTAAGCGTATGCATTGGAATATGGTATAAAGCAAGGCAAGTCGCGTGGAAGTGCGGTCTAAATTCGGTTAAGCTTGAGGTTCTAAGCAATAGCAGCGCTGGGTGACGAATTCTTACATTTATCCCAATAATTCCGGGCGCGTTCTTGCAAAGGCCTGGAGAGTAAGTTGTTGTCGGTCTTGAAAAGGTCGTCCACGGTCAATAATTTTCGAAATCCATCCGCAAGTGTGGGGTTAAGCCACCAGAAGAAGCTCCGGTTGAAGACTCCACTTATAGCTTCAGGTGGGTACGAATTGTACGGCGGATTGAGACACTTGCGCTTATTTTTGCTCTCTAGAAGTAGTAACGTTGCCTTGATTGCGATGTTGGCTGTGAAAAGACCGAGTATTGTGCCCTTCTCGTGTCTGAGATATAGCGTTCGAGTTTGAACTGCGTCAAATGACAACGAAACGAGCAGATAAACGTTGACTAGAAAAGAAGGCTGGACTGCTCGCGAGTGTTCAAGTAGCGAGAGGAATAGAATGGCTAAGGCAGCTAGAATAGAAAGAACTGAGGAAGGCACAGTTGCTCGAGTGGGAGGTTGTGGGGCCCATGCTATCAGTAAGCCGAGCTGGACACCGACTAATAGTAGAGCATTCAGCTACGCAAAACGTATGTTAGAATATTTGAACATATATAGGTCTGGAGGATACTCACTGCTTTGAAAGAGCGCAGGCGGCTTGAAATTGTTTTCCGGGTTGTCTGGAGAAGCCGTAGGAGTCTTGGTGGAGTCGACAGTAGAAGCAATGCGGCAGGGCCAATTGAAAGTATGGTTTGCTCAAATAACAGTGTAAAATCAAATCCCGACCTGCATCCTTGGACAACAGGGCCAAAAACATTGTCGTTCAGTGGTTGACATGTTGAAGCCATCGTACTTGTGCTTATATGCCCGAGTCCCGCTACGTCGGACGATGGCGACGCGTCTTGGCATAGAAGGGATAGCAACCTACAAATGAAAATGTCCGAGAAATCGAAGCCCTATATAGCAACATCAACCATGCGAATGTAAGGACTCGCGGATAACGGTATACGGTCCAAACTCCGTTCCAACGTGTGGTTTCAGCGTTTTATTGGTCGGTCGGTGGGATACGAGTTACGCGCTTCTGCGAATTCCTCGGCTCCGTGCCGGATCCGAAAGAAGTGTTTGACTTTACGTATAGCTAGGAGGATAATACCTACCTACATAGGTACATCATTCGATTCCAGGCTTGAGAGTTGGTTAATTCCCAGCAGAGGACTTTGAAGCCCCCTCCTTTGGTGCATGTCTATCACTGGAAAGTATTCAAGCTACAGGCTTCCAGGATTTCAAAGAGGGTCTAAACATAAAATATATCAACTGGAGCTCGCAAGGCACATAAACATTGTTGGCTTTCCCGCATATTCTCTCTCGCGCCAGATATACATTAACCAAAAAGAAAAAAAGAAGAAAAAAGAAGAAAAAGGACCAATATAGTCAATGTAGAGGATGCCCAGAACAGCAACAAGAATACAAAGCCTAGCACCAACAGACAACAGATTCACCATAGCAGCGAAAGTTCACTGCCTTAATCCAAGCCACCCGGCCTCTGAGAAAATGACATGTGTATTGATCCTACGATTTCTTCTTACTATCATCAAGCCTCCTCAGCGCCATCCCACTATGTACAACCCCCTCCTTGAACCCCACCTTCTGTGCCAAGTTCATCGCCTCCAAAAACCTCTTACGTGCCTCCTTTACATCCCCCAACATCTCGGCAAACTCGCCCAGGTTATGCGTAGCTACTGCACACGAGACGTCGCATTCTTCTGTCCGTTCGGGATCTTTGATGGCAGCGGTTATGGAGATGGCTTTTTCGGCCCATTGCTTGGCGTTGGAGATGAGCTGGGTGCGTGTGGCGCTTGCTTTGGTGGATGGGGGTGGGAGCTGTTGCGCGAGGGAGATGGAGAGGTTGTTCACTACGGATATTAGCAAGTGCTGTTAAAATAGAGGAAAAGCATACTCAAGACTGTGGTATGGCAGTTCACGGGCTGCGAAAAGGTTATAGCTTGCAGGAACAACGGCGCTGCGAGGTAATGATGGTCTTTCTCCTCATAGTGATGTGCCAGCGCTGAAACATGTTAGCTGAAGTTCAAAAACTATCAGAAGAGAAAACTTACTCTCCAACGCAGCACCCTGCTCCTCATCTGAAAGCCAATCCCCCTGTTCAACTTCCACGCCTGAACTCTCCACCCTCCTCTTCTCTTGCATCACGGTCTGCACCGCCCACACCAGACTCTCTTCCGCCTTTTCCGTCTCCAATATATACGGACACGCATACAAATCCCCCAGCTTGACACTGACCTGCACGGTCTTTTTTAATACCCTCGTCCGCTTCGCCTCATTACCAGGCTTGTCACCTAGCGCCTCCATCCATTTCAGATTATCGGACTTGATGATCTCTAGTACTCCGATCGCTTTATCGTATTGCTCAATTTTCTCGAATAGTGCCGCCACTTGGATCTTCACCCCTATCATCTCCTCTGAAAAGGGATCGAATCCAATTTCGTCGGCTACTCGTAGAGATTCTTTGTAGTATTTGAGTGCGTTTTTGGGATCTAGGCTGTAGTTTGTGTAGTAGATTGCTCGACGCATGGGTTTTGCTACCTGCTCGGGGAATTTGTGGAAGGCGCCGATTATGTAGCTATAGTAGATGTAATTCCCGTATAGCAAGCCTGATGCGCCAGCTAAGATTCTGTGGATATGTTAGCATTGCTTCATACATGAACAACGATTGGGAAACGGACGAAAGACATGCTAATGTCATTGAGAATGGATGGGCCCTGAACAGTAGCTTGACAGCAGAAGGCTTTCGGGGCGGTTCAAAGGTGGATTGACATCTCTGCTGCCTCATCTGATGTGATATTGGGTTCCGGCGGATAGCTTCGAGGCGTTGCTGGCGCAGGCATTGTGAAGCTCGATTTGAAGCTTGTCGAAAAGCGCCAGGGGAGCGGGGGGCGAACATTTTGGGAAAGGCGATGTTCCAAAAGAAATAGATACAACGTCAGGAAAAGAAATGTGTTCGGTCCTGAATTCCGAGTTCTGAAGCTATTCGTAACTGTCGAAGCTGCAAGCTGTGAAGTTCATAAAAAGTGGCTTACTAAGCTACCTTCTTGTGATCCCTGTTGATTTCGGCGCTGATGATACCGATAACCCACACCGATGAAATCCCCATGTTGCAACCCCTCTATCATCCATTCGCACAATACAACACAATACATACCCAATCCTCAACTACAGCTCCAAATCCCAACATGGCTGGCAAATTCGAGCCCAAAACCCCTGTCGTCCTCGCGCCCCCAAAGGACGACCCAATATCCGTCTCAACCCTCGCAACCTGTGACGGTTAATAATCCCCTCCTCCATCTCTCCAACCTCGCAAATACTTATCCATACAAAATAGGCATTACGAGTGAAAAATGCTACGTAGCAATCAAGGGAAAAGTCTTTGATGTAACGGGCAACAAGATGTATCTTCAAGGTGGTTCCTATCATGGTACCCCCCCCCCCTCTTTTTTTGTTCCTTTCCTTTCCCTTTCCCCCTCTTTATATTATCAATTCAACTTTTAATACATCACAAACGCTAATTGGGAGTCGAAAATAGTATTCGCAGGCCACGACGCCTCCCGCGCCCTCGCCCTAACATCCACCAAAGCCGAGGACGTAAAGCCCGAATGGCAGGATCTAGAAGACGACAAGAAGAAGGTGCTCGATGATTGGATGACCTTTTTCTCGAAGCGCTATAACGTTGTGGGCCTTGTTGAGGGATCTACGAATCAATAAACCACGCACTTCCACTTACACTTCCCCTTTATTCTGCAAGCGAATATACCCAAATCCAAATTTTCAAATCAGTTTCCATATTCGACCCAGTTTTCTTTTCATATGCTACATCCTGCTGCTGGATACCATACGAGTATGTAGTGTGATGTGATGGGATCGGTTAGGGTCGGGGAAAGTGAAGGGAAGGGATCTCGGGGAATTAGATCGCCGAACACGAACGTGGGTGGAAGGGTTGAAGGGCACGCGCAGGAGGGGACCTCTTGGTGTTACGGAGGAGAGATGTAACTCGATCGAAAAGGATCCAGTCTTCTGTAACACAACATTTAACCTCAGGTAGTACGGGTAGGTGGATTCCAGTAAGCTACTTTATGTTCCGGCTTGCTTCCTATTCGTTTTGTTGCAATTTGACTCTTGAGATCTGAAAATGGAAGTGGAGTTTTCTTTTTCACTTTCTTCATTTTTGACAGAGATAACTGGTTCCATAAATGTGGGTTTCTTCTTACATCTTCATCTTGAATCATTTCATTCATTCGTCGTTAAAAGCTCTGGCGCAAGGGTATAAACTTCCGTTCCATTCCACAGCATATTTCCAAATGACAGAAGGCAGCAGAAGACGTTTCTGTACCCCGAATGGCAATACAACAACAGCAACGTTACCGAAGCCAGACACTTATGAGATAACAAAAAACACACAACCAGATAGATCATCCACCACCATATATCCAACCCTACACTAAAATCCATGTCTTTCGTACGGAGCAGTGCCTGCATGCTGCATCTGCTCCATCGCTGTCGAGCATTCGGGACAAGGGACGTTCTTGAGCCAGCGGTTCTTGATGGCTTTCACGCCGAAGCATTGGTGATATGGGTCTGTGCGTGCAAAGTGGCAATAGGAGAATAGGCGGCTCACGACGTGCCCGCAGGAGAACTGGAAATCTTCAAAGTCGCACATGATATGATGCGGATGGATGCTCCGAGGCGTTCAATCCTGTGGAGTATAGTCGTTAGTTTTAGTTTTAGAGCACGCTCTCCCGGGCGAATCACGGCCGTTGGGAAGGTTAACCTGATGTTGTGGTCTCTTGTGTGAGATCTGACGAGTGAGATCTGGGTCTGGATCTGGTGTTGTGCGACGAGGCACGTCCCAAGATCCAGGTGACGATGTAGTGCTTCGAGAAGCTTTCAGTCGAGTGGTGTGTTGTGTTATGGAAGCTTGGAGGTGCGAGGTGTGGGGTCTTAAGGCATAAGAAGTAAGGCAATTGATTTGTGTGAGTATTGGGTTTTCTGTAAGGTGTGAGTTTGGTTTGATCGCAGGTTGTTGACTTACTGGAGATAGCGATGATGGATGTCCAAGAATTGTGGCGATGGCTCTCATGAAGGATATATAGAGGAGTGACGTTAACACCAGACTGGAACTCCGAAAGAGATGCTAGCATTGAGTGAAAACGAAGTCGCAGAACCCGGGGAATCGCGTCAGTATATATCCTTCAAACGTACCCCACATCTGATTTAAAGTGTAAGCTCTGTGGCAACATCACATTGGCGACTGCAAATATATTGGTGCATAGCTTATGTTCATCAAGCCAGATTCTAACAAATACATATTTTCTGGTGGCCGACGTTATCAAGATCCTGAACTCCTTGGCAGGCTCGATCTTTTAAGAATACTCTGCAGCTTTGTGTTTCCAAACACAAACAATTTCCCCACAGCATTCCATGTTGCTCAGCACTAAGACTTGCATAGGAAGTAGTTGACATAGAAGCCGGGCCAGCTGCGATCAAACGGGGTGAATAGGGTCGAAAACGGAGGAAATTTGTTGGTGATTAAAGAAGAGTTGGAAGCTGAGAAGACAGGGTGCCGACGAAAGGGGGGAATACAAAAATCAGAGACCAGGATGTTATAGTCTAGGAAATACCCAATTTTGACAGCCTCTTCCAAAATTTCATTATCTGATCTCAAGTCTCTCATCTGACAGAAGTGAAATATGATAATAAACATGGAGCTATGCGGAGATCGCAGCAATTGAATCTTGAGCTACAAGAACCGTGCAATGAGATTCAACCGGGGTACTGGAAATGATGTATGGCTAGTGTTGTCACTCCGACGGTGTGACGCTTGGCTAATGCACCCAGCTTTAGTTGGAGAGGCTTGCATAATAAATCGGATGATGGCTCAAGGAGTATATTTAGAATATTTGATGATAGGTGTAACTTGATCTGACCTCGGGCGGGTCCTTTTTCCTTGGGGCAAAATTGCGGCTGTCACATAGGACGGATCTGTGACATTTGTTTAAGTGGATGGAAGGACCCAGCTTCCCTGTCAACTGACTGGATGAAACAAACATACAGTGCGGATTTCCTTTCCAGTGACCAAAGCAGATACTTGGCTGAAGTTGAAGATGACATGGGTCCATGTAGCTAAACCTTTACCTGCGCCATAGCGGCACGATGGGATAGAAAGCCTTCATGTATCACGAAGGATTTGTTTAGTAAACGTTGAATGAAAGGCGACGAAGTAATGCCGAATATGTTCCAAGGGATTAAAAGTCTCAGATGGTGAAGAGGGATGAGACAGATACACAAACACGAAAGACGTCAAATTATAGGCCCTAGGACGGGCTGTTCGGGAAGATGCATTGGTTCCATGCTGCAGATGATGCTCCATAGGTTAAAAGAACACGCATACAAAGGCCCGTGCTGGACAGAGAAAGCGGCACTTGTTATCATCAACTACCAGTGTTCCGCGCTGTCTGGTACATGATGAATTGGTGCCGCTTTTCCTGCCCATCGCGAGGCAGGGTCAATAGATATATTAAAAGCTGCTTGGGGAGACTCCCGTTGCAGAATCCGCCATCTAATCGGCTGCATCGCATCTCGATACCAAGATCTGACCCTCAACTGATACGGAAGCTGAAGCGAAACCCCGCCTAACCTGCGTTGGTGCTGTAGGCTGTAGCCATTCAAACGTGAAAGGGGGAAGGTTGGATGTGCGCGGAACATAGAGAAAATGACGAAGCACGGGTCTACAAGCAAATTAAACGGCTGTTAAGAGGCAATCTGCAGTACACGACTTCCAGCTGCGAAAGTATTCAAAGGCAGAAGGGCGACGAATGCATACAAGTGATATGGCAGGACTAAAGTATGTATGTGTACTGGCAGCAAGCAGAACTATCGAGGCAACAACAATCGAGTAAAGTGATATGGGGAATAGCAGGTGAGAAAATGGAAGCCACCTTGTAGCTATTCTAAGGCAAAAAGGAAAAAGCAAAAAGCAAAAAGGGGGCAGGAACACAGAAGTGACGAATCACGTGAGTAAATGAAGCTTTTGCCTTAGGTGGCACCTACCTTAACTTGGCCCCCAAATTGTGTCAGGGCCGCAACGTGTTCTATCTTGATTTCTCCATCTCAAGCATCGTCCTTATACTTCGCACACTACGCAGTTGGGCGTCCATATGCTGTTGTGGTGTAGATATTGGTGGTAGTATATGGCGTTGAAAAGATTCATTCCAGGCTTGGCAACCGGTGAGGGGAGAGGAGTGTTGCCTAGAACTTCGCTAGTCCGCCTCAACATCTCTCGGAAGCCTCACTCTCACTCTTGCTCTCACTTTCACTCTCACGCTCTTCCCTCTTTTCCTCTCCAATTCGCGCTTTTACACATCTATACATCGCGATTGGATGCGTCCAGTAGCACTTCTTACTCTCATCACGTCCAATTGGCCCCAAGAGCCAATACCAGGCCAGGCTGCCCAGAAAGAGGCAACCGACGCCCGCTTTGTTGTTTGTTCCCCAGCCCAGACCAGACCAGATTACCCGATCGCAAACGCGCCAACCACCTTCCTGCAGGCCCTATGCAATAAAGTCCCTCAAGTCTGCCTCGTCGTCCCTGCTGCGAACCAGTCTTCCCACACCTCCAAAACTCTGCCTTCACCATCTAATTTTGCCCCGAGTACGTGTGGCCCGCGCCCCGTAGAGTATCGTGTCCCTCATGGTCGATTCCAGCTGTCCTTAACTTCACTGCCTGGAGGCTTCATTTGAGTCCGACTTTTGCCGGCAAGCGTTTGCCAGAAAAAGTGCTGGTTTGATTGCCCTAGCGATGCTAGTATTGGATCAACAGCTAATGGATTTCAGAAATAATGTCAAGCAATTCGAGTTATCGGAATGGATCCCACTCACGTTCTGTATGAAATTCTTCTAGACCCCCAGAAAATAATGTTCGCCATTTCTGATGGTTAGGTTTCTTAGTTTTACCCTTCTCTTGCTTCCATAAGCTCTTCAGACTCGGGCCAGCTATATGGATCATCCAGGGACATGGCTCCTCCTCCTTTGGAGTTTCCACCACGGCCAGTGGAGATTGACATTGATCTGAGTAGCTCAAGAACGTTGCCGAGTCCGTCGGCATCAGGATCCAATACCTGGGATCCCATTTTGCAGCCGCATGGATTTGGAGATGGTCCCTATGGATCCTCAAATATGTCCAGAATACATGGTTTGTCTGTTGATTGCCAGCCCCGTGGTCCAACTCAGGATCCGCTTTATCAATGGTACGAGGGCAATGATGGGCCTTGGATCCCCAAGGTCATCCCAGAGATCGCATCGGAAGAAAAAGTCCATGCAAGACAAATAGGTAACCGTAATACAATTTCCTATGGGAATCAGTATCGACAGCCAAATCCCTCCGATGCAGGATCAGTTCAGTTTGGAGTTTCACATTCAGATTCTGGGTATGGAACCAGACGTAGTGTTGGTAACACCTCAGTGTTTAGCGCCGATGTTACGGAACGAGACCAGGACTGCCAAAGCTTAGCAGGCCATGTTGAGAATTTTCAACCTTTCAACGGATTCAACGACTCAGTGCAGCAACGTGATTCTAGGAATAATGAATCTTGGACTCCTCCTGCTCCAACATCAACAGGATCTAATCCCCCTAGTCTGGTCTGTCCAACATGCCATAACCTAGTTAAAACCCAATCCGAACTAAAGTACGGCGTTTGAGTTTGTCTGTGTGAATTGAGCTAATTATATCCAGGAAACACGACTTGCGGCACAGGAAACCCTTCAAGTGCACGGTTGCAGGATGCCTACGGATCGAGGGATTCAGTACGACAAACGACCTGGATAGACATACGAAGAGCAAACATCCCGCTACTATCTCGGAGTCAGTCCCAACAAAGATGTATCGATGTCACGTTATAGGATGCAAATCCAAGGAGAAGACTTGGCCACGTCTGGATAACTTTAGGAGCCATCTGCAGCGAGTCCATAGCCAACAACTGCTCACAGACGAGGATTTCGATGGCATGATAAGACGGTAAGCTGGATTCGTGCAACACCGTAAGCATGACGCTGATGCATCTTAGCGCAGAATTCTGGAAGAAAGCGACACTCGACGTCGATCAAGATAACCTGTTTTCTCAACAACCTTTCCAAAATCTTCCCAGAGCAGCAGGACCGTCTGCCAATGATAACTTTGCAAATTTCCGGAGAGCCGAGCCTGAATGGAAAGGTTTTTATCCCGACGTTCTAACTCCCACGGAACCTCCAGCCATGGCACCCGTAGCTTCTATAGCCCCCATACTTCCCCAATTGGATAAGTTTGAGACCAAGCGTGTGCCTCCGGATGACAGGGTTCCTCTCCCTGAGCCATCTCATCCTAGCACGGTGCAACCCTTGGATGTTTTTCAGCCCCCAACCGGAGTCGGTGGAAACATGTGCCCATTGGAACGTGTTCTGGCTCCAGCGGGCAACACTGATTCAGCAATTTTAATTAATGATGACCCTAGCCCTAAACCTAAACGGGACTCAAAATCTCAAGGTAAGGCTACAAGGCAGAATGAAGTCTCAGCCGCAGAAGAAGCCCTTACCAAAGTGATCCGAAATGCATTGTCCGGCGCAATCAGTACTGATCTGTCCAATGATCATACTCATACCCAGGGCATGAAGCGAAACAGCCTGCCTAATGCAAGGAGCGCATCTAAAAATTCATGGCATTCAACTCCACATGAGGCTCATCTTCCCACAAACGGGACCATCTCTCATATTAATCTTGTAGACTCTCCATCGCCAGACAGAGAGATCCACGAGTCTCAAGTACAAAAGGTGGTGAAGACCATTCTCGACGCAGGATACAAATTCCAAACCGGACGGAGTACTTCACCGAAGATACAGAACCTTGGGTCTGCGGCCAGCAATAAGAGTGATAACCAAGTTACGTGTCTGGTGTGCAAGAAATTTAAAGGTCGTCCTTGCGAGTTGAGGTATGTTTCCTCCAGTTATAACTAACACCTATTGACAAGCTATAGAAAACACATGAAGCGGCACGAGAGGCCTTATGGCTGCACGTTCTTGACGTGCAACAAGACCTTTGGCAGCAAGAACGACTGGAAGCGCCACGAGAACTCTCAGCATTTCCAGCTAGAGACATGGCGATGCGATGAGGAGCGACCCGAAGGAGGAGGCTGCGCCAAGGTCTGTTACCGCAAGCAGACCTTCCAAGAGCATCTTGGCAAAGAGCACCATATATCTGATGAGGAGGCTGTCAAGAACAAGCTCGAAGCCTGTCGCATCGGCCGTAATTGCCAGGCCCGTTTCTGGTGTGGATTCTGCACCAAGCTCGTGGAGCTCAAGAAGAAAGGAATGGACGCGTGGACCGAGCGCTTCGATCATATTGATTACCACTTTATGGGACGCCATAACTTCCTCAAGCAAGGTATCCAGGATTGGATTCCCGTAGATAGTGACAAACCGAAAGGAGATGTTAATTTGGATGCCCCAGCCGGGAACGACGGTCATAATTCTGGTCCCGACGTCTCGGGTTCTGGGTCTTTGATTGGAGTATCAAGCGCCTCTGCGGGTGCGGCTGGTGGATCTCCAGCTGATGCGATAATCCTGGGGGACCCTCCCCGCAGCCCGAAAAGAAAGCACAGCAGCGGGGATGAAAATAGCCGCCCGCAAAAACAACACAAAACAGCCACAAACGTGGAAACTACGATATATTGTGTAAGCCTCCGCTCTGTATCGGATACTTGTGGATCCGCTAATATACGCATAGTGCCAATGCCGCGTGGGACATAACCCAAAATTCAACCAGAGTTGTACTAGTTGCGACAATGCGCATACCTTCTGCCAGTATTGCGTTAGAGAGTCACGCAGACATGAAACTGAATAAGTCACTTGGGACTGTTTTCCGCATGTGACTTCCCATTTGAGAATCTCAAGGGCTATCTTTCTTTTTAGCTTTGAAGAGGTGATGATTCACGAGAATGTACCGATTTATGAGTGGATATAGAAAACCTTGACCGGTGAAAATGTGGCATATATCATGGCGTTCCTGGCACTTCTTGGTTTGAACATCATATATCACACGTAATTATGAATTGTATGAAGAACACCGAGAGACGGGACTCAGTCTTGGATTCTTGGCTCCTTACACAAACGCATGGTCGTCGATGAATACGTCGGCGCGTCAGTGTTGACATACTCCATACACCCTTCCAACCAGCTCAACCTTAATTGAACGGAACCATGATCCGATTCGATTGGAATCCAATCTCCAGAAGCGAATACCATTTCTCAGCCGCAGCTGACGTCTATATCGCTGACTCAATTATAATGATATGCTAATTAATGCCTGAACGGGAGCCCAGTCGCTTATTGACACCGAATAGGCTGCCTATGGTGTGTTGCGGGCTTTTCTCATTGGGTGCTATAGAGACCCTAAGCCACTCTCAGTCACTGCACCACAATCTCGTGCGGTGCATCTTGCAAACTCGGTGTCCTTGAATGTTCTAGCTTCAACACCCCCACCATGCGGGGCGAAGTGAGTTTGAATGTGAGTGTGTGTGAGTGAGAGTGAGAGGAGGGTAAGGCTGCCCTGGGGGCATTTTTAAAGACGCTATCGTGTGCTGATTTTGATTCATCGACGGCCCTGGGGATGCAAACCCCACTTAGGGCCGCAATTCAGAAAAAGCAAAAAGAGCTCCCACCACACCGGAACACAACCACATTCTACGGATCCGTGATAGCCCATAGCATTATAGCCGCTTGGATTCGCCAGATCCTTTCCTGGGGGCCAATTGAGAAGGTACGTTTACCGATCAAGGCCACAATGAGGCCTCCATGTCATCCCGATTTAGAGGGCCGCATGTTTGCGGGTTGCAACAATAAGGTTACTCTGTTAATCCGCGAAGATCCTTTTCTCGGCATGAAGCTTCTGCCTCTGCACGTCTTGGGAAATGTTATTTCGAATGATATGATGGTACCACAGCACACCGAGATTCTGACATTTCCTTTCTATCTACCGGGCATTGGAATTATGCCCTCCTAGGCGTGGTGGTGCTTTGGGTTGATATTGGAGTCTGCCTGCCTGAAGGTTGCCTTGTCCGCCTAATGGTTCGCAGGGGATCTCGGAGCGATGATTGGTACACGAGCAACACATCTCTGGGAAAAAGAAAGTTGAACTCTCCCATTCCAAACTCGATTGCCCGGTCGAAGTAACCACTCATCGACAGTGCGACAACATCCCGCTCCTTGGCAGTATCCTTCGGGGCGCAGCGCCAGGTCCCTTCACCCCCCCTGACCCCAACACAGGTCCATGGACCTCTCAGGGGTATGCATATGCAGTACCAGGTGCGCTGTTTGTAGGCCCCCCTCCCCTCATACGCCTCTTTCCGTTCGCGCATGGAATTGAGGCTCTTTCTGTGTATCGGGACGCCGCCATGTTTTATAGTCGGTTGGCAATGTGGAGGACATGCTGGGGCTTGGCTCAACTATCTCTACTTTATGTCGTCCCTCCTCTACATTTCTCCAGCACTGCGCCCATTTGCAGTACATTACTTCGCCCGCATTTCTTCCGCACACTAACTCAATCTATGTGTCGCCTCATCGTCTGACTCAAATATGTACTGTGGATAAGCATATATCTGTGCGTAATTAACTTCGAGTTTGTTTGTTCTAAAGGTTTTGCCCAGCATTGGCCTGTCCAATCTGATAGTACCTATCAACAACGCCCTGATATTTCTATTCACTGCAAAGTCCTCTTTCTACAGGAAGCAAACAATCAAACTCAATATCCACAATTTCATTGGGCCTCCAGCTGGTCATCATCCACTTCAATATCCATCTTGGTCTCACAAACTTGATAAGCGCTGTTAGTGACCACATCACGACCTGCGACTGCGGCCTAGAACTCGACCATGGCGTATAACAGGGGATGCGGTTCTTCTCAGGTCCCGCCCTTCTTCAGTGATAGCGTGGCAAACTCCCAGTTCTACTCACAAGAAGACCTGCTGGATTCACAAAACACTACTTGGATCGACAACGTCCACCCTGACCTTCGAAACTCCGGCCAAATCGAGGACGAGATTCAAGATTCCCAGATGGCGTGGCAAAGACAACCACAAAGACCTCTTGACCGTTTCATGTTTGAACCGGAGAGAAACCTCTTCACCGCGGATCCGATGCAACATCAGCGACACGGCTATCTCCAAGGTCTAAATGGGCCTTCAGCCCCAATCTCGTCTCTACCACAAGCTACTCGAGTCCGAATGCCTTCTCCATGCCAATCATACAGCGACCCTACTTCGAGCTCTGGCGATGATAGATCCCCAGGACCCGAGGCAGAATGGTACAGTTCCCAGTACTCTCCACAGGTACAACCACGAGAGGACTACTCAGTGCAACATGCTCCATCTTACCTTAGCCAAGGATTTCCTGATCAATGGTTGGGAGCTGCACAGTCCCAATTCTTCTCTCAGCCTACCGGGTATCCATGTGTCAATATGAGTCAAATCCAGGTATTTGCAGATCCACAGGAGTCATGGGACGCCGATGAAGGCTACGCAGCCATGGAAACGAAGGCCGAATATGTGATGCAGACCGACAACAGAAGCATCAAAGTCGACAGCTGCCCAACCGATGAAGGACTCGGCCGCTCTATCAAAAGTGAAGGCTCACCTGAAGCGTCCGGATTAGCGCATCAAGAGATAGAACTCGGTTCCGAAATGGACGCAGAAGGCGATGAAGAGGACATTGAACACGACACCATCAAAGCCGAAGCGCCTTCCGACACCGAATACAGCCCGCGTTCCACCCGCACCCGCAAGCGCCACCCATCCAAGTCCGGCTCTTCTGCTGTGAAGCACAGCCGTGTCACCAAGGCGTCTCCTAAGGGTAATCGGCAAGTCTCGTGCAAGTCTTGCGATCATGCACCTTTTAAAGATGCTATTTCCCTTCAACGTCACATCGCAACATCGCACACCCGCGCCTACACCTGTGTCTTTGCCTTTGCTGGGTGCCCATCCACATTCGCCAGCAAGAATGAATGGAAACGACACGTCTCATCCCAACATCTGAACCTCAGCGCTTGGGTTTGCGAGCTCGGAGCGTGCGGAAAGAAAGCCAGCGAGTTCAACCGCAAGGACTTATTCACGCAGCATTTGAGAAGAATGCATGCTCCGTTTGCTGTCAAGAGACAGAATAAGAAGAACGCCGATTGGGAAGAGCGATTGAAGGGGTTGCAGGTTAGCTGTTTGGTTGTTAAGAGACACCCGCCCACGAGACTTGCGTGTCCTCTGCGGGAGTGCGGGACGCAGTTTGAGGGGAACGGTTGCTGGGATGATCGAATGGAGCATGTGGGGAAGCATTTGGAGAAGGCTACTACTGCTCCTGACATGGATGTGGAGCAGGGTGACGATGATTTGCTTGTTAGCTGGGCGATGGCTGAAAGGATCATCGAGGGGGACCTGGAGGTAGCTTCAAGCTTGCTCTTAATAACGGTGTGAGGGTTACAGGTGATGACATTGATGCTGATGGCGAAGATGATGTTTGATTTTGCGCTATGATTATGATACCTCGGGATGGCATGGGCAGGATGGGATAGGATGGAATAATGCGTGGAGTACATTGGGCAATTATGCGCTTGCTTTATCACGACTTTATGATTCATGGCAGGTAATGGCGTCGATAATGTTTCAAATAGATTATTTATGTGTATGGAATAGTAGGCACAATACTGTAAACGTATATTCGACTTCTCTTTAACACAATCACGCGCAACCCCGCGTCGTTCCCTTTCGTTTTATCAGATTTCCCTGAGAGCTCTGCAACTCACCCCAGAAAATGAATGTCCTCAAGATTCCTTCCTCATCATACACGCAAGAGCCGCAACAGCTGCGTCCTAGCACGTGACCCGGCCCCTCGACTTGTTGAACAGTGCGACACGAGTATCTACACCATTCTGAGTTCATATCATGACCTTCAAATCTCTCGCGCCTTCTTCATTCCCAGCTCTTCCACCTTACCCCCACCTTGCGCCACCAACACACCCGCATAAAATCAGAAACACCCGAAACATTAATCAAAGCACATTACGAGTACATCTACGGCACAGTACAGGCTAGCTTCAATTCCATGCGTCTGTCTAATCGCGCGGTAAAACAGCCTTGTTAACCTGGTCGTTATGTATGCGGCCACGGATGGCCTAGGTAAGTAGGGTTTCGGGAGTTCTGGGAATGGTTCGTTCGTTCGTATAGTACTGTCTTTGTTGGTCGTTAAGGGACCTTATTGGGAAGATTGGACCTTTGAAGTTGATGTTTCATTCTTTCTAAGGTTTGCGGGTTTCCATTGGCTTACTATTCATTAACTTAGTAATGCGGGTGTTTTGACTGGTAGCTTTGTTTTTTGCTTGGTCTTGCCTGTAACTATAGTGGAATAGAGCTTAAGGGCTAGCATTTCAGCCTGGATGTTCCATATATAAATCATGGATACACGTGATATAATCACGTGATATTGATGTCTTGTGACAATGTCTTACATATAGCTTGCTTGGAGTATTCTATTGTAATATTTGACTATTGTTTAGCTCCTAATCTAGCGTCAAACTCTTGTTAGATCTATGGAAATACCTTATCACATGACTTCATCATTGTCGATGGCAAAAGACTGATGAAAAATCTTGCAAACCTTGCGATAATCAATGGTTCCTTTAAAGCTTCAATCAGCCGCGAGAATAAGCTACCATAGACAAAAATGGGTAGTGAGGCGAGAGAATGCATGCCCTTTCCAAAATCCACACCGGCTTGTCTCTACTCTCTTAACAAAGGTTAATGATCCTTCGCCCCATTGTGTAAACAGGGAAATTCAGCAAATGATATCACTACGTCTAGGGCCTAGGGGGACCTTGTTACGTGATTCAAACTTTCTTAAGGGGAGGAGAGTAACAGCTTTTAGTTCGTACCACTAGACCCCCACTAGTACGTTCCGCTCCGTCCGTCACGTTCAACCACACTTGGCAGACATTTAAGTATCACCACTATGGGATCTTGGGACTGCTACTGCGCCATTTGCGGTGGAACGTTTGGGGGAGCTGAGATCTCCTCTAAGCCCCGCACGCTCCGATTTCACCGCCGTTTCCCGCAAGGTCCTGGTGGTCCTGAAGGCAAAGAGCATGAGGACCAGAATGGCGACGACGCAGAAAAAGAAGTGGACGACAATGAGTCCCTGGACAGTTACGACGAGGAGCACAGTTACGATCCCGACATCATTAGTGAAAGTGATACCGAGTGGAGCGACACCCTTCACATTTTAGGATTCAATCCCGAAGCTCCAGGAGTAAGCAAGTAAGTCTCTTAGAAGCTAGATCCATGGCATTTGCTTATTGGATCTCTAGAGCCTTTGTGTCCGGACCAGGTGGGTACTCGGATTATGGTGGGGTGGATGTTGAGGCTGGTGATGATCCGAATTACAAAGAAGAGGACAGCTTCACGTGTTATCGCGACTTCGACAACCAAAACACTAATGTCGTGTTCCCATTTCACTGGTGCTGCTACGAACTACTATCCAAGGCCTTGACTGGGACATCCAATGTTGCGAAAATCGACAAAGACCTTCTTTACAGCATCATGCAGGAGCTTTCCGCGGACTGTAGTTCTCGTCTCAACCTGGACTATGGCAATCCGGGTCCTGCCGGAGAGCAGTTCTGGGAATCTAATCCAGGAGAAGAATTTCTCGTCTCCCACCCCACGACTGAATCAGACATCGTGAACCAGTTGGTGACCTTGATTGCAGGTGGTGACTTTAATGTTTCGCCTTCCAACCTCGATCTCGGACGCCGGGTTAAACATGACCCCTTTGCAAAACTCCCATATGATCTTGTCTATAAGTTATCATGCCTTCTCCCTGTGAAAGCTTTACTTGATCTTGGAAAAGTATCATGGCCCATTCAGTCTGCCTTTGAAGGCAACGGGAATTTCTGGAAAGAACGCATCAAGAGAGCCATGCCATGGTTCTTTGAACTTCACGAATTGATGAACTATTCCGATTCCGAAGTGTTCGAAGGCATCAATTCCAAGTCACTCCTCGCGTGGGCAGACAATATCACAACCCCGAAAATCGGGATGAAAGGCCCATCTATGGGAATTGCAAACCGACGTCGCATTTGGAGCGTTTGCGAACAGCTTGCGGATCGATATCTGCCTCGATGCGTCGAGGAAGGTCCGCCAAACCTGGATCATATTGGAAGGATGATTAGCAAACTGTCTGGGTGTGTACAAATGCCTGTAATATGCTCTCCAATGCCGCACAGAAAGGACAAAGCCGTCGCATATTGGGTTCGATCTTGGGCGGATGTTTACTCTGAAAGAAACATATTAGAGATATTCTGGGATGCCGAAGGATCATTAGTTGGGTTATCTCTAAGCGGCGATGGCCATCGTCGGCTTTTTGGAAAAGACGACGCAATAGAAGGGGGTTCGAGGCAGGCACTGGTTCTTGAGAAAGGAGATTGGATCACCGGGCTGATCCTTCATCTCCCTGAATTGTGCTTACATGCAAGCCGTACACCTGATGATTCAACGATCACTTCTGTCAAAGGCATCACTGTAAGTTAGGCATTGATTCAATGTGGCGAAGACAATTCGACGTGAAGACAGCGCATGACTAACGAAGAAAACCAGATCCTTCGAAGATCTGGCATAGAGGCTCATTTCGGAGAGACCGACAAGGGCCATTCTAGGCGTCCGTTATTGGTCTCAGAGGGTATGACTGTAACAGGAATTATGGGTCAAACTGGTGTAAGCACATCTCTGAGAAAACCGGCCAATTAAATACCTAACATTGTAATCTATTAGCCGGAAAACCAGATTGTTCGCATCGGTCTACTCCAAACCGAGCGACCAGACTTGGATGACTATTCTTTTGTTCGGAAGAATTCTCGAGTTGATATTCCACAGCCCCCTACTTTACAAAGTTGGCTGTGGAAAGATGACTACATTGAAATCCTTACAAACCCGGTTTGGAATCATCCTACCCTCCGGCTCGTCCAGAATCTATCCACGCAAACGGGAAACAATGGACGCTTGTTGCATGATGTCCACGACGACCTTGTCCCACGTCAAACACTTATCTGGGCCAAAGACCGGCAAGAGCTTCGGAGTCTTAAACGTTTAACTGGTTACATAGTAGTTGGCGGCAACGTATCAGGCTGGGAGGATGGTGTGGCGTTTAAACGCCCAGTCCATGACCTCTGCGGTATCAATGTCGAGTTCACCCCAGACTACAACGCAGGGCAGCGCATAATTGGCATCCAGAAGGAGAAAGATGGGAGTGAGTGGGCTGAGGACCACTGTTCTCATTTTGTCATCGACGGAATGGGAGGGGAGTTTGTTGATGAAATTTCGTTTTCAATGCATGAATCACCCAAAGCCATCAAGGTAAGAATGGATCCTACCTCATCTCTAGGCTCTCTGGTATTTAAAATAAGCAAAGAATATATGCTGATATTAAACTTAGCTTCGAACGAACTTTGGTCGGGAGGTATACTGGGGCGAAGGGAAAGTAACGAACTGGAAAACGCTTCGTGCACCAGAGGGCGAAACGATTGTCGGAATGGTCATGACATTCGGCATACCCAGCGGCTTTTCGTGGGAGACAAAGTCTTACGTGAGTCTTTTCGTACATTTCCATGAGCGCGTACTTCGCCTTATAATTTTAGTCCAAGGCTAATTCTTATGCAGGCCCACTCGAAATTATCCTCCGTGGCGGCTTTAACGCTACCAATATAAATTCACATAGTTCAACTAGTCGAGTTCGCAACCAGTAGAGGGGTCTCCGAATGTCACATGAAGTCAAACCGAGATTGTTCTTTTATACTACCGTAGTAAATATGAAAGTACAAGGTACGCTAGCAGTTTAGCGAAGGAAATTTGGAAACCGTAACAGGGCATTCTTAGGAACTTACTTCAGCTAGTCCAAAAGAAGCCTTCTATTTTACAATTGAACATAAAATTTTGCTAGCAACTAATTCTTTTTAATTCAAGTAAAATAGAATAGCTTCCTTAGAATCTTACAGTCTTAAGAACTCGCTGGTTTATCTTAAATGGATGGATTTCACGCTAAGCTGCTAGCGCACTGTGTACTATTATAGTCACTACTGTAGGTCCTTTACGATTAGTGTCTTTTATTGCTCGTTTCCTCATTGTGAGAGGTCTCCTATTCCTGTCGAGCGACCCAGGAGAAAAGCCTCGCTACCTGTGTTCACTAACATTTCTGAATGTTCAAGGCTCGATATTTTAGCAGTGCGGATATTCTCTACGGTACCACGGTGCTCTGTTTACACGTGTTGGTGATAGGGAGCCGTTGATTACTCTTTCGGGGCAACTGGCATTACACAGCAGCACAACGGAACGGCCTTATTCGCAGATGCCGAAATAGGTAGAAATCTTGGATTGAGACCTGGTGGAAATCTATCATTTTCGACCTCTCAGTAAGTCACAGCTCTTGGATGATAGATATAGGGCCTGCAGGACGAGTCTTACAGACTAGGACGGACACCGGATACAGAGCCTGCTTGCTGCCTTTCAAATCATCTGTCTCAGTCTCTCTGGAGTCTACTACGTTGCAATCGCAGTAGCGTAATTGGGGTTTTAGGAACAGCAACTGCAAAAATCAACCTGTAAACTGTGTTTTTTGATGATCATCGACGCAATCATTGTCCTAACTAAACTGTTTTAGCATGGTAAGTCTGCTAGCCTTTCTATTTCCTGCGATTAATGTCCTGGCATCTCATTTTCTAGGGCTATACGGTACGAAGTTGAGAGCGCGGGGTAGTTATAGGGGTAGGGATTATAGAGATACAGCGGGCAAGTATTGTCACAACGCTAGCAGAGGTTAAACTTTCTAACCCTATGTTTAATAGTAATAACATTTTATTTGTTCAAATTAGCTTATTATATTCACTCGCTTTTAAAGGATTCACATAGTGTTTAAGGTTTATTTTTATATTAAGCACAAAAGATGTTATAAAGGGTAGAAAACATAAGCACCCCCTCTGCTCTCGCTAGTGTCGTGACAATACTTCCGCGCTATACATCCACAAGTGCGAGAAACAGTAGCGGAGACAAACCGGACGAAATTTAAAGTCAATGGAAAGTTCATTAAAAGCCGTAAAATTTCAGGGTTAATCATCATACGTTTGAAGCAACCAATTAATGCATGCCCACCCACCGTGGACATAAAAGGGGCACTCATCTCATCATGCTAGCTTCTTGATCGCTCCCTCGGCTTCGAACTTTAAAAGCTAATGCTGACTTTTCTGTTCTGGACGACATAGTCCATCTGATACTTTTGCCTCAGCTTGAGTGAACAACCCGAATTCCCCTGCGATCCTTCTGTCGGACGAAGTATGCACCGGTGACCACAAACCTGTTCGATTCGTGTCCTTGTATCATTTGTGAAGGGCCACAGATCTTCAAATACGATATATCATTTAGAGTAATAGTTCCACATGGTGCTGCGTGAGAGTTTGCGTGGCGAGGTAATGATAGCATATGCTTCTTTTCGACTCTTCCCAGGGTTGCTCCTCGATGTTTTCAGCCCGTGTTTCTGCTTTCCGCAATAAAGATAAAGAGAACCACATTTATTTATTGCACGCGTGAAAGTCTTTAGCGCTAGCTAAGGTAAGCGAGTTATACAATATAAATACCGATTTCATGTATAGTATTCAATCTCATCCAATAGCATATTCCAGTACATGCACTCATCTAAAACACAAACCCCAGGAGCCATCAGTATGCGCATCTCAGCCATCACCGGCTTCTTGGGCCTAGCAGTAGCTCAAGCCGTCTACCAATCCGCGCCATTCTACCTCGTCTTGAAATCAAGGAACTCGAGCCTCAACGGCGCCTACCTCTCGCCCTGCCACGAAGGCGCCGCAGAAAGCGCTCTATGCCCAACGAAAGAACCACCCACCGACCTGAGCTACAGCCAATTCTACTACAACACTTCAGCCCCGGATGCCCAAGATCCTTTTGGCACGCTGGGTTGGGACCTTCCCATCGGTGAAGGCAGCGACGGCATTTCCGTCCCGCAACCCATGATATTCCAATACAACGACGCATCCAACGTCGCTGTTCCGCTATTCTTCTTCGGCAACCCCACCTCTGTAGAGTTCGGGAGCGGCGACAACCAGATGACGATATTTTCCTTCCGGGACGACACGAAGCCGCTGTCGTTGGACAATGGAAACTACTCGGCTCATCTGAGCCGGTGGTACGTTTGCGACACGATTCCTACCTGGTACCTCTATCAGACGTTGGCGTGGGCCATGGGCAAAGCAAAGCCGCAGAATCCTTCTTGTCAGAAGGTCGAGGTTTATCGGAAATGGGCTTGATTTACGGAGACAGAAGCGTTGACGGCTGTGAGGCGCTGGGACATTCATTTATGACAAGGGACAGATGACTTCATGAAGTGCATACGTTAGTTGGAGCTTTTATGCAGTAGATGTGTTCCGTTGCGAGCTATCGTTAAGGTATTGCTTTAGAAGTCGTGGGAGGCCTTCGTTTCCTAATAACAAGCGTCAACAAAAAAGTTCACCTGTAAAGATAGCGCTCAGATTTGGAAGTGATGCAAAACTTAAGACTCTCATTATTTATCTTCAGATAGCCTGACAATGCAGCACAGAATCTATGTATACAAAAAGTGGGGTTGCGACAGCGTATCTCGTTGCCTCTTGGCATGGATGTCGAATCATTTTCTCCCTGCATGCGTTCATTCAAACTGATGCCTGTCTCTCTAGTTCCGCCAAAGACAAGTAAGAACGGTAAAGCATGAACCAGGTCGCGGATATGCCTCTTTGACGATTCCAGAAATCCAAAACGCCAACGCTCGCTGCTAGAATCAATCCTGCAAAAATAATAAAACATATACGGAAGGAAATTTGTGCAATGCCCCTCCGACCCATTTTTCAAATTACCCTCATGCTTATTTCATAACCTCATAAACATAATAGGATCACTGGATCCCAGCTAAACAGCTACATCGACCTCCTCATCAACATGAATTTTGAATTCCTTCTTCGACCCTGCGTACAAACCTTGTTGCGTGCTCGGATACTCGGAAGGTGCATCGCTCAGAGCATCTTCGTCCTCGTCCTCGTCTGTCGGCTGCCTGAGGCTAGTCTTGCCAGTGTGAATTGACTCATAGACCACGCTTTCATCAGCATCCTGCACACCCTCCCACTCATCGTCCAACTGGTTTGCTTCAGCGTCATCTTCGGATTCGGGTTCGTAATCGCTTAAAGCGTTCCGCTCCCAGCCTTGGCTCTCTTCAGCCTCGAGATTGAACTCATCGGTTGCGCTTCCCAGATCTTGGCCATCTTGATCGTCTTCGTCTTCGTCTTGATATATATCAATATCTGCATCATCTCGTGGCCGCGTATCGACATATGGTGCATTGCTATGTGGAGTTGCATAGGCGAAAGGCGTTGTACCCCTTTTGTTGGCCTCTGCAATTTCGTCAAACGTGTAAGGACTGGGTGGACCCACACTCCAGCGAGGAGTATCACGTGGCCGACTCGGTGAGCGAGAGATACGACGGCGTTTGAGAGTCAGGTTCATTGCTGATGATGAAGTAGCGTGGGTTGGTGATGATTGAGTTTCGACATCAAAGGAGGCAATTCGGCGCTTGCTTGTTTGCGAAGGCGAGGATTTCGTGGGGATAAGCGTCGGCATGGAAGTCGTGCGGGCATGAATGGGTCTGAGCAAAGTGCGTTGTTTCAGAGGAGAAAAACAGCGTCCTGAAGGAGGTGCGATAGAGGTAGGTGTTGTCGATGCATTGCGAGAGGCTTCCGCGGAAGAAAAGTGATCAGAAGGCGATGCTGGCTCCGGTTCAGGTTCTTCCTCGGGGGCAACTGAGCGGATGCTTAAGGACGAGATCTGGGATGCGAAAGATGAGTGGATGCTTTGAGGTAATGGATCTAGGCGTTGATCGAACTCCCAGCAAGGTTCGTGTGCGTCTGCCTCCGGTGTATGATTAACATTATGCTCATCGGGATAGACTCGAGGTAGTTGTCGCAATTTTTGCCAAGTCCAGTCTGCAGTATCACTGCCGAGGTGCTGAATGTAGCTGTCCCGTTGAGTGACATATAGGCGTCTCGTTCCAGATGTACGCATGGCGACACTTGAGTTAAGGAATTGTACAGTCCATAGAGCGGGAGTAATCATTTCTGAGGTGCTGAGAAAACGAAGACAAGAATCCTTATGAAGCTTCCGTAGCGGAATCCAAGCAGCTTGTAGACCAATATATTTTCGTAAAGAGTCGGGTATTGTTCCACTGTTCTCGTGCTCCGTAAAAGGATCTTCGAGGAGTGTCCCCGGCAGGTCGCCAAAGGCGGCCATTATAGCAGTTTGGACATCTCTCGCAGTAGGGCCATTTATCTGAACCACTTTGACTAGTCCTCTGCTTCGAAGTCGTTCATCGACTTTACTTTGACGACCACAGCCCCTAGCCATTTGCCAGATGCAGTCTTCATCGGCTGCAAGATTCGAGGCTGACCTTTCCCATGCTGATCTCCCGTTCCGAACGGCGAGACAAGCTTGAGCTGCATCCATGGAGATGCTTTGAGTCTGTGTCCAATCATCGGCGACCATGCTGTTACCTCTCGATCGTTGACTCGTGCCAAATTGGGATGACCAGACACCCATCAACTCCGGTCCGAAGGGAAGGAAGACGACCTCGACGTCCCATGGGCGTGTACGAGATGGGAGGGATGAAGCTTCCAACTCTGCAACTCGTGCTTCCACAGCCTCGATTCGCGAACAACCCATCTGGTCCATGGCGGCGGCGATCATCGCCGATGAGGTTGTGGATATTCTGGAATCGATGGAACTCGCCACATGGTGTCGACTTCTGACGCTACTGGCATCGTTCTGGACAGCCTGTGCATCCTCTAATTCCCTCATCCTGGCTTCAAGTTCGATGACTCGAACATCCATAACTTCATAACAAACCTCAGCGCCAGGGTTGGAGAATGAGCTGTTCTCTAGCAGTTCCAAGCGTCGTTCATGATCCTTGACGGCGTTTGGATAATTAGAAAAGTGATTCACGATGTTTCGAAGCTTAGGAGCTAGTTGATTATCAGGTTCATTGTCCACTGTCGCTGAGTCCATTCCGGGATATGAATTTCGATGCTTCAGTTGAGACTGGGAGCCGGACGCTTTAACGAAAGGTCGGGAAGATACTTCAGGAGCCTCTTCAACAATTCTCTCTAGAGTATCCTTGATGGTTTCATGAACCTTACTCACTCTTGAAAGATCTTGGTCCTGGGAATGACACACACTCGGTGTTGCAACTTCCGTAACGCTCTGCACATATTGATTTCCATTTACATCTTCATAAAGTTGCAAAGCTCGAGGATTATCTTGTACTTGCTCACCGGTCCTTGACTCAGGGGCCTTGCCAGGAACAGGCTTCGTGATGTGGCTCAACGTTCCAAGTCCTAGTCCGCCAAAGGGTCGATGGTACCTTGATTGGCTACCGGAGGTCCCAGAACCATTATCGGATGGAAGTAGACATTGCGATGGAATCGGCGGCATACCTTCAGGCGAGCCAGAATGTATGTATCGACTCCATTGGAGCGTATCTGGGATCGTGGAATTCCGTAGAGACTGTCTGCTATCACTCCTATCCAGAATAGGGTCTATCTCTGGCAGACCCACCTTGTGCGCTTGTTGAGGGGTTGATGGTAACTTCGCAGTTGATATACCCTCGAAAGACACTCCATCGCTTGATGCCTTCCCTTTGTATGCTCCTACCGATTCATGGTCGTGGAAACAAGCATGATGCTCACACATGCAGAATCCTGACTTGACGGAGGAACCTTTCCCATCCGCATACCCCAATGATTTGTCCCAAAACCTCCTACATCCACACCGGGGTGCAGGTCCTCCCCCGCCAGCGCTCAAATTTGTGTAATTGCATGCCCCGCCCGGCAGCCTCTTTTCCTCAATTGTGTTGGTATCTTCATCGTTGACAGGTATATGAGAGAGGGGAGTATTCGGAATAGTGGTTAGGGCGGCCATGAGTAGTTGATGGGAGGATTGGAGTGAGGAAAACGAGGTCCTAAGTGAGATCGTGTCGCATTGAGGGCTATGGTGAGGTTGAGGTCGCGGTCGCGGTCTCAGGCCGGCGGCTATCGAGCTCTATCTACTTTAACAGCCCCGCGCACATGGAAAAACTGGTATATCGCGACGGAAATTGTGATTCAAATGGCATAAATTGTTCTGGTGACAATTAAGTATAATAGACGCGTCGCAATCGAATTACAACGAGGGCATTTCAATTCTGCGCCGGGTATCAGTCTTTCCATTCTTAGGCAGATGGCGTGAAGCAGCATAACTAACCTCGAGGAACTCCCAGTTGCGCAATGCAATTGATATGACAGGCAGGTAAGGGACTCGTTCTAGCTATAAAAATACAGAGTTATAATATGAAAAACAGGCAAGAAGGGCAACGAAGCTCTTCGCACCAGGTAGCAGGCAAGCACGCATCCTAGGTTCACGCGGGTTCTTGGAGTCGTTTATAAAGATAAAGGGTGATAGAGAAGCGCAAGGGCTTAAGATGACTCCTCTTAGACCTTGTTATAGCTTAGTAGTATCTGCACTAGCAGGGGGAACAGAACCCGATTCGCAGCCCAACCTAGATGGATTTGCTTTTTTGGAAACTTATGCCTGACTGCCTTGATTTGGAAATAGCATTTACTTCGTCTCAGGCCAGAGCAAGGGGGCCGGCTATGCGTTTACTACTATTCTTTACTTCCTGCTATAGTATAGAATTCTTAGCGGAATTATGTAGCCTAAGATGAAGTAACACGCCCGAATACCTACCTCCATAAGACGGCTCGGGTCGCTTACCCGTCGGCGTTTTATTTAAGTAAATAAGTTGATTTTATTTTATTCTCTTATTTCTAAATCTTCTAGATAAAGATCGCATCGTCTAACTAGAGTATTATTTGTTTCTTCGTCCTCTTATATCCTAGACTAAATAGGAATCTGCTATAAAATAGTAGACTTATAATTTGATATTATTTAAAGATTCATCTTAGGCTAGATTATATCCTTAGCTTATATTTGCAAAATAGAGTGCAGTCAAGTGCAGTCTAAAATGCAGTTAAAAATGCCGTTAAGTGCAGTCTAAAATATAGTAAAAATGCAGTTAAAAATGCAGTTAAGTGTAGTCTAAAATGCAGTTAAAAGTGCAGTCTAAAATGCAGTTAAAATTATAGTCAAAAATGCAGTCAAAAGGGCAGTCCAGAGGGCTAATGCGACGCGAGTTACTCTTTATGGCAATTTGAATCAAGGCTTGCCTAGAACAGTCGATCGCGCACGGTCAGTCAGAGGAAGCGGAGGAGATACTTCGAAGTAATTGTTCCAGATAAGTTACTAGGCCACAAAGTGCAATATGTGATCCCTGGACGCCGCACAGAGATGAGCCCGGGAGCTGGGGTCCTCGGTGTTGATTTATTTGATTTGATTTGATCAAATCGCCACTCTATGCGCTTTCTTGCAGCTCAATTGACCCCGCGGGCTCTTTATTTGCTTCTTTTTCTAAACCAAGTTCTACAAGCGAATGGAATGGTGCTAAAATCTCCCAAATGCATGAAACTATATTTACTCCCTAGTGGTATCTGCGCAATTATTATTGCCTTAGTCTATTACTCTTCAGCATCAAAGTCGCCTCCCGGTCCACAATCAACCTTCAGCCAACTCAATGCCGTCTCGCCGTCATCTTCTTCCTCGACATCTGATTCGCGAGCCTCCTCGCCATCAGTCTCCCAGTCGTCATTCTCATCTTCCTTCCCCGCCTCGCCTTCTAGATCACCATCCGTGTCCTCATACTCACTTTCATCTGACAACTCGACGAAAGACTCATCAAACTCCTCAAGGGGTTCCTCATCCTCTAGCACGGTATTGATGAACTCCTCACAGCCCTTCCATAGGTGGTCTTTATAATGCGCCTTCCTCTCACCCAACATGTCCTTACCTATTCCTGGTTCGGCCAGCAAAGCCTTGACTACTTCGTTGTCATTCATCATCACGGCAGCAGTAAATGCATTCGCATACCGACCTCCCGCAATCTTCGGGTCAGCACCGCGGGAGAGCAGCAACTGTACCAGCCATGTATTTCTCGCAGCACAAGCAGCTTGAAGTGCCGTGCCATATTTTCCTCCCTGGATGTTCGGGTCTGCGCCATGTTTAAGCAGTAACTTTGCTGTTTTAGCATTACCAGCAGCGCAAGCAGCTTGCAACGCAGTTCTGTATTTTCCACCGATTTGGTTAACGTCCGCTCCAGATTTCAGAAGAAACCTAATGCATTCGGTCGGAGCATGGAAAGCAGCTGCTTGAAGTGCAGATCCAAACGGTCCGCCTATTATATTGAGGTCTGCGCCATGCTTAAGCATCCATTTTATTGTCCTGAAATCGCCGTTCTTTGCTGCTGCATTCAAAGCTGTTCCGTGCGGTCCTTCAGTGACGGCGTTAAGTTCTGCGCCGCAGGAGATGAGGTACTGGATTATTTTGAGACCGCCTTCCGTCCTATCCATACTGAAAGCAGCACTTTGTAGGACAGACCCTCGTTTTGTGCAAGCATTAACATCAGCGCCCCTCTCAATCAACTGCTTGACATAGTCGTACTTCTGTTCTCGGCACGCAAGAAACAGAGGGCCGCGACCCGACTTGCCATCCATAAGATTGGGGTCCGCGCCCTTATCTAGCAACTTTCTGTATACACTTTCTTTGCCTACCGCAACAGCCGCTCCAAGTGGCGTAGAATAGCATCCACCGACGGCATTAACGTCCGCATTGGCGCTCAAGAAGACATCAACCAATTCCTCTTCATCATCATTCCGGTGCAAGATAACAAAATGAAGAGGCGAGCCCCATTTTCCGCAAGTCTGATTCACGTTAACATTATGTGATTCCACGAGTTGATGTACAAGGGTATGGCAAGATCCGCCAATCGCAGCTCCAAGTACAGATCCCCATATACCGCCATTAATGGTGTTCGAAGCTCCCCAGTGGTAGAGTTTCCAGATGAGCTGAAAGTACCCGTCTCGATAGGCGCTCTCCAGGACGGTACCGTAGAAACCCCCGCAGGCATTGATGTCAGCACCGGCTTCAAGGAGTATCTCAGCGATTTCCCAACCGCCGTTTTCTGCTGAGGCTTGGATTGCAGAATGGTACATTCCTCCATACTTTTTGACATCTGCTCCTGCTCTTAGAAGTGCCTTTACACCCTCGAGATCTCCAGAGTAAGCCATGGCAATTATGGCGTAAGGGAACTTCCCGCCTGCATCGGTGTTGGGATCTGCTCCGCGTTCCATAAGGATATTAAACACATCTTCTTTCTCCTGCTCAATGCAGGCAGCTATTAACGCTGAACCGTGCTGTTTGAGACATTAGTATCTCCTTTTTGTTAAAATGAATTTTGCAGTCACCTTTCCGATATTGTTTTCGTTGATTTTTGCGCCCGCGTCGAGTAGGAGGGTAACGCATTCTATGTTATCCGAGCACACAGCAGCTTGAAGAGCAGAGCCAAACGTTCCCCCAACTACATGCACGTCACTGCCCAACTCAAGTAGGGTAGCTACTGCTTCGTGTTCTCCGTGGTATGCCGCACACTGAAGTGCAGTCTTGAATGCAGTATCGTCTCTTGGTTGTACCAAATGGGCACCTGCCTGGACCAACTTACGAATCTGAGTAACATAGCCTTCCATAGCCGCTACTTCCAACGCGGTCGCCACTCCATCATCTACTGTTGAGTCGTCCATTGATATGTCATAATATGGGTCAATAGTCAGATTGACATCCGCTCCTCTTTCTATCAACAAATCTATTAAAGTATCGTTGGGCATGTTTACAGCATCCATCAGCGGAGAATATAGGCTATCATTGACCATATTGACGTCCGCACCGTAATCCAGCAGAATGGTAATAGCTTTGACGTCTGCTCTCCTAACAGCAGCAACAAGAGCACTGCCTGCATGAGTTCCATCTTCTGGGTCCACTCCCTCGTTGAAATTTGCCCCAGCAGCAAGAAGTGCCTCTACGACCTTGTGGTTGCAATGGTCGCTGTCAATTGCAGCTATTAGTGCTGTTCCGTGAACTCCGGCTTCAGCATTCACGTCTGCTCCAAGGCCCAAGAACATCTCTACCAAGGTTATGTTTCCTTTGAAAGCAGCAATGCTCAGGGGAGTCCAGTTCTCCTGTTTGACTTGCGCAAAGTCATCTGACGAGTCAACCTCAGCCCCGAGATCGAGCATATGTTGTATCAGAGGTTCATTCTGTTTCCAGGTTGCGATGGCCAAGGCATTTAAAGTGTCTTCTGTGCTCCCTGTCGGCACGCCTAGCTTAAGCAGGAGATCGATCATTTCTATATCTCCAGATGAGGCGGCACTGACGAGTGCTGTACCTCGAACCCCGCCTTCCTTGTTCACATCGACTCCAGCCTCTGCCAGAACACGTACGATGTCTTTGTGGCCAGAAAAGGCAGCCGCTTGTAGGCAATTGCCATAATGTGGATCGGTAGCATGTGGGTCTGCACCAGCCGCTAATAATCTTTGAACAATAGCTAGATGTCCCTCCGCGCTTGCTGCATTGAGAGCATTTCGATGCTTACCTCCTTTGGCATTGACGTCCGCTCCTGAAGCCAACAGAAGCTCGACCACATCGAGTCTGCCAGCGCAGCACGCCGAGTGCAAAGCATCCGCGCCTTTATCATTCTCGTCGTTGACTTTAGCTCCCAGGTCGATCAGCTTCTTCACCAGATCAATCCTTCCCAGCGCAGCGGCTGCCATCAATGCACAGTCGTGTCGACCTCCTTGGATATTGACATTTGCACCATTGTCCAGCATCTTATGGATTATTGAGTCGTCTTTTCCAACTATTGCAGAAACTAGCGGGGTTGAGTACCAGCCCCCTCGGCCGTTGACAGGCGCACCAGAATTTAATAGCAGCTGTGCGACCTGACGATGACCCTTCTCAGCGGCAGCAGCTAACGGCATACCAAATCGTGTATCGACAGCCCTGAGATTAGCGCCCCTCTTGAGAAGAACATCAACGCAACCCACATGGCCTTCAAGAGCAGAGACTTGCAAGGGCGTACCGTATTTACCACCCTTGCTTTCAATCGGTGCTCCCCACTTCAACAAAACCTCAACGGCTTTACCATGACCCTTTGATGCTGCTGAGTACAAGTAACGACCTAATTTGTCCTTAGCTTCGCCCTCGAAACAACGCTCGAGAAGAATATCGATCACGTCAGCGTGTCCTTCCGTTGCGCAGGCAAAAAGAGGATCATCTTTTTTGTCATTTCCTAATGTCGGCTCCGCACCTTGGTCAAGGAGGGATTCGACTACTTTTGGAAGACCAAATAGAGATGCATAGTATAATGGACTGGCATGGATTGGGGTGGCCATATTAAGGGTGTTTCGTCGATATTGCAAGTGGTAGACTTGCAGCCACAGATCGTAATTAGATCGATTCTTGGCACTAGAATGGAACAACTGTTCAATTAGGCCGTGAATCAAGTTCTCGGAGGGTGTAGCCTTGTGTGCGTGGATGGCCCACGACTTGGATGCATATTCTAGAAAGCCGAATTGATCCAGAAAAGAGACCACCTCATCAACAGATGCGAATGGCCTGCGATCAAAGTCTCGGTACCCTAGATAAGTCAAACATACTTCTGCAAGTTCTGTATGTACGTCGTCATCGCCAATGTAGTACCCTCCCATTGTTTGTTTCAGTCTTGGGGAAGTTAAAAACTCCTTAACGGTGAAATGAGCAAGAGACACTTTGTTTTCATCAGAGACAACCAGAAGACTGCTACAGAGCCCCACAATATCCTCTGGATCCATTTGGTCATCAATATCGAGGTTTTCGTTTTCCGCACGGGGATCGATAGCAATGGCAGATGCCAATTCTTTGAGCGTCAGTTCTCGCGCTCCACGAACAAGCCACATCAAGAGCATTCGGACGGTTTCGGCGTAATCTTCGTCAATGGACTGGAGGATTCGAAGATATGTGTCCTCTAACGTCTTGGGTAAAGACTTCAAGGCTTCCCGAATGGTGTTGTGAGTTTTAAACTTGCAGAGGTGGTCGATTTGGCAATTTATCCATTGGAACATGCCGTCAGCCTTGTCGACCAAGGTGTTCGATATTTCCTTTCGAAGCTCGTCGTCCCTGACTTTGAGTTTTTTTGAGGCAATCCTCTCATCCAATCTTGCATTTATATAGCTTCCAATATCTGCCGAGACATGTTGGGCTCTCATCTTGAGCTCAGGGAAACCTCTAAATTCCTCGTTGATTAGCGGATCTTCCCGAGAGCTGACGAAAATTTTGACGTGCTCGAGCGAGTCAGCGATTGCTGAAATGGCGTTCAATATGCATTCCCGATCTTGACACTCATCAATAGCATCAATAACAATGTACACCTTTTGAAATGATGTTTCCAGAAATGGGCCGAAGTTGCTACGTACCAGGTCCAATGACGGTGGTACCATGTTAGCTGTCCGATCATCCTTGTACTGCTCCTTGAAAAAGTTCTGAACATTCTGAAACACCGCAATGTTTTGGCTGCTAAGTTGGCTGAGTAGTGTTCGCAGTACGACTGCCGGGTCCTGCTTCATAGGGTCCTTGTAATCGCAGTAGAAATATGCAAGACCAACCTCATCTGATTGAAATTCATGCTTGATGTAGTTGATGACACTCGATGTAAGAACAGTTTTTCCAGCGCCAGGAATTGCATGCAGCCAAAATAGTGGTGACTTGTTGTTTTCGAGCCATGTCTGGAACACATTGCCATCTAGGAACCACGAGCCCGTGTTACCGTATCGAAGCTTTGTTGAGGCATTCTGGTTGCTGGTAACATCGGCAGGTGCAAGCCATTTAATTACCCTTTCCATCGCATTTTCCTCTACCTCACCCTGCCACTTGGTGTGGATACGTTCAGTCTGCTCCCAGCGGCTTCCTTGAAGCATGCGTTCTTGAGCAGCTCGAACTCGCTCCGCGTGCGCTTCCTCCTTTTCCGCGAGATTGATCTCGTGGTCGATCTTGATCATACACTCACTCAGTCTGGTCCGAAGTTCTCCGAACTGGATTTTGAACGGTTTCCAAATGAGCTTGATCATGGTCGAAATGCCGACAGGTGTGAGGGCACGCAGATGATTCTTCCCTTTCCTCTCGCTTGCTTGAATAAACACACTTCTGGCCTTGGAACAGAATTCAAACATGATCTGGTATACTTCCACCATGAAAGATTTCAGCTGCTCATTATTGGGAAACAGATGCGGTAGGCGCCGAAGTTGAGAGAGATGAAGTCCCATTATTTCCATCATATCCGAGATCTTGTCGAAATACTCGGAATACTCTTTCGCAAGCTTTGCGCCACGTGAGCCTTGCGCTTCTCATAGAAGGATCAAACTTACAAGCAAAACGATCCGGAATGAACCCCATAGTGGCGATAGGATCATGGTGCTGCAATTCGCGATTACATCAAAAGAAGACGCATACTGCTCAACACCCGCAACAAATGGTTTCAGCGCCGCCGAAACCTTTCGGCTGGTACTTTTCGACTTGTGCTGTCGTTCTGCATCTTGAATATCGGATAGTAGATTCTCTACAACTGTAGTTGCAACAAATAACTCCTTTTCACTCGGTGTGAGGTTCGTGAAGAAGCTCTCGACGATGCCACCAAGCCGCGTTTTAAGATCCCTGGAATAAAAGATTAGCCAAGTCTTTTGGGACTTTTCCACGACTCTCACCGTTCTACAACACGGGCCGGCATCTTCTAATCACCAACCGTGTTCGAAAGTTTTCTCCTGTCATCAACTAATTAAAAAGCGAAAGATATAGCATGAAATATAAGGTCGAACGGGAAGCGTGAGATTTGTTTGCGATGTCAATTTAGGCTCCTGCAGACTCATCTTAAGTAAGCTTCCTTCTTCCTTCAGGCGTTTACTTCGCGCATAGTTAAGTGTCCGGTGGCACTGGTTGTGATTCGAGTACTCGTATTTCGCTTAGAGTAACTACTGGATACTCGCGCCTCTCGTTCATGTGCAATGCTTGGTAGCGCTTACTAGACTGTCACCCATTTAGAAAAGGTACTATATTAGTATAGGGCACGGGCGCTAAAAACCACGTCTATTACAAGGGCTTGTAGTGGATAGAAAAGGCGGCGCCAATTTATAACTAAACCTTAGTAGGATTGAGTGCCGCTTTTTGCATCAAGCAGAAGAGGGGTCTGGTGGAGCTATTATAATGACTTTGAAGCCTTATGGAGGAGTGCTTCTATGACCAAAGGTACAATAGGCTTCATACTTTTAATAACCCCAAAATTATGGAAACACTTCTATTTGCTGGTGAAGTCTTTCGGATCTCATAAACCATTTAGTTACGAAAAGATTAAGCTGGACCAAACAAAAGTATTCAGTCAATACTGTTGATATCACAAGGTGATCACTTCTAATGCATTCTGGTTGCTGTCGATTTCTTCCAGATCAAAAAGATCGGAGAGTTCGCCGAGCTTTGAAAGTGCATTATGTTTCGCGGTGTGACTTTTTAGCAGGGCTTCGGATAACTCTTGCCCCTCTTCAGTAGCCTGTCGCAGTCGTACAGAATGTTGCTCCGTTTTTGGCCCTTGGAGAAAGTGGCAATTGGTGCCAATGGCAAAATTACTAGAGTAGCCAGTGAATTTATAAAACTCTTCGCTGGCATAGATGATAGGATTGTCGCGCTGATTGGGGTCTACTAAGCAGACCACTTCACTCAATCCCGAAGTCTTCGTAGTTGATTAGTCTTCGAACACTGTTTTGATCTGGAAAACTTATCAAGCCTTCCATGACCGGAGCTTTCCTACCCGGCTTCTCATAAAGAAGCAAAATCGCACTTTCGTATTTCATAAATGAGGCTGGGAGCAAAGGTCAATCCCTGCTTATGTATGGCTGGACAGAAATATGAGGCTCTGTAGATTGGGGGCTTCTGCAGGTGCCGGGCCTAAGTTTTCAATTGGAAGTTGTTTCCGGAATGACCTTTCTTCTGATCAGTGATCAAGCCGCATTTGGGGTCGAGAAAGAGAAAATGAGGCTGTTGTTCCGTTGCTTCGCTGCAACGAGCATTTGCATCTGCATGGCAGCGAAGAGAATTATGCCAGGCATGACTGTCCAAGTATCGGTAGACCTATGAGCGGCGTAGATGAGCAAGGCTGAGATCCTACCTAAGTAAGCTTACCGAATATAGGATATCTACAGCACAGAGGTGCAGCCTCGAATGATTGCAACTTTCTTGGCGTGAGAATAGCGCACGGCGATATAACATTTGTCTCCAAAAAAGTAAAAAAGTGCAGATCAAAATCTATCGATTCAATTTTACACTAGCTAGCATCAAGCTGCTACGGTATATCATCGCAGGCCACCGTTCACTGTAAATCCCCCTCTAAACTAAGGAAAAGGAGTAAGTGAAGTCTGGTATATAAATAGAACATGGGTATCATCCACTCATACATTGTTGCAATATAGCAACTATATCCGAATTAGCCAAACACCGTTAATGCTTCTCGGAACTGTAAAAAAGATGTCGCGTCTGCACTTCATTATTCATCGCTTGCACTCCCACTGCCGCCTGAGGATCCGCCACCAAAGTAGCTCTGATCAATCTTGAATATCCACTCTACTTTCTCTCGCTCGCTCCTTGCTTTGAATAACCAGGTGTTGTCTGTTCCATATACTGCAAACACCTTTTCTTCATCTCGCTCACCAGCTCTCCCTCTCCCCGAATCAGCTCGCTTCAGTAGTTTTGCGATTTGGGGTTGATGATCAACACGACTATTCCTGAGAGCCACTATACAGACCTCTTCGCCATCTGGTACAGAATGAATATGTAGATATGGCTTCCGCAGCTCGATGAAGCGGCGGATCCAGCGCGAACTATCTGAGGATGGAGTGAGGAGATACCCACCTTTCAGTATCTCTGAATTCTTGGTAACAAGCGAGATCTTTGCCAACAGCGTGGGAGAGGAAGGTTGCGGGGGAGGCGGAGTCGATACACCATTTGATGGTGGTTCGACATTTGATGATGTAAGGATGCTAGTAATCGGGTCACGGCAAAGATGCCAAAATCTGGTGTACTTTTCCAACAGGCTTTTCTGGTGCTCTGAAAGCTCTGTCGGCTCGGCCGGCTCGTCTATTTGCACTTCGTCGTTTGTTTTCAGAGTCGGCGTGAAAGATATTTGGCTTAAAAGAGGTTTCGCTGCTTCGAGTTCTGCCAGTCGGTGTCTTCGCCGATTCGCAGCGATGTGATCTCGAATCAATGATATGCCCCTTGGAGTCCAATCTGTAAGGCCCTCTTCTCCTTTTACATAATCGTTCTGTGTATTCATCCTCCAGAGATCACCGGCACGCTTCACGGGTGTGGGGCGCACGGAGATCGAAAATATACCACTCGTGGAGTGTACAATGCGCACGGTCTGCCATAAGGATGAAAACATCGACGTAGAACGTACATATGACCGAGATAGTATCTGTGAGCATACTTCCATGGAGAAAGACATTGGCTCTGCCAGCTTGCTGGATGTAACATCCCAGTGGACGGACATTTGGACCTTGTACTTGTCGGCAGTAATTCGATCAAGTAGTACTGAACTGTGTGCACTGGAATCCCATTGACCGATTAGAGTTACGGTGCTTGTCCCATTTGCATTTGCTTTAACAGTCGGTTTGGAAATCAATTTCAACGGGATTTCGGCCGAAGGAGACCCAAGGTTAGGAGTCTTTCCAACATGATCAACAAGTTGTATCCGACCAACTCGTAAGCCAGAGACATCTTGCCATGGCATGGCCGCACCAGAGCTGTGCATCAGATTCACTACGAGGCGTCGTTGAATGCCTTGGTGTAGTTGAAAGGAGCCCTTGTCCAAATCATTCGTCTGAATAACTTCTACCGGAAGATACTCGCCAGTCTCCGCAAGCTCGAGAATTTGCACCTTTGCGAACACATCGTGTTTCTCTTCGGTGTAGAACTGGGACTCTGCGATGCGGGCGTTCTTACGCTTTTGTTGAGGACGAGGCACATTGTCGCGCATGTCATCCCAGCTGAGAAGCTTGTCTAGGTGCATAGAGGAGACCTTGGCGTATATGGCTACTCGTAGGGCCACGCTGGTTGGACTGAACATTGGGACACTCATACTATGAACGCTTTCAAATCGGATTGGCCCTTCGTCGAAGTCTTTGATCATCTGTGTTGTTGTCACACCACCTTCCTCCGAGATTCCGGGGAGAAAGAGTTGAGCATGGACTTCACTGCCTTCGCGTTCCGCAAATCCAACCATATCATGCATTACCACATTGAACTTCAAAGTACTTGAAGGCGCCCTGGCAGATGAAGGCTCCAGGGATAACTTGATTAGACCGATCGCGTGGGAGGTATACGGCGACATAACATCCAGGCTGAAATCCTGGACTCTGCTCTCGAAAACAGCAGCTAGAGGCACGTCGACGTCTCCAATATGGGTGTATTGTGGCATGCACGTTTCCATGAATGGATTGTCAAGTCTGAAATGTTGAAGGTATTCAGGCCGATCCATGTATTGGTGCATCTGTCTCATCAACCTTACTCGATCCTCCAGCTTTTCGAGACTCCACAAATGAACAACACTGCTCCTGTAATCAATCACTCGAACACCAACACAAGGTTTCGGGGCAGATTCGAGGAATTGATCATCGTCGCCGGATATCCCATTTAGAACCATGTCATAAGATGAGCACAAATAATGACCGACATCCACGATCGTGAACTGAAAGACTACGCTCTCTTCCATCTCCTGGCTCATGATTTGGGCCTCCTTTAGATTTGCAGCAGACTGTAGTATAGCCTCCGCCATTCGCACATATCTTCGGCCGCGCCAGTGCTCAACCACTCGTCGTGCAATCGTCAACTCTGCTTCGGATAGTGAGGCAGGGCCATCCATCGTAGATCTCGAAGGCGTCAGCTGTTGCAAGCGATCCTCGAACTCCTTTCGTTGGTCTTCCAGTTGTTGAAGCATTTCCTCCTTGACTTCCCGAAGGCTTTCTTCCATTCGAGATTTCTCTTTCTTGATCTCCTCAACCTCAACATTAGCCACCTCTGCGGACTTGAGCTGATCTTGATATTCCTCTTTTTGCTTGTCAAGTTGAACCTGCATTTCCTCCCTCACCTCGCGCATTTTGTCTTCAACCTCGCCCTGCTTTGGGGTAGACGGCATTGTGAGCGCAGTGTCGAGTGAAAAATTATCCAAGGTCCCATTTGACATGTACTTCTCTCGAATAGGATATGATGTAACAGAATCCAAGTCATCATCAACATTCTGACCAGCACGTTCAGCTCGTGCCCTCTGCACGTCTTCAAACAGGATATTAAGTTCTTCGTCGGTAAGGCCTGCAATTTTCTGATCGGTCCCCAAAATTGCACTAGCAGCCTCTCTGCGTGCGAAAGACCAGTCGGAATCGCGCCCACGTTGAAATGGTGCGGGTGAGTCTGGACGACTGTCCCAATCTGCGTCGGATGTGGCCTTGCTGATGGTTCTTTCATGTCCTGGTCTGGGACTCGGTGAAGGCGATATTTTGTCATAATCCTGTATTTGACTCGCAATGATCGAGTGCCTTAGAGAACTCTCGGCCCGTTCTGCGCGAGCCTCCATAGGATGATTGAAACGGAAGATGTGGAAATCCCCAAGGATAACACGGTAACCACTGCGCAATCGTTTTGGCTCATCAATACGCTGGCCATTGACCATGACAGCTGCATCTTGTTTGGGTACGATCGTCACAACGTTGTCCACATTTTCAAAGGTGCAGTGCTCGTGCAGGATCCGACTACCATTCAAGCGAATCTCAGACGTGTGGGCGGCATTTGTGTCAACATTTCCAACGTTGGTCGTCCCAGGCTTGAGATTGTATACCAAGCATTCGGCCAACAAAGGGTCGTCGGACAGATTGACCAGATGAGGCATTTTCTTGGGGGTGTGTAACCCAACAAATCCCTTTTCAATGCTGATACCCAACTCTTCCAAAGCAGACTCTCGCTCCTTGTGAATCTCCTCTGTCTTCTGTAACTTCTCCTCCCATGTTTGGTTGAGATCCGAGTACAATTTTTCGCTCTGGTTGAGTTGTTCCGCAATTTCGGCTTTCGAAACTTTCTTCACAGTCCCATCAGGTGTTACAATACTGACGATCTGCTTCTCCAACGGTGTACCCTCGGCATAGACCTCTTCTGTAGCACCCCCGCCCCCACCCCCACCAGTAAGCTTGCTTCGAAGAGTTGCCAGCTCTTCCTTCAGCTCTCGAATCATCCTGGCGTTTGCATCCTCGTTCACCACAGCATGATTCTTGATTCTCTTCGCACTATCCGCATATCTTAATGTACTCAAGGTTTCGTCGAAATTTATATCCGCAGGACTAATGGCAGCAATCATGGCAGTCATACTGTTCCCTCCAAGCGAATCCTTCAAGAGCCATGTCAATACACTGTCACGATACGGGACTTGGTTGGCGCCCTTCCCCTTCTTCTTTGCTTTAGGATCTGAAAGGTCGGCCAAAGCGGCAATGACCCGACCAAGCGTAGATAGCGATCTATTAATTTCAGCACCTTCTTTGAGACGAGCTCCGGTAGCACCAGTCGAGTTAGCTCGCTCAGAACCAGCAAGATCCACAAGACTGATTTTTGCAGCTTTCTCCATAGACATGTTTGTTTCTACATCAAGCTTTTTTTGCGTCAGGGTCAAGGTGAAGACCGCATGGCTTCGACTACTCGTTTCGTTCATGTTGGTCGCCGCAACAGTACGCGCCTTGTTTCCTTCGTCCATCAAATGCTCAATCTCATTGAAACTGCTGACCACCAATTTTGCCAAGTCTTCAACATATGGGCCAGTAGACGGATGCTCTCTGACCTTGAGATTGCCTTTCGTTGACGGATTTAGAAGATCTCTCACTCGTTCGTTGTAAATCTCCAAATATGATACCTCTACCGTACACCGTAAGTTCTTGTCTTGTTGCAATTCTCCAATGCGCTCAAACATGTCCTGGCAAATCATCGGTGTAACTCCAGCTTCCTTGCCATATCCCATCATTGAGTAAGATTTTCCGGACCCGGTCTGTCCATAGGCAAAAATACAGTTGTTATATCCCTGAAACGCGTTGTCTAATAAAGGTTTCCCAAGATCCTCGTGTAGACTATCTTGTCCCGCATAGTTTGGATCCGCTTTGTTGAAAGACCAGTATGATTTGTCGAATGCGAAAACCTTCTGCCCCGAGTCTTTCACCCCTTTTCCAGATCGACCCTTGTCTTCTGCGTCTGCTGGCGAGGTAAGGATGGTTTGGGCACCTTTCATTTTCACAATACATTGTGCTCCGCGATCCAGTTCTGCGTGTATATTAGTCGTGCCATGAGTTTGGAAGCATCCACGAAGGCTATCAACAACGTACCTCTGCCGTTGAAAGGCCGCACTCTCACCACCACCTTAATGTTTCCTCCACCTGCGGGCGGCATCTTTGCGTATACGATGCCGCGAGACTACCAATACCTATCCCAACGAGTACGCCCCTTTTCCGAGCGCTCCTAGTATTGCTAAGCTGCGATTCAGTCCAAGCTTTGAGTCAACGCCTGTCTAGGTTGTAGATACAGCGGACAAATCATCGGGACTCGAATTCCGTTCGCGTGAGACCGAGAGCTTGTGTGGTGGTACTTTTCCTCTCTCTCGTTCCCGTCCACTGTCTTGTGTTCGCAGAAAGAACGAAGTATCGCAAATGGCGTTTGGGGCCCCGATGGACCTCAATACCAGTCGGTCTGTAAATCCAGTCAGACAACCAGACCACCAACCTCGGCGCAAATCAATATCCGCAGTGATATGCCGTCTTTTCGAGTTCTGTTAGGCGCAGTCGTAATGGCAGTGGCAGTGGCAATGTGGTGGTAAAATATTGAAATGTATGTTTGATGATTGATCTAGTCGCGTCCTTCCTTACCCTGTCAATATTGTTCATTAATATTCGCGTCGGCAGGGCATTGAAATGAGCACAGCTGCCTGCATGACGAGGTGTGTTTTGAGAACTTCCGATGAAGAATTTAGAAGCTATTTGTCACGGTACCTCACTTAAGCGACTAATTTTACTACATCCACCCTTGAGTAAGGTAATACCACCTGACTTTACCTTACTTTACTTCACTTTGCCCTTAAACAACATCTTTTCAATGGACTTTCGACCTAGAAGCAATCTAAATTGACCATCTTGACTCAACTTTCTATACGGAATTCTTTTCCCTACTGTTAGTTGCTACCTTCGAGCTTCTATACCTCGTGCTTCTGTACCCTTACTTCTGTCTTTAAATTAATTCCGTCCATCAAGACAATCTCCTTGCTGGTTCTATTTCGTATAAAGGCCATGTTGTGGACACAAAGCTTCTAAGAGTTAAACCATGCCAATCTATTTTCTTGCAAAGCCAAAACTTAGTTTCAGATTCCTCCGGAAACGGCTCTTTGAACATAAAGGACACGTTCTCTTTCAATTGTTATATTGCTCTCGTACTTAATCTAACAAAGACTCGTTAGAAGTATTTACCCAAATATTATTCTCTCATTCATCAGCCGGATAACGACACTCGCAATTGAGCAAGACTCGGATAATCCAGCATAATGGCAGTCTCACAGATGGGGTTAAAATATGGTGTTTGGGGGAATGACCACATTCACAGTGGCCTGACTCCTATCGATTCTCTATTCCCCACAAGCGTGAACAGGCTGTCCCCTGATGAGCGTCTTTTACAGCAACTGAACAAGCGTCATGAGGAGTATCAAAAAACTCAACTATACCAATTCACGACCCGTGAGCTTGTCGACCTTGATGCTATCAGCAGCCGATCCTTAAAGTCACCAGACCTTTCGAATTACACTCATAGAATAATGGCATATCGGCGTTGGGAGACCAATGTAGATTTCTTGTCTGGAAGGACAGGACTTTATCCTATTGGTAATGGTTATCCTGGAGATTGGGTTGCAACCAATCCCATAGTCTGGACAGCTATCCTTCCGTGCTTACAACTTGCAACTCGTATGATAATGAACTTTCACATGTGAGTCAAGTTATTGATGGACAATTACCTCTCTCGCAATCCGAGAGTCATGGAATATCTGCTTCCGCAAAACAGTCTCTTTATTTGCTACAATTACCATTCCTATATCCAAGTCGAAACACTACTAACACGAAAATCTTGACTATAGGCTGCCTTGGGTAAGAATTATCCAATTTCGAATGATGATAAAGGCTCACACTATAGTTTGATGCGTTACTCAAAGGGGATACGCGCCCTGTCGCTGGCAATAGACTTCCACCATCACCGCTGGCAAATCCGTCGTCAGCTCCCGTTTTCATCCCTCCTAAGAGTACTTTGCATACGCGAGACGGCCAAAGCTATACATTCGCGGAGACTGAGAATGAACGGGATGAGATTTTCAAGTACATGATCAGTGCCAAGTTGCACCTTCAATGAGGTTTTCGTATACCAAACGAAGACCCTATAGACGGCCAAGCAAACCCTATAGGCAATAGGGCACGTAAGTATTAAGAATTTTTCAAGCACATCTAACAAGCTGACCCTCCGCATATAAATTACATCAGCCTGTTTCTAGTTTTATTTTAACGTTAAAGAGATAATGCTGACCATTTTTTCGTTGCCCCTCAGATGGAGAAACTTATTGGCATCCTGACGGACCGCGTCCACTGTTTATAATTTATCTGAATACTACGAATGTCGAACCTCTCCTGAATCAGAACCTCACGGATGCTGAACGACTCAACGGCCAGTTTTGTATTGCAGTGACAATACTCCATGAGATAATGGCAAGCGGTCATGTAAGTCCCTCGAGGTTGATTCAAAGCTGACTATTTTTTTATCAGCACGCAACATGGATGGCGAGGTGTGACCAGGATCTCAATCTATACAGAAACATCTCGGTGAGTCCGTATTTCGAAGACGAAACTTTGGCCGAGGTTGGATTTTCCATGGAGAATAATGTAGGTTAGCGCACCTTCGGAAGTGTGTCTGTTGCTGATATAATTCAAAGGTATTTGGGGGGATTCCAGAAGCTATGGGCGATAGTTCCTATCGTGAATATCATATTTCCCCTCATCTAGGCATTTGGTTAACAGCGCCGTTCATGGGGCGCCCCTTTGCTTTGATGAGCGACACGGATTTGCCGGTCCTAACCAATCCTCCCTTGGCTAAGTATACAACATTATTCCCGTATAAAGTTACGTTTGTTGAAGATATGCACCAGGAGGAGTTCTGGGAAGGTGCGGTTCGCAAATACGGTTTGCAGGTTTTGCGCTCCCAAGTTTCACTCGTCGGTGCCCGAGTAACCTTCTTAGAGTCAGAACACTGGAAGAACTCACAAAGATACCGAATAGGAAAGCATCCCGGAGTCTTCACTAATAGTATCGCCACCGAGAAGCCTACACCAGCGAAGCTTCAAAGCATGACTTCGAAAGAGCGTGCCAGTGCTAGATACGTTCAAAAGCTCGTGCGGAGTGCTAAATATGAAGAGGCATTCTTTGATGCCTCCGCAGAGATTCGAAAAGAAGTAGACGATGTCCTTAGGGTAATCTCTAGCTCAGGCTCAACTGCAGCCAAGTGGCAACAACAGCATTACATGAAACTCGCCATCGAATATCACCTCGCAGCCGCGCAAGCGCTTTTAGCGTCGGAAGAAACAGATGGCTCCATCTACACAGACCGGAGAGAGAACCTCTTACGCTGGAACAAAGGCGTAAGAGTTTTCATACGGAAACTCACTAGCTCATCTGACGGCGAGGAATTCAGAACCCTCGAATACGTACGCATGTTACTTAGCGATCCGCTAACGACAAACTCGGAAGCAGTGGAGATAAACAGGCTCCAACAGGCTGTGGACCTATGTCTCAATGACCAAAAAGCTGCATGCTTGCAGGCTTGTACTGCTCTTGTTGCTGACACTGAATGCAGTTTATTTGTTGAGGCTGCAGCAAGGGTGCTTGCCGCGACGCTTCAGCCAGTCCGGCCAAGCGTGGAAGATCGAGCGGTAGATCTTCATTATGGCTATAATAGATTGGCAATGATTTTAGGGATGCCAGGAGTGCCGGGTGAATGTCCTGAAGCTTGGAAACCTCCTGTCAAAACTTATCTAGCAACTTGTGCGGATCTATACCCTGTTTTACAAGCCGAATACATGCAGATGCAAGTTCAAGATGTTGCTCAAGCTCGTGCTCTAGGCCTGGCTGGTTGTGGGGGTATATCTAGCGCGAATTCAATTTCAGATAAATAGACAGCAAATAGATGATAGGAAATGGATTATATTATATACCTATTTTCTATCCCTGAAATGCTCTATGGCTCTAGATAAACATAGTACAGAAAATCAAGTAAACACAGACGTCCCCTATTCAGACTTGGGAACTGGAACAGGGTTATCACCAGACACCCGGGTACAGCCTTTACAGGTTACCCCAGGACGAAATCTCATAAGTGTAGGCACAAACCCAGACATTCTAACAAATTCCTAGAAACCGGGTATTCTAGCCTCACTTGAGTATCATTCTAGGTATCTTGAAGACAATAGTCATATCAAGCAGGACGAGCGAAGCAAGGAGAACTTTTTTCAGCAGACATAGCTACTAGGCTAGCGCTTCTCGACCGAGCTGATCAAAGAGCCAGTGATTCTCCAGACGAAGATATAGATGCAGAAGGAAGTGAACTTCATAGAGGAGAAGAAACGCTCTATGTGATGGAAATGTAGAGGAAGTGGTAGGAGACTAGGAGTAGAGATGAGGTCATCTTGGAGAACCCCTTTTATGTGGGGTAGGATTGAGCTAAACCTATTGCGGGAACAAAGACTCCAGTTATAACAATGCGCAACTGCTCTTATAGAAGTTTATTGTAATGTAAGATATGTTCTACCGTCTTAGATGAAATAGAATATGAAATCAATATTATAATATTTCAAGTCTGTTAGTCGCAAGTCACTTGCCGTTGAGTTTGCGGTAGTGTACCCACCTATCCCATTTCGGGAATCGCGGACAGCTTCAAGTTGACCTACCATAGTAAACCTCCCAGCATACACCACCACGATGATCCAGAGAGCCCTCTTCCAGGCTTCTTTCAGAGCTTCACCCCGAATCACAACTTTTGCCATCCCAAAGAATTCACTGCCATGGCGTCCCGCATCCATATCCCATAACCTCGCCGGCCGAGCGCCTTTCCAAACATCGACACGAGCTCGACCTACCCCCCGCACTCCCCCCAACCCAACACACCCTCCATCTTACACCCGTACACCATCCCTCCAATGCCGAAGACTCGATTCTGGCTTCCGACACCCGCGCCGCCCTGACAAAATAATCCACACGAGATTCGACCCCGAGCGAGTGCGCAGCGCGAAGCCCCTCCTCACAGTCGAGCAGCTAGCACACGTAGCAACGCACGGATGGACAAAGCTCATAGTGGCCGTGAGCGGCGTGGGCGCCGTTGTATTCTATGTGTCGAATTTGGAGGAGGTGCCTGTGTCTGGCAGGCGGAGGTTCAACTGCTACAGTGATGGGAGCGTGGAGGCGCAGGGGCAGATGATGTATGAGAAGGTGATGCGGGATGCGAGGGGCGCCATACTACCGGATTACGATCCAAGGGTTAAGAAGGTGCACCGGGTTATGGAGAGGCTGGTTCCCATGAGTGGGATGGAGGATACGAGGTGGGAGCTGCATGTTATACAGTCTGATGGTATGTGGTGTGGTTTGTTTTTCTGTGGTTTGGATACTTGCTAATAGGTGCAGAAATGAACGCGTTTGTTCTCCCTGGTGGGAAGGTCTTTGTGTATAGCGGTATTCTCCCGATTGCGAAGACCGACGAGTTACTGTTGTATATATTATATATTATGCACCAGTCGGCACACTAAGCATCGTGGATCCCTCCGGCGCGTCTATTGGCCGAACCCACAGCTCTAGGGCATTTACGGGTCATACCGAAGTATTACCTCCGTAGGGTCATGATTTGAAAGCCGTTTGTTTGCGCGGCATTATATCAACCCGCGTGCAGTAAGACAGACATGCGGGCCTAACCCGGTCTATTGCTACGGACATATCAAAACACCATACCATACCATACCATACCATACCATACCATACCATATCGGCTTTTGGATACCCTACTATCTACTGTACGAGTACTGTACTCTATGCCTTGGCAGGTCAGAAGATCCTTGGACGACGCGCAGCCAGCCATGTAGCATCTGAACAAGCTGGGCGAGTGAAGCTGCGATGCGCCCCACGTGTCTCCGGGTTTGGTCTTGGATTGTTCACATTGGTGTGAGGGGACAAGTATATTCTTGACGTCTCTGGATACCTACGAGTAAGGGTCATGGAGAAGACCATCTAGGCAGTTGGCTCGTGGGAAAAGATGAGTCAAAACTAGTGTTTTCGTCTTATCTTGATCTTGACCACAATAGGCGTCGCCCGGGCCTGGGTCCGACAATTGAAAACAGACGTTGGTTTCAACCCCACAGTGTAGCCTCATGATTGATCCAGATTAGATTGCAGTACAGCAGCTACATACTGTACTGTAGATGCAAGGAACATATCGATAAGCATGAGTATATGGGCGCTACCTAAATATCTTGGCGGGTTGAAAAGTGTAACGTGATGCTGATCACGTGGGACATTCAAGCTACGGTCACGTTACTAAGCTATCCAGATTGTTTGGAAAGATGTTTTATCGATACTACATATACGCAGACAGAGGAGAGCAAGTTGTCAGGTATTATGCAGACTCAAAGCAGCCGTAGAGAAGTTCTAGTGCAATCATCCCATAGGGTTCTAGCAGTACCATGTTGTATCTAGACTAACAAGTAAGAGCCAATCATAATAATCAACGAGAGTGTTGATCTTGTCAAGTCGTGCAAGTCAATCATAGTTGTCTTTTATATAAGTAGTAGCACGGATATGGCAATGACAAGATGCCTTTGCATTGATCAAACCAGCAGATTGATAGGGGAAATGTCTAGTTTGAGGAGTAGATAGGAGTGATACTCTATATATATTCACCATAGCTAGATGAACAGATACACTCTCTTCACTCATCTCTCTCACTACTACTCTCACTCATGCTCCAGGTTCTCCACATTCTGTACATCTTTAAATCCCATGACCCGCTTTTTGTGCTCACGATTGGTCAAATCTGTCATGACAAGCGGGCACCAAACCTTTTTAAGTTAAGTCAACATCGCTCCCGCCCCGCACCCGCACGCACCTGCACTTACTATCTAGGTCCATCTGCCATTCTTGATCTTCAACTTCATCCTTGAACATCACCTCACCTACAATCCGAATCATAATACCTTCAAGAAAAACTCTGTAAGTACCAATCTATTCTTCCTCCACAAGATGCGCGAGCTGCACGCCAATGATAGCTTGTCATGCATTCCACATATGATCATGCGATCCCCGCGATCCACGCTCAATACCGTTACTTGAGCTCTCGATCGTGAGTATGCCGCAGACGAACGAAATTTGTGCTACTCTCTTCGCTCTGGATTTCAATTGAACCCCAATTCCCCATATCCATCATTCTGCTTTGCTATACCAGCTCTTTTATTTTTCACCATCCTCTGCATCTAGCATGCGAAAAGCCAAAGCTAACGACCCATATATCAATAGATCCTCCGAGCCTCAATCTACCATTGGAATCACCCCGGTCTTCCCGAAAGAACTCAGAAAAAGGTGAGCTCAATTCATCCCGTTTCTACTGTCCTCTGGAGTTTGGGAAGGAATGCAATCGCGTTACCATAAAGTCAGGTTTATGATTAGCATACCACCCCCGCTACAAAACTCCTCCCGAATGATTCCCACCTCTAGAACCACCAACCTCTCTGCCAATCTTCCAACCCAGTTCAACTATTTTGAAACGAACCCCAAGCTAACAACACCCTCACAGTCCACCATGGCACCCCCCTCCATCTCCACCCGCACCCTCCACCAACTCACCAAGCGCAAGAAGAACTGGGCCGCAAGAGAAGCAGGCGTCATCGTCGTCTTCTGCATCGTCTTCCTCGTCGCCTCTGGCCTGATCGGTCTCTTCCTCTCGCGTCTCATCAGTCGAAAGAGAGCCGAGAAGGCTTCTCGTCGCTCCTCAGTCTAAGACATAATTGGCATGGAACACGGAACACGGAGGACAATAATAATGATATGCACGGTTAAAAGACTTAATGAATATGCAAATGGAATGGGATGGCGTTTTCGTTATTGCATAATGGAATTAAAATTCGACGTAAGGATACGGAGGGGCGTATTGGAGGATCTTCATGGACGCGACTCGCTTGCTATTATGACTAGGGATTCGGCGCGCAAAAGGCGTGCATTCTACTGATTGATGAATAGATGGATTGATGGATGGATAGTTTTGCTTGTACCTAATTCCCCGCCACGATTCAGCTGCACTTGGGCCCATTATGGCTTTTTCTTTTTCATCACAGTAAGACAGAGATCTCCTTCCACCTCGACCGTTGCACTTATCGACCTCTTGCAGATGGGGTGAGGACTGAGCGAAGTCAGTGAAGCAGTTTTTCCAAGAAGCAGAGGGAGAAGTACATGGAGTTCGTTACATGTGAAACGGTGCGAGAAGTAGAAGCTTCCTGAAAGAAAAACGAGCTAGCCAGCTCAAACGTACGCAAAGAATTACTTATGTGCGGCATGGCATCTCATTTACGAATTCTTCTTCGTGGTTCCGCTTGCATATGCATGTCCATTCGTCGCTCCATTTCCCTTTCCATTTCCATTGGCTTTCGCATTTCCGTTGGCATTGCCGTCGCCTCTGGCTCCGGATCCGGATTTCCCTGTAATGATATACCCCACAGGCCATGCGAACCGCGCGCTTAGAGACTGGCCTGCTTCTTCTGACGTGAGGTATTCCACGAGCGCGATGACTGGGTGGTGGGGTGGGGTCAGTATGATATGGGGTATGGGATACGGGATATAAAGTGCGAGATAAGATAAGACGGAGGGGGAGTTGGGGGGTGGTGAGGTAAGGGAAAGAGGAGGGAAGGGAGGAGAGGGATATATATACGTACATATATAAGCACCCAGCCCTGTAAAAAGATGCCACCACCCATGCAACTCCAATGCAAAAGACCACGGCATGCCCATCGAGCGTTTCATAGCTGTCAGATGGGCGCATAGCATCGTGTCGATATTCCAGATTACGAAGCCGCTTACGAAGATTGCTTTGGGAGGGAGGGGTATAGATTAGCTGATGTTTCTGGGCTGGATGGGTGATATATGTGGGATTGGGGGAGGAAGAGGTACGTACCAGCGCCCCATGTAGCTAGGCTCTTGACATCTGCCCTGACGATGGGATCGGAGACCCGCGCACTGATTATAGAACGTGTCTTGATTCCTATTGCTGCGATCATTACACCTATGCATTCTCTGAATTAGTATCAAGGGTTATTTGTTTTGCTTTATCACGTTTCCTTCTTTGATATGTATTTAGGTATGGAAAGATAGGATGGAAGGATGAAGGGAAGAAAGAAGAAGATGTGGGATTCCATTTCATTCACTTACCGAACAGCGCAGAATGCATGACCAGCTCGTCCGTCACGCAATGCCAGGTGCTGAATGCTGTCATGGCGGCACTGAGGATCGCGCCGTGCGTCATGGTGTATGCGATTGATTTGTCAAAGGTGAAGACGCGGTGGAGGACGGTAGCTGTGGCTAGGAGCATGGAGAGGTCGTCGGCTGGTGTGTGTGTTAGTGGTGTACTGTACGGCTTTGGGTGAGGTCAAGTGCTGAGAGATGATGAATGAATGATAGATGGATCTATCTGCTCGTATAGCCCTCTTTTGCATTTCCACTGCCAAATGAAGAATTACTTCTAGAGGTAGAGGAAAGCGAGGAGGAAGAAGGGAAGTGGGAAATGGAATGGAGTGGAAGGGAGTGGACGTACCCCATTGCGTGTAGTTCTTCAGTGAGGCATGGAAGATGCCACTTCCGATACCCACGGTTGCAATGCCCAAGTACGGCAAATTCCTCAGTATCGCATCTTTATGGTTGGCGTTTGACTTGATTCCGTAGTATGCGTAGTAGACTGAATAGCACTTTTTAGCAAATCGTCCTCTGAAAAGCAACGTCCCCTGAAGCTCAAGGAAGAGAGTATTATCACGTGGTTGATAAATCTCATTCTCCAGAGAAGAGAGGTACAACTTGGAAGGTGGAAGCCACAAGAGGGAATTAATGAGAGAACAGACTATAGACGAGATTCGAAAGCGTGTTGATGAATTCGGCAATATACGTCGTGATAATATAATCCTGTCACCCCAGTCAACATCAATATCCCCATACAACCCCACCATCCGCTCGCCACTCATATACACACCTCTTCACAAAAGCTACGCAAACAGACAACACCATCAGCTCTATTCTACTCTCACTCCCTCGACTTCAGAGAGAACACGGTACCTACTTTGCCTGCGATTTCACCTCGCCCCAGAAGGCAGGATGCGGATCCTTGCGATAGGCAAACGAGAAGGGGTTGCCACCATGCGACGTCTGGTTCCTCTCCATCGTCGCCAGATTTCCCTTGTAATAATCCATTCTTGCGCCGTCAATACAGTACAGCGATATGCAGAGAAGATGCAAGTCCAAGCTCAGCGTCTGAAGCTTATTCTTTTTGATCTTTCTCGATTCTTTACCCCTGCAAGAAGAAAAGAAAAGAGAAGATAGCAGTAGCGTTGGCGGCGCAAAGCAAAGCGAAAAGGGTTTTCTACAACAAAAATATACACAAGAATAATTCGGATTGAATCGAAGGTTTAGAGACAAGAAACCTCGTGTTTTTCTGTTTTATTTTGTTCTCTTGGATGAATACGTTACATTTACAAGACAAGTACGTATGCGGATCTGATATGCAGGGTCCAGCGCTACCTACCTTTAGGTCGCGGCCGCTGCCTATCCCTCCACTAGACCCCTCGTTTAGGCTCCATGTAGTTAGGCGGGGGACCTTCCTTGGTTTTCTGCGCAGGTATGAGCGACGAAGTACCTACCGTACGTGGGTGATGTCGCGGTGGGTGTGGCGATGAAATCTGGTATTACCTGTCCTTTCTTCTTATATGACTCGAGTACTTGGTGTTTGAGGTGCCGAGTGGAGTGGAGGTGGAGTACGAGTAAGGTAGAGCGGTAGGTAGCCGTGATGGGATATTATTGTAGTTGTAGGGGCTGGAGTATATGATAGTCATAAGGTAGGACCTAAAAGGGGTTATTATATTAGCCTATTGCAGAGCATATCATGTTACCATTAAAAACTACGACTTGATTATGATAAATTATAATACTCCGTATATCAATTACTATCACCTGGGTATACTCCGTGTTAAACATCAAGTACGTTTGCTGAGGTAGAATGATTTTCATTCGTCAAGTTGAGTATTGATACGTATTATACACACGGCCTTCCTAACCAGATCACTCTACTCCGTAAACTCCTCGCTCACTTACAAACCCATAAACCCCTTTCCAGCCATATCATCTTTGTCACGAGTATCTCATACATGTGAGTGGCACTAATGGCTGGCCCGCCCCATGGTCCCTTCTTGCTAACCGTAGGCATCAAGACCCCCATCAAACACAATATATAACCTCCCTAGACTCACGTCTCTCTTACGTGACAATGTTTCCAAAGCTTCCCCACCTACCCATTGTTTCCTGGAAGTCCTTTGCATATCCCATAGTAACAGCACAACCACTTTCATCCCTCGCCGCCTCTGCTTTGGGCAGCCAATTTGTCATCTGCTCTATCCGAGTGTTGTTCTGGGCAAGTCAGCAATGCCTACCTTGAGATTGGGGTCGAGACCTACAGTTGGATGGGTCGATAACCACTGGGGTATATCTGACTTATTCGCTGCCTCCATCCGTTGCCACACCTTCACTGCAGCCTTCGGATCATAACAAGCCTTCGCCATCATCATCAATCCAATATAATCCGCCTCGCTCTCCTGCTTTCTCGACGCCGGCATCATGAGTCCGAAATTCAAAGCCAGATCAGCTAGAACCCTCCCAAAGCCAGCCGTGAACCCCGCATAATCTAGGTATATAAACGCCCATCGAACAGGAGCAAGTATGACCAGAGACGAGAGTTGTTCGGCCTGATGTCTAGCAACGTTGTGTGCTATCTCGTGGCCAAGGATAGCTGCCAACCCATCGTAGTGTAGGTATATGATGCATATTATATGTAATTCTAGCCGAGGTGTGATTCCATGCCAGGCTGAAGCAGCAAGTCGTGTCGTTGATGTGAAGGGGGGGATGCGGCCAGAATTGCGTGCTCCGCTAGAATAAAGACCATAATGCCACCAAAATACATAATGCACTAGGAGATCTACAAGGTTGACCTTGCTAAATGTCGACCGACCGCTATCGCTATACTGCACCTCAACGTCCGACGACCGAAGCGTGAACCCCTGTGCCATTAATAATTTCAAGCACGCACGCACATCTCTATATACAGATAACCCTCCTCCTCCCCCTTCTCCATCCCCGAGTATATCCACAGGTCTGCTACAAGACCCCCTTGTTACTCATGGACCATGTCTCCGCCCTCACCATTCAGAATGATCCGTAAACGCAAATTCACATTTCGTTCTATCTGACCTGGCTATTATTATTCGAAACCAGACCATTACGTGGAGTCGAGACTTCAATCCAACGCACCTGGCCTGGCCCACTCACTACTTTCGGCCGCGATATCTCACGGAAGATACAGTTATATCCGGGGGTAAGCAGACATTCACAGGTATCTAAATCACTTCACAAATACATTGTGCTGATGTGTTTTCTCTAGACAATTAATTTCCCTGTCACTATTCAGCTTGATTGCTTTGATTGCACGGCCGTTGATTGTAGTCCTGAGATAATCCACTCTACAACACAAAAGATTATTTAACTCAAGAGTAAACCTTTCACTCAACTCTTTGTTCGCTCACATCCTCATCAACAATGGCGCTGGATCACCACCCCGTTCAGAATAGCGAGGTTTACGTCCTGAACTCTTCACACGCCCCGTCTATGCCACCACCGTCCCCGCCATCACTAGCTACACCATGTGAAGAACTCTCATCTTCTCTGACCGATCTATGCTCCATCACACCTCCAGAGCCGCAGGAGTCATGCTCAAAATTCAATTCGAGGCTCACAAATGCAGTGCACGTGTTGAGTACCGAGGCTACATCCCTCTCCCGCTTAACAATGCTATATGAGACGGATCCAATCGCAAGACGAGGATTCAACTCGGCCGTGGAGACAATTACAAGATACGGAGGTAGGAAGGGAAAGGTCCTCGTCTGTGGAGTTGGCAAAAGCGGACATATCGGCGTCAAACTCGTCGCTACATTCCTAAGTCTCAAAATCCCAGCAGTCTTCCTACATCCCACGGAAGCACTACATGGAGACCTAGGTGCCGTCAACGACCACGACACCATTCTCTTCATATCCAACTCCGGCAAGACCGGCGAACTCCTCGCTCTCCTCCCACACTTCGACACCTCCCTCCCAACCATCATCATGACTTCCCACACGCACCCCTCAAACTGCGAAATCATCAAGCAACGCCCCGGAACCATCCTCCTCCCAGCACCAATCCACATCTCCGAAACCGATGCATTCGGCGTCAACGCGCCCACCATCTCCACAACCATGGCCCTCGCTCTTGGCGACGCCCTCGCCATCGCCGTCTCCCGCGAACTGCACAGTAACCTAGCCAGCGTATTCCTCAAGAACCACCCCGGCGGCGCCATCGGCGCCGCGATCCAAGCGCCCAAAAAGCTCTCCGACATGGCCATCTCCCTTATCGACATGCCCGAAGTCAGCAGCACGTTTACCTTCTCGCGCGTCTTGCTATCGGCGTACCAGTCCACGACGGGGTGGGCAAGGCAGGGCAGTGATGTGGTGGTGAGTCCGAGGCGCATCAAGAAGCTGCGGGCGACGGATATGGAGGAGCCGGCCGTGTGTGTCCGGGGCTTGATGGTGCCGCGCTGTGAATGGATCCCTGTGTCTGCTGACATGGATGTGAGCGAGGCGGTGGAGTGGATCGAAAGGACGAGGCGGTCGTTGGGGGATGCTAGGTTTGGGGACGATGCTATTCTGGTTACTATGGATGAGGATGAGGTTTGTGGTGTGGTTGAGATTGGCGAGGTGCTGAGTTCATGACCTGGAACGTTATAGAACAGTGCTTGCTATAAGTGTGAAGAAGGGCGTTTTTATTAGAAGGAGGTATTTTGTCTAAACTGGATGCGCTAGAGCAGCCATCTCATGTATGTTTCTTTCACCATACCCCCGGGGCGGCAGAATTGTTTTGTTTGGGCTGGCTGGATTTGTTTATAGATGGTAGATTTTGCGAATGCATCAAAGCAGGACTGGTGGATGCGATTGCTTGATCGATAGATACTCAATTACCAATGAAATATGATTGGTTCCCCTACCAATTCATCTCCTCTCAATCGTTGAACCAATTACTCACTGCATCCTATCCCTCTTCCCACCCCCGTCCGACTTCATCCGCATTACTTGTAGGCCTCTCCTGTCCTGTCGCCAAGGAAAGTCCTCGCATCAAACGCATCCAGCCGCGGCTGTTTCTTCTCTTCGCAAGACAAGACCATAGATCCACACGCTCCAGAGCTGGAGTTCAAACCGCGGCCTTGTACATTTGACATGCATGCATACAGCACAGCACAGTACAATACGGCAACCAATATTGAGGCTCCGACGACGTTTCGTGCGTGCGGGTCCCCGCCCCGATTCTGGATCTAGCCTTGCCTAGGTAGTATGCAAATCATAGTCGTGGTCTTGCGTTATTTTTCATCGTCTCAAGTATCAAACGCGCCAAGCTTTGTCCCCCACTTTACCGTACTGTACTTCGTATCTTCACCTGGGAAACTCAAACGAAAACCCAACAGATTTTAACATCAATCTATCAATCGCAACAACGAAACGGCAATTGATGAATGAATGCATGCATGTACAAGTACAAAGTGTGATGATACAAAACGCCTTGGCATGTGAGTTTCCTCCTTATTGTTAGACAGGAAGTCCGGTGCAGTCTACCAGAAAAACGGAGATGAGCGAGCGCCTGGCGTCATATCATGGCGTTCTTGTAAATGGGGGTTTATTTTTTCGTTTTGATATTTAGGTTGGCGTTTGGGCTTTTAAGTATTGACTATGCGCCCTGATTTGGGGAATGAGGGAAGGATTGGTTCTTCTTTCTCTTTGTTTGTTGGTTGGTTGGTTGTCCTTGCTTTATCTTATTGGAATGATTTCGGAATCCTTTCAAAGACACATTTCTCTATCCTCGCACCAACACAACACCACATCCCCCCAGCATACTACATTTCTCTCCTCTCACTTTTACTTTCAAAACTCTTCAACATCACATACAAGATGCGCACCATATCTATCATCTTTCTGCTCGTTGCAATTGCAATTCCAGTCATGGCGCATCCACCGGTTTCTCATCCGCGCCAAGAAGTCAGTTTAACCGGAGAGGTCGAGGATTTATATGCACTGTCACCAAAGGAGAAACCGCTTCATACTACGGTTCTCATGGCACAGTCTCAACATACGAGTGTATCGGCTGTGGGTCGATGTGCTAAAAGCAAGATGGATTTGAGAAGGAGACGCTACGTAAGCGGCTGTTAAAGTTGGTAACTTACGTCATGACTTGACTGTCTGAAGGAGGGGTTCTTTAGACGCTTGAGCATCTTCAACCACTCTCTCCACTTCAGCATCTTTAACTACACCTCTACCTTGAATATACCCATTCCACGCAAAAACACATCCTAAATCCAATCAAAACAACAAAACCACATTCACCATGGCATCTACAATCCCCAACGAACCCCCGCCCTCATACGAGGCAACCTCTTCAACCCCTCAAGATCCCTCCCGCCTCCGCGTCCCACACAAGACACGCAGCGGCATCCCCCCCGAACACCGTCGCAGCATGGAAGATGAATCACGACCCCTTCCAACAGGCTGGCTCCGACAATACGACCCAGAAACGCACCACCAATTCTTCGTCGACCAGCACGCCTCCCCTCCCCGCTCAATCTGGCACCACCCCTACGACGACGAGGAATACCTATCCGCGCTCGACCCCTCGGAGCGCGACAGAATCGCCTCTCTGCACCCGGTTCCCAACCACGCCGACATGGTCGCCGAGAGCAGCGACGACGACACGCAGTTCCGCCACGACGCACCGCTGCCGCCGCGCGAAGAGGCCCCGACGGGCGCAAAGAAACTAGGACGGAAGATGAAGGACAAACTCACATCCTCGACGCACGAGCAGCGACAGCAAGAGCGTGCGCAGCGCGACGAGGCCGAGGCGAAGGCTTACGCGCAACATCGTGCCTTCCGGGCTGCCATGGCCAAGGCGGCGGAGACGGGCGAGCCGCAGCTGCTGGGCAAGGATAAGGATGGGAAGGATGTGTTTGTGGAACCGCCGGGGCCGGGGCCGTATGGTTATGGTGGAGGCGGGTATGGGTACAATCCTTATGCGCGGGGGATGTATGGCAGGCCGAATGCGGGGTACATGAGGCCGGGGTATGGATATGGGAGGCCGTATGGCGGTGGGTATGGAGGGGGGATGGGGATGCCGTTGATGGGGTTGGGCGGGATAGGTGGTGGGATGATGATGGGTAGTTTGTTGTTCTAGGGAGGTCTATGATTATAATGATTGGGGCATGGAACTTTTAAGGAAGTATTACGATTATGCTGGAAAGGACGGATAGCTACACATCATGCATACCTAGTGTAGATAGAAACTCTACCTATGATTTCCTACGAATAAAACCCCTCTGCAAATTGTACAACGCAAACTCCATCTCCCGTCTTCTTCTAACACCCTACTACATCCCCATAATGATTCACAGCTTCCCTATGTATTAACACAGCGCTAGTTCAAATATAAACCCTTGCTCCAGCTTGCTCCAGCTTGCTAGATACATATCAGCACTTATCCCACATATTTTCTAATCCGATACGAGTATCCCACGCCATGCCATCTAGCATACTATTTCCCTTTCCCTTTCCCTTCTTCTTCACCCTGCAGCGCTGCTTTTTCTCTTTCTCTTTCATGTACCTTCCTTACTCGCAGCGATCCTTCCTTGATAGATCGGAGACGACCGCACCGGTGTATGTAAACCACTACCTGGATTTCGCTGACTAGACGGGCTGATGGGATAGAGTATCTAGATGCGTTGCTTGATACCTATGCTAGGTAGGTAGGTAGGTAGGTAGGTAGGTAGGAGGTAGGTCGAGAAGAGAAGAGGAGAGGAGAGAGGAGAGAGGAGAGGAGAGGAAATTTGGTTTACTACGTGGCTTGGCTTGGGCGAAGTACGAAGTAGAAGTAGAATGATGAGAGATGAGTATAGTACGGTCTATGCAGGAAGGGATTAGGAAATTCGAGGTAGGGTTCAAGAAGGGGGAGTTGAGAAGTGAGTCTGCAGTACAGGATACATATACCAGCTTCTACATGATTGTACGCGCGGAGTGCAGAAATGGGCTTCATGCACATCGCATCGCATTCCCGCTCGTATATATATAAATCATAAATCATAAACCATAGCATAGCATAGCATAGCAAACACCCAAATCAAAGAAAAAAAAAAAAAAAAAACAGACGTGTTTACTCACTCACTCATTCCATGTAGATAAAAGGGGAGGATTGAATCTACATCTATCTATCTATCTATCTACAGCTTCGCCTTCTCCCCCACGCTCCCCACGCGCAACCGCTCACTGTACTTCTTCAGCACGCCCTCGTTATGGTATTTCCAGAACTGCTTACTCGCGTCCTTGCCCGCGACGCGTTTCAGGATCTTGGAGCCGCCGGGGTGTTCGTCTATGAATGCTATAATTTAGTTACATCAGCAGTGTTTTCTTTTTCTCGTTCTGTTTTCGACTTGCTTTCTTTTGTTTTTGAGGGGGGGGGGGGGGGGGTCTCTTGTGTGGGGAAGGGGAGGGAAAGGAGGGGAAGGCAAACCAGTAACATCGTATACGCCTTGGTCGATTATTATGTACAGCCCGTTCTCAGCATCTTTGTGTGTCGATACTTCGGCGGGGGAGAATGTTTTGGACATTTTGTTGTGGGTTGGGGTGGGGTGCTTGCGCGCGCGCTGGCTGAGGTGGCTTGAGTGTGTTTGTTGTTTGGTGATGGGTTTGGCGGAGGGGTCGATGTGGTGTTGGTGTAGAAGTGGAAGTGGAATTGAAGTTGAGGGGGGTTGGAGGTTGGGGTTTGGTGAGTGGTGCAATTGGAGTTGGATATGGCGATGGTAAAGTCAGAGGAGGATTGGAAGTGGAAGTGGAAGTGAAGTGAAGTGAAGTGGAGAGGAGAGGCTAGAGGTTCCCCGGATTGACGAGGAGAAGCCGAGCCACCAAGCCGAGGCTGTTCCTGTTGTCAGCCAATTTGCGAGCTGGGTGATAGGCTTAGCTTATCAAACGTAGGGCACGTGCTTTGGCGCTCTTTTAGTCTAATTTCCTATTTGGGGTTTACGAGTAAGTGGAAGGTTGTGATATGTTTTTTTATGTTATAGTGTAGTTAATTCAATTTAAAGTCGAGAGCAAAGAAGAAAGAGCAGAGGCGGAATATGTTCTTTCAATTCCGCTAAGATAACCCACCGAGTGCCTGAACCTGTACAGTGTGAATGTTTACCATCTATAGGAGTCGACTGCCCCGCACCATCCTACCCAATAATGCCCCACAGAAATCATGTCCTTTTATACTCCATCCTAATAATCTGATGCAAATCTCCTTGTCCAGCAAGAGCAAATCCCCAGATTAGGCCTTGAACCTCTCTGGATGCTTTTCGCGCAGAATCGGTAATCGATGTAATTGGGGTTCAGTCTGATCTTGTCTGCGATATTGATATTAATAGATGTTTTCGAGGCTGTTCCCTTCTCCTCTCTTGGGCGTATCATTCTTCAAGCCTTCTGGCGTTTCGGCACACTTGATTCATCTTTTCGGGGGCGGCTTCTCTTTTTTGGGACATTCATTACATTCAAGCTCTGCTGTGGTTCTTTCGAAGTGACAAGCTTGTGTTGTGCGGGGATCTTTGGCAAAGTTGATATAGCTGTGCTGAGGTCCCCACCAGTCGCAACAAGAGGTTTATGCATGTGCCAAGTCTTCAGCGTATTTGATATAGCTTTGCTCAGGTTCCCGCCCGTTGCAATAGAAGGTTTATATATCTGCGAAGTCTTCTGCGTAGGCGTAGCTGTGCTCAGGTTCCCGTTCGTCGCAACGGGATGTTTATACATCTGCGAGGTTTTTGGCGTATTCGGTATGCCCGCGCCCTGGTAGCCTTTTTCTAACCCAACGACCTTTTGTCTTATTATAACCATTGGCGTAGTCGATATAGCTGCCATCCGTTCCGCCACAGTCGAAGTATCAGGCCTGCCCGTCTTTGAAGCCTTTGGCGTATTCGATACACTCTTACTCTTCCCCTCTCCAAGTGGAGGCCGGCCCTGTCTCTTCGGTGTGTTTGATGGACTCGACTGTTGATAGATCGCAGCAGCAGACTTCTTTGGCGTGCTTAATGCGCTCGATGCGCTCTTCTGCTTCCCAACAACTGCGATAGCAGGGTTTTCCCTTTTCGGAACTCCCACCACACTCGATGCACTCTGATTCTTTTGCCCCTCACGCACAGCAGTTATATTTTGTAGATTTGAGCCTATTACTGCTTGTGACGGTCTCTTCATTGCAGCTTTTGGAGGGGTATAATTCGAAGGCACTATGACGTTTTCCAGAAACCTGAGGGCGAGAGCTGCGTTCTTCGAGGTGGGGTCTGGTGGCCTATTCTTGCTTCCTTTTGCACGACCCTTCTGTTTTGGCTTCACTTCCGAGCCAGACGTGCCAGGCGGTTGCGCGGAGCCCTTTGTGAGATTCATTGCTGAGTTCATGTTCGCGGAGTAGAAGGTGTGATAAGCTATCGCAGGGGTGCTTGCGGTTGGGAAAAGGTGAGTCATTGTGAAGTGAAGGATGAACAGATCGATTGACGTAGAAGTGAGGTTAATTATTGGGGGATTTCGAGTGAATTTCGTGTGACGCGAATTCGCGAGATCGCGTCGCGTTAGAGAAAGCTCGCCAAGTACCTTCGTACCAGGTATAGTCAAGAATTAAGGATTGATATATATTTAGTCATGTTAATATATAAACATTAGACAAGAAATTCATACTTACTTGCTAATCCAAAATCTGATATCCGGGGCCTTGTTGCTGATTCTAAGATATCCACCAAGATGTTAAAAGCTGTGCCTGCATTATGGAATTAATCCTTATCGGACACATACACCACGTGACTATACGCTCTATATCTTTTCCATGAGTGGCGTCTAGAAGCTCTAAGCTCTATAAACTGAAATTAATGTGTATGAAATAGCTTATGCGAAACTGTGTTTTAATTGTCCTCGAAGGTCACGTGGAAATAGCTGGAGCTAAAATCCCCTCTTAAGCATTTCCCACTATTGACCTAAAAACATGTTTTCATACCTCTATCAGCAACCTCAAAAATGGCAACCCCTTTTCAACGGCGATAGAGATTCGTGAAATTTCTTGACATAAAGCGATCTATAGTAGCCCTCCTATGCGCCAAGGAAGTTATAATCATTCGAGGCTACACCTTCGCACTCATATACTCGGTAAGCTCCCTAGGTAGGTAGATAGTAGTAGAAGCCTGACCCTACGCATTTAGGCCGCTTATAGGCCTTCCGGTACCTCGAGCTCTAGTGGTTAGTGCTAGTTGGACAGCTATGCATAGCATATCTCTTCACGGCTATGCAGATGCAAACGCTCGTTACGGCGAAGCAACGAGGCTTCGGAAGATCATTTTGCTATTTAATTAGGCACGAATAATTGATGGAAAGTGTTTTCAATTATACCTAATATTTATGGCAGAGGATGGTTAAAACAATGCTGCCTTTGTATTTCCAATGCCTGTGCCTTTTTCTTCACTCTCACAAATCAAGTAGCTTCCATAAGTCGGTATGCCTCCGAAGCCTGTCCAAGTTATGCCTTGAGTTCCTCTTCAGGCTTGACATACGGAGTTTCAAAAGGGATCTCAGCCTGCGGCGTGATTCGAGCAAGGTGGCGACGTTCGCCAGAGCTCCAATCCAGAGTAGCTGAATGGACCGTAACACGGTTCTGCGAGGTTTGCATATCAGTACCTGATGCAAATTACCAATACGGATACTTACATCCCACACAACAACGGTCTTTGGCGCCCACCTCACGCGAGCTTGCCAGTCAATTCCTCGACTGATGTGGTTGAACAAGAATGCTAGCAGAGCATCAGACTCTTCCTTCTTCAATCCAATAATGCTGCGCGTAACTACTTCTCATCAGCCAGCGGTCATGAAGCGGTGACGGGTTCTAAACTCACAACCCTGGTTCACAAAAAGCGCCTTCTCCCCAGTCGCAGGATGCGTCCTCACAATCGGATGCTCGTTCTTGACGGGCTCCCTCCTCACAACCCCCTCCTTATCCCTACTATACTGCGCCTGCTCAAACCCCGAATGCACAGCCTTCAACCCATGCAGCCTTTCCTTCAACGGCTCACTGAGACGATTATACGCCTCGACCTGGTTTGCGAAAACGGTGTCGCCACCCTCTTCCGGGCTGTCGAAAATGTATAGGAATGTCGTGCCGGGAGTCTGTGCCTCGTACGAGACGTCGCTATGGAACGACGTGCTGCTGTTACGGCCGGCGAGGAAGGAGTCAAACTCAGATGTTCCCGGAGCACCGTATCGGTGCACGATGTGCAGTTCCGGGAAGCCTTCTGGACTCCCACTCGTAGGATGGATGTGGTGCCTCCCAAAATACCCCCCGAAGTCAAGAGCTTCTTGTAGAGGGAGATCGGCGAGGTCTTGATCACGGAACGCTACTACCTTTCGCTGAGCGACGAAGAGAGCGAGCTGGTCTTTGCCAGCAGCGTCGAGCTTGCTGAGTTGAACACCGGTGACTTCGGAGCCAATGGTTGGAGTTAGCTTTTTGGCCTTACTACCTTGGGGTAGGAGGTTGGGGAACGTTGCGTCGGCATTTTTGCCATGCTCGGTATGAATGAAGGGCTGCAATGGAGAGTATTTCTGGCCGTGGTTCCAGGTTGGCAGATATTGGGGGTACTGGTGGTTGTTAGTAAGTGCTTTCGAGTAATAGAAGAGAGTTTGCCTTTGCGTCTGTCTTTCCTCCTTCAACTTCGATTTGTCTCTTTACTTTGGGAACTTCTTTGACAACAGCGGCAATCTTCTCGGGCAACACTGAGGGGGTATCCTCTAGGATCTGCTGTACGGATGGTGCCATTGTTCACACTGGTTTTATATAGTGCTTGCTGAACGGGGTCGGTTATGCGAGTAGTTTATCTCCTAATATTATGAGATGAAGTACCTTACAGGAGGCAAAAAGATGGAACTAGATATCAAGGAAGATTCAAGGTATTTATCTCAAAGTCATCGAGCTTTTACCCCATCCTCGTAATAACGACATACGGAATCATTCCTCCTCAAGCCCAATCAAGGACGGACTTAAAGCCAACCACCGACTCCCGGTTTCCTTCCCATCCACTCGGAGCAGTTTATCGCATTTCCAAGACGTCCAAGGTCAAGATCTCACATGGTATCAATGCAAGCATGAACGGCACTCGGCACCATCACCTCATTCACCTTCCCCCCTTACTTGATTGGCAGCCTTCAGGCCTGAGGCGTCTCGACCCAAATTGCGAAATGTCAATGAGCAGTCATTGGCTATTGCTGTTCTAGTCTCATTGGCAATGTATGGCCTGAATGAATGTTGTCCCTGTCATTTGCTTAAATAAGACGATGGTGTGCTGCTGGCATGAAATTGCGGAAGGTTGGGCGGAATGTGCAAGCGAGGACCAGAAAGGACCTGCACGACGTGCCAGAACGACTATCTCTGTGCCAAGCAATACTCGAGTATACTTGTTATCTCACCCGCAGTGGGATGATTGATTCCTATGCATTATGGTGTTTAAACTCCAGCAGGTCGCTCGTCCTTTTGTTCTATTTATTGTGGGTGTTTATTGTTTTGTGCAAGATCTTATAACGTAAAGAAGTATATAATTCCGAGACTCCTATAGGGCTTCAAATGCCCAAATATATACACATAAATACGCTAGTCGGGGCCATTACCCGATATAACATGTCCAAATCCCATAACCTTTTAGTACAAGTTGCATTCAATCATTGGAGTCAAAGTGATTGTTACACCCAGATTGCTGCAATCTTGAGTCCCAGTATCCACCGCTGAACAAGCCACAGTCCCCCCATTGCATTTCACCGACCCTGCATCTTTTCCATCGCCCGTATAAACGCAATTGCCTGTACTACCGATCTGAAAGCTGCCACCACCCGACGGCTGTGGGAAAGGGACCTTATCGACGGAGACCGATGAGGTTCTCGGGATAGTAGCATCCGCGAAGTTCTGTCCAACGTCTCCGCAGCGTCCCGTGTTGGCCTCTTTGCCGGGCGCGGACGTGAATATTTCCCACACGGCTACGCCGGGCTGTTGCAAGAACTTAAACTGTGCCACCTCTGTCGGAGTCGCACTGGGCAAGGTTGTGGCCGTGGTCGCAGAACTCGTAGCAGCAGCTGAGGTTGTTGTTGGGGGAGATTTTGATACAGTTGAAGTTGAAAAAGTTGTTAATTTAGATGGGCTGGAGCTTGTGCCGGTTGTCGCAGATTGTGTGCTTGATCCCCCGGTTGAACTCCTTCCTGTGGAGCTGGCGGTTGCGGTAGAATTTGAACTTGGAGCCCCTGTGGAACTCGTCCCGGTTGATCGAGAGCTGGTGCTGGTTGCCGTAGGCTTTGAGCTTGCTGTCCCAGAAGAACTGCCTCCAGTCGGGCTGGAGCTGGAGTTTGTCGTAGTCATTGTACCAGAGGTCCAAGTGACGTACGAGTCGGTGGTGTCGCCCATAGCCTGCGCGAGAGCAGACTGCTGCACATCGTACCAGGAAGTAATGGTGACGCCCGCAAGAAACTGGTCATAGTTTAACGTGGCCGAATAATCTGAGTCGTCCGTGCTCGTCGTCTGAGATCCAGTCAGAGAAGCTGAACAGCCGGTTACGGTTGAGCATGAAAGTGTGATGGTAGATGTAGATGCGGTAGTTGCGCCCGAAGGTGTGAAAACAGAGTATGATGTATCGCAGGCACTTGTTGTTTGTGCCGAGCATGAACTGCTAGAAGATTGTGATGAGCTCGTGATTGTGGCGGAAGACGACCCTTGCGAGGAAGATGTGTCATCATCGCCGTCTTCTTCCAGAGCCTCCGCAATGTCTGCTAGAGAGTCTGTCAAATCCTCAATTTCTCCAAGATCCACCACGTTCGCCTTGACTGAATCAACCAAGTTATTGACCACGTTTTGTGCACAACTAACGAGCTTCGCAACATCATGAATAGCTCCAGTAACTGCATTTCCTACGCTCGATATAATACTCCTGTTAGCCAGCAGGGCCCTGACCTGTCTTTCGGACAACGCTCCCCTCTTTCTCTTTGTATTTGTACAATCCGGCATATCTGGTGCTTTTACACTCAAGGAATTCAGCAAATCTTCCGTTTCCTCTTTTGTTTTTTGGACTGAATCAAGATACTGAGATTTTAGCTTTTCATCCGTAAGCCACTTTCGATTGAACTGAAGCGCGAAATATAAACCACCAAGGAGGACAGCTTCGGACGTTGCTGCTGCGTCTGAAATCGTGCTTGTCGGGACATCAAACCATGAGAATGATACAGGTGTAATGGTCGACTCGACATCAGAGAATGAATTTGTGACACTAAAAGGGGCTGTCGAGATCGAAGTGCTTTTGGCTGTAGCAGATGACGAGATATGGCTAGATGAGGATGCCGAGGAGAAAGAAGATGACGATCCTGATGATGTAGCACTGGCCGTTCCATTTTGAGAGCCAATATGACTTGATGAACTTGCAATAGGCAGTGCTGTGTTGTGGTATAGCTGCAAAGGTGGAATCTTTGCCTTATGGTTGAGGTCTGCTTCTGGTTCTGGAAAGGCTGGTTCTATAGAGCAGCTAGCAGCCAAGCATAGCTACCAGTCTGCCACGTAAATGAGACGTGAATCTGTAAGGAGGTCATATGTTAGAGGTATAGAGGTCTTAGAAAGTAGATCGCTAGGAGCCTTACCTTAGTCCTGGCCTCACATTGAATAGTCAGTAGCGTGGGAGGCTTGAATCGGTTCCTGTATCAGATAAAGTTCAAGGCTGTCTAGTATTCACTTAAGAACTGTCATTTATGCTCCCAACGCTGTTCAATTTCTCCCAGGTGGTGAATCATGAATAAGGAGCATTTTGCTCTCTCACTACATCGTCGTTCTAGAGAGCCATTTCGAACTTTAATCACAGCTTTGACCTGTCTAGCCTTTCCCAGAACCACGACTTCCATAAACCAGCGTCGTCACAAAGGAGGAGCATCGGGATCCTCCATACACTGATCAACCCGCATCAACTGCTTTCCAGTCTTTCTCGCAATATCAATAAACTGCGGCAGGTACCTAACAGTCGTATTGTACAAGTAATACATAACCACAAGGTTACCTCCTTTATCAACGTCGCTTTGGAAACTCTTGATTTGATTCTCTGGCGTCGTGCTCTCTGCCCACAACCAATCTTGCACATCCACGCTCCACTCCGAGAACTTGGCACCGGGAATCAGAGCAGCAAGACGTTGGCGAACGCGGGCCCCCTCTGTGCCAAAAGGCGGTCGGAAGTACTTGGAGGTTATGCCGAGAGTTTGAGAGACGGCTGAGATGTCGTTGTTGAGCTCCCAGTCAATCGCAGCGAGGGAAGGAAGTCCTTCCATTGGTGGATGGGTGTATGAATGATATGCTATTTGGTGTCCAGCTGCAAACGAGTTGGGTCTGGTGCAAGCAAAGATTAATGGCGCCGTGCTCAGCTTGGTTGGAACGAGAAAGCCATTGGGAACCGTCTGAATAATCTCGATTTTCGAGATTAGGGTCGGAATGGAGGTATAGAAATCTTTAAGGGCAAAACCGATTGTTTTCGTGTAATCGATCTCAAAATGTGAAATTGGGACGTAGAGGTCAGTTTTGTCAGAGTTCGAGTATCGCACTGCTTCGACGGAATCCCATGTGTAGGGCCAAGGGTTCTTGTTGGGGTCGCATGTGGGATTATGTTGCTGCATTGCTATAGTGAAGGCATTACTACCAGAATATGCGATGTGCAGATATCCATCATTGTTCGTTGTAAAGTCACTGCAGCTATCCGACACCTGAGTATACCAAGATAAATCCGAATTTCCCTTCATGTTGATGGTCATCCTACCCTTTGAAAGCTTGTAGGTGGCAGCATCATCTCCTCCGTAGTAGAAGCCGAGGTTGTTTGAATTTCCATTTCCAAAAGTATCGATCACGAAGGCTGATGGCCCTATAGTTGCTGGAATTGTTGAAGTTGGCTCGAGAAATGGGATCGTTGATGGAACAGGGTATTCTGTCCCAGAAAGTCCGCAGTAGAAAGCGATCGGACCCAGGGTGATTGGCTTGCTTATTCCAGAAAGGAGCAGACTTAAGAGGTGATCGGTGTCAAGTCCTTGGAATGTGGAGAATGGGATACTATAATCCTGCTCCGTTCCATCAAAGACCCATCCTAGAGCAGTCGAATCGAGATCATGTAGAGTCGGGTTACCCGAGGAACAGGTTTTTGAAGTCTGGAGCTCAATTGTCATGGTTGTGCCTTTGGGTGCTTTAATTGTTATACCAATACCTCCATACATATCTGTAGCTCTGGTGCACCCAAGCATCGTATACCAGTATGAAGTCCCGTCCTCGGCCGAGGTCAGTGTGAGGTGGTTGTTTGAAACGATGACTGAAGTTGCCGTGTCCGCTCTGCCTGTAATCGGAGCCATGGTCCCATCGTCGGAAGAAGGCTGAAGCATGGCATTGTAGAACAGAAATATCAATCGTGACTGCGATGCAAAGTCATCAACCAGAAGGTTTGCACATCTCCCATCGGTAAGTGAAGGAGGAATAGTGCTTGAGACTGCAATCGCAGAAACAGAGAGAAACAATGCTGACAAGAACGCTTTCATGATTGCAGGGGTCATATGAGGAACAAAGGAATGTCGCCGTTAGTTAGAATGCTCGAAAAGCGAGTAGGGACGACTGTATAGGTAGGTTGAGGACAACAAGAAATGGAGGGGAAGAAGCAGGCGAGAGAGGGAAAGTGCGACCGAACAAGGCTTTTCAAATGACCAAAGGGAGCGAAGAAGCAAGAACCGACGATTAAGCTGAGTTCATGACTACATGTACCAGCCAATACAACAAGTACAAAATTTCAGGAAAAATTGTGACACCTCGGATAGAGGCGATCCAGCTGCAAGATACCGTGATAGTGTTGCCATGATTTTCGAGCGAGGCACTTGACAACTCGTTTGGCATCACTGAACGAGAAAGAAGAACGCAGTGGAAGGAACGGATAATATGTGACAGAAATACCACTAAACTTCAGGTCGTCGAATACGCGCAGCATTCGCTTCTGAGGTACTCGAGTACAGTATACCCGCCCCCCCCCCCCCCCCCCACTTTAATAAATGGAACTGAATGGCTAGAGCCCTTGGAGTGGCCCGTGAAGGGTACTCGTAAGGTCCTTGTAAGGTCCCACTAAGCCCTAGACGTAGAGGGGCGAAGGATCATTGACATTTACTAATGGGGAGGAGAGTAGGCGTAAGTAAAGTCTCGTTAAGGTTAAATGCTGATCTCGCTGATCTCGTTAGACCCCATAGGATTTTAGCGGGGTTGGGGGGTTCCCCACACTTGGAGCCGTCACATTATGTCAATGCTTTTTTAAGGTATAGAAATCGTCGTACAAGCCGAGTAATTGAAAACATAGTCTGCACTTCCTAAAGCTAAGCTAAAGGGATGTGAAAAGGAACCTGCATGGTTGAAAAGCTTTGCAAATATGAATGCGGTGGTAGAATCCCTATGCGATTTGGCAACACGGCAGAAAATAAAGCCCTTGCACTAGACACCCATCCACAAGAGAGATGGAACAAACGAAAACACTTAAAAGCTGAGCCTCTGAAGCCCACTGAACATTTGCGTACATGCTCAGAGGTTTTATCATTTTTCAAACACTTATAGCATAGCAGCTACGCCAAGTAGTCCGGCCAATAACCCTCCAGCAACCTTGACATCCTGTCTTGGCGCCCCATTTGACGACTGACTCCCGCTTGAAGATACAGCGGCAGTACTTCTAGATGAGGTAATTGCAGCTGAAGAACTCTCACTCCCCGTAGTGCCAGTTCCATGATTCGGAGGAACGCTGGTAGGCGTATACAATACCCCATCCCAGGATGTCAATCTTGCCGTAGCACTTCCGGTGATCGTTCCCGGTGTGAAGCTGGACGTTAACGTATAATAATTACTGACCGCGGTGTTATTCGGAAATTTGTCATTGGTAAGCGTGATATTGGGCGCGAGACGAACGGAGGCGATGTCAACGGTTCTTAAGAGGTCTGAATACGGCTGGAAAGGGGGGGTCGGACTACATTCAGCCGTTTTGAGCGAAGATCGGTTAGATGCTACTTCCTCCGGAGAATATATGTGGAGGCCATGCACAGAAAAACAGGCATCACAAGTCTCTTGAGCCTCCCAAAATGAGCCAGTGCAGAGACATTGCTGTTCCGCGAGGAAGTCGATCTCTGAGGTGCCATTGGCAGAACAAATTGCTAGTATATGTATCGACTGCTCGCACGGGAATGGGGAGTTTTCTACCGCAGAGAGAATGTCGATGGGTCCACTACTGTTGTGGTCTGCGTTGTAGACATTTGGCTGGCACATTTGGTCTAAGTATGCGATAGCCGGATCATTAAGTCCCCGAGGGGAAAGCTCCGGTGCCGCAAGTGGAAGAAGGGTGCCGAGGACAATGTTCAGACGAAATGCGTACATAATGAAGTTGGCAACGGATTGATAGATATGGACGCAACTGACTGGTGAGAAAAGTCATGTTCGTGAGTTTTATCATCAAGGTACGCTGCCTTTTATATTTATTTCGTTGACGTTCTCGGGCGAAGAATAGATTTGGCATGTGGCAGTGGAGTGGCACAGCACGGAGCATCACGACCACTTGTGGCTAGCGGCTACAAGGTTTAGCATAGCGAATTTTTATGAGCCTATCCTATTTCCCCTATCGTTCAATATATTTACCCCGCACTCTCAAAGGCGCAGAACTTCAAATCGGGGCTCTCCAGCTTGAGATATTGCCCTGCCAGTTAGCCCAAGGCATTGTGGCCTCATGGGCTTTCACCCAGTTGCTCCAGTCAGGCTTAGACGATAAAAGTATGACTTGGTACTCCCTTTACATTGTAACTCTCCTGTGGCTGAAACTATATGGCAGTAATCTGTGAAAGAAGACCAAAAGAGTCATCTTTAACGCCCAATCTGCGACAGTGTTTTACGGCCTTCTTTATAAAAGGCGCTGCTACTTTAAAGGAGCCTTATGATAGACAGCAAAAAGCGGCACTAGCTTATGATGTGCTAGGCAGCATAAAATATTAAAAGTCAATAACAGTAATTGCTGCTTTTTTTCTATCTAGTATGAGCAGCCTAAGGCTTTTTATGAGGAAGGCCGTAAAACACTAGAGTATTTAAATGTGAGCACTTGATATACGGTACGGCAAGTGCGATTCTTGGAAAGCTGACTTACTAAGAGATTTGCCGTGGCAATAAAAAGACCACTTAGCTCCTGTACTGCTAAAAGTGAAGAAAACCTCTGGCTGTTTCTTGTAGATTTATATATGGTGAAGTGTTAATTCGCGTAAAAAGGGGGGCTAGCCTTCAATCCGCCAACCATTGAAAACATGAATCTGCATGAGTCTGATGTAGAAGATTTAGAGTGCATTCATGAAGACTATGTATACCATGCTTACCTAAATTTCAAATCATTAGAAGTACACTGATTTGTGTTCCTTTTCAGTGGAACATATGTCACGTGTCTACCAAAAGCCTCCAGCTCTGGGCCCCATATTCTAGGTCGCGGGATAGACTCTAGCTTGCAGGGTTAGATAATGTAAGGGCACGCACACTCAAGTTTCACTGAACTTTTGGTTTTATAATTATACCTCACACTCCATCTTCTAAAGTTGGACACAACTTAGCACAAGATTCACTCTCACAGTTTTGACAACCTCTCCTCGATATCTGGATTGTCGGTTCTTAAAGCAACGTCGTTCATAGCGTTAGCAACCCCCGTGGATCTTTTCTCTGGCCTCAAGATACTATACAACTCCAAGCAAAGGACGATTCAAGATGTCCACCATGATACAAGACAACATTACGGAACGCAAAGAGGATATCAAATATCTCACAACTTTGGTCAAAAGACTAGAGACGGATACTGATAAAGAGAGAAAGCTCGTGGACGATTTACAAACTCTCCCTGTCGAAAGGATCCATGGACTTCTCAACCAGGCCAGAATAATGACCTCCGGATCCTTCGACGATGATTACGACCACAAACTCCACAGTAGCCTTGCTGTTTTCTTGAAACGTCTCGCGGTCAAGCTTCAACCTCCCAAGCCGCAAGTCTGTAGCCATAGTTTCACAAAATTTACGAAACTTCCTCAAGAAATTCAAGACCTGGTATGGACTCGAACGTTCGTCAACGATCGAATTATCGAGTTTTCTTGGTTCCTGGTATCAGAATCGCGATGGGGGTCTTTACTGCTTGCAACAGATTGCGAGCTAGTATCAACACAGGCCTTAGCCCCTTTGGTATCCAAGAAGTCCAATCAAATCTTCCAGGAGAATTACGAAAATTTCAGTTTCGAACTTCGAGTAGACAGCCCAGGGGTAGAGTTTCGGGCGTGGAACGCATCTGTTAACTTCGGACTTGACATCCCCTACTTCAATTTGTTTACCGAAAGTGCAAGCATGGAGATACATAGCAATGGACGAGACTCTTTGGATCCCTTCGACCAGTTTCAAAAGGTTGCGTGCTCAAGAGAGTCGTTCTACTCTCTACTTGACGAGTGTATCCAAAGTTCAGGAGCTGGGATTCGACTTAATCTAGCCTTGAAGCGCTTCAAGGCCCTTAAGGAATTAGTCCTTGTCAGAGTTCTCGAGTTCAAGTCATGTATTGATGTCCCTCCCCAAACACCCTTGGTCTTTCTCCCGGAGGATGCAAAAGTAAACGAAGCAGGGATAGAGTACTTGACACCGGAAAACGCCAAAAAGGATGCCGAATCCGACCCGTATGCTTTCTTGATCAATATGGAAAAGGAGAATGACCCGGAGGCCATTATAAAGCTCTGGAACCGCACGCTAGAAATCGGTGGAATTATCAAGACCTTTAAGGATGTCAAACTGACATTTCGTCTGGCCAAGAGAGACTATACCCCGCCTCTTTCGAAGATGCTCGAGTGCTACTGTCGGACATTATAAGATAAAACCGGCTATCCAGAAGCAAAATAATTTGAAGTCATACGGTGGAGGCATTGGTATATGAGGACAAGCTGACAATTGATCAAATGAGCTGATGGCTCACATTCAAACACGGGTCATGATTTCGAGGAAGTGAATAGTTATTGGGGAGGAATCAACACAACTATAATACAGCCAAATTGAATGCGCCGTTGGTATAGATGATTAGTACAAAGTCCAAAAAGCTTTTGAGGTAATATAACCCAGGAAAATCACACAAAATCACACAAATGGGAAGTTCCTTCGCTAGTCATTAATTGGAACACCATTCAAATCAAACCAAACAGTTCTGCAACCCTGATCAAAATGTAACGACCCATTGCCGAGTGAAGAGAAGCAGTTAAGCTAAGTTCTGGCCGTGCATTGATTAGCCCAGATGACCACGATTCGCAGTAGAAACATACTCTTAGCTATCATTCTCCCAACATAACCGAACTTTTTCGGGATGATTCATCTTGAGCGTAGTGGATATATCTGAGTCTTGGACCGCTTGCAAAAGGCGTGCCTTGCTCCCACTTGGGGATTCTCCTGGTTCGGCGATTGGCTTGACTCGGTGATGTTGGAAAAGCAGTGCAAGTGTAGCAACAAATTCGACCTGGGCAAATCTTTTTCCGGGACAGACCCGTGGTCCACTTGACCATGGCATGAAGGAGCTGAGGGGCGGCTGGAGCAATTCTTCGTTGCCTATATTGTTCTCCATTTCATTCTTGAGGATCCACCTCTTGGGTTTCCAATCATATGGTTCTGATCCCCAGTATTTAGATGCATGTATTGCAGTAAAAGTGCCGAAGATTACTGTATGGGGTGGAATCATATGTTGCTTCCCCTGAATAGTAAGGGTTTGATAAGAGTCGTTGACAGCTCTTGGAAAGGCAACAACAGGGCCATAAAGTCGTAGAGTCTCGAACTGTCAGACAATATCAGTCACTAACTACTCAAAATGTTCTCACGGAGACTGTAGCTTACCATGAGTGCAAGGCACCGTTTAAGTCGCGGGAACATCTCCTCATACTTCCAATTTTCTACAACCCCATATTCGCTAGCAATCGCTTGCACCTCTTCTCTTATCCAATCCTGAACCTTGAGATCCGCCGCTAAAAGTGTTATGGCATAGGCAAGAGTATTGGCAGTTGACTCGTGTCCGGCAAAGGCGTAGATGAACAAGTTTCCGTAAACTTCATCGTTAGTCAGAGTTCGCCTTCCTTCGCCTTCTACCTCTCGCAAGTCTGATGCGCGCAAAAGAGCGCTCATAAGATTGTCGTGCTCACTGGACTTCTGTGGGGCCACCCTTTCTTCTTCTACGAATTCGACTAGATATTGTTTGAATTCCGGAATTGCAATTCGGGCGGCGTCGAACCTTTTCGGAAGTATAATTGACATTAGTTTGGAATTAGAAAGTAGTAGAACGCCAATGAACTCCTTTAGCACGGTATGAAGAGCCTCCTTGAAAGACATAGTGTGACCATTGGCAGGGTTTGATACCCCTTTTTCAAAAGGATAGAACCTGCCAAAACCAGCTCCTGTCAGTCAATTAGCAGAAGGTCCATGTGGAAGCAATTGATTCGATATATTTCACCGGTAAGGACATGGAGTGCCAGATTCATCGTGTCTTGGCTTGTTTCCGTAGTTCCAACTTCCCCTGCATGGCTCCACGATCGCAACATCCCCTTTGCTTGCCTCAAAGACTCGATCCAAACCATGTTGCTCTGTGAATGTTTAGTTACGAATGTGTCAGATAATTGGGGGATCAGACACGCTGGTGGCTCGTGTATGAGAAGAAGGCTTATTCAGGGATTCTTACATTCCTCTCATTGAACGGTGGGGTCGTGATTTTCCTATGTCGTTGCCATTCTCTGCCATTCACGCTGTCAAGGTTCTCGCCAAAAACGTCTAAGGCCTGGTAATAAGACGCCGGCTTAGGGAAGTCATTACTGCGGTACAAAAGCTCTTCCACCGAATTCCCATCACAAAGTTGAATCTGCATACCGCCTGGGCTAATAATCACAAATGCGGGACCCAGTTTCTCTAAGACATGCATCTTAGTCTGGAAATACCAGGCGAAACGCCCATAATTCAGGAATTCTCCCAGGTATCCAGGCAGACTACTCGTCAGGGGCCCAACAAGAGGTATTAACAACAGCCAAAATGGGTTGAGAGGTACGGCTGGTGTTATGACGATGGGGAGACCAATCTTCCGCGCTTCAATGTAGTATCGAAAGGTGTTTACCACGGGCCAAGCCAGCGAAGCTATTGCGACAGTGGCGATGACCGCAATAGCTCCCATTGCGAATTTCTCAAGGTTGAAAGCTTTGAGTGCGGTGTGGTCATATATCGTCAAGAATGAGCTTGTTGACCTCTGAAACAAGTAATTCCAAATCTTGTCAAATAAAGTGCTTACAAGACGACTTGAGAAGAGGAAAAGCGAGGTCGGAAGTGAAGCTAGGCAAACACGCATGCACCTGACATGCACTTCTTTCAGTCAGGTCTCCAAACTCCGGTACCCCACTGCAACAAAGACGAACTTGGAAAAGAATAGCAGTATTTAATAAAGTGCCGACCCACTTTTACGGGAATGCCCTCATTTTAAAAGATCAGGCAACTGTTAATGCTAGCCCTTAGTTAAACGAATTATTTATTATTTAGCTTATTTATTATTTATATATATCGATAGTATTATACGATGTTCCTTTTATATCAATAAAGAATCGTGGCTCGACTAACCTCATAATTAAAGATTGTTCTCTAATAAACTTAGGTTCCCAACTATAGAACTCCCGCAGCAACTCCCTGCGATTGGCACGTCTTGCACTCTTTTAGCGAGCGCTTGAAGAAATTTTGTATGGCTAGGGTGTCGAATTCTTTATGCTTTAAATCACATTCTGGAGTGCTCGCACGAGCTATGCAACGTGTTATTAGTGCCACAAATAAGGATCAAAGTGGTTATTTTACATCTTAATTCGAAATTATCTACACGAGTGCATAGTCTACTTTGGTGTCGGATGAATTACTGGCGGATGAATTACTGCACCCCCTAGTGATCTCTACCTCGGGATGACTCATCAATGAGTTGTCTTCCCTGTATATAGATCCCTCCCTTAGCTCCTAGCTTTTTGATCCTTAGAGACAACATAACCAGGAATTACCTTCACCGTACTCTTAAGTGTGTTGTATCCTAATCACGCGTGATCTTACGACTTGAGGTACTGATAGTAACCAACACTTTTTGCCGCAAGATGTCTTCTCTAAATCCCAATCTCTGCACTAAAAATCTTACCATTCGTCCCGCCGTCCTTTCTGATGCTGCCCCCCTCGCAGCCATTTTTGCCAACCCCCTCAACACCCTACATGAACCGCGCAAGCCAAGCAACCCAACGGCAGAAGAATACCAGGGCCGAATCGCTAAATGGGAGGACCTACGCGCTTGTGGGCAAGCCTACTTCCTCGTCATAACTCGACGCCCAACAATAGAGACGGGATCACCACTTGCGGATGGCGTTATCGGCTTCGGCGGCATTAACGCCATCTCTACGGACGCTCAGGGTAAGCGAATTGCGGACCTGGGTGTGCTGATTGACAGCTCCGAGTGGAGGAAGGGGTACGGGCGGGAAGCGTTACAGGCTACGTTAGACTTTGCATTCCGGAAGGTGGAGGGCGTCGGATGCGAGGAGGCGTATTTTGAGACATTAGCGGTGAATACGCCGTTTCAAGGACTAGCTGATCGGATGGGGATAGCGAAGTGGAAGCGGGTGAAGAGTGAGGGAAAGGAGGTTGAATATAGATTCAGCAAAGAGGATTGGGAGGGAATAAAGAATGGAAGTGCGTAAATCGGATCACTGAGATGGAGACTTTGATGAAAGTTGGATCAAAGTCCAGTATCTTCTACTTTCGGTAGTCTTTGGTACGTGTTAGATAAAGCTGATCACAAAGAGGACGATGAATAGCGTCAAAGCTAGCATAGAGGTGATGAGCATGTTATTATGTGTCATCTGGAAGACGAGCTAATTGAGATGAAGAGTTTTATCCCACAGACGGCTTATGTAAGCAGCTAAGTCCAACCTCCAGCAGCACGCCCTCCGGATTACATCCGCGTGATACTATTCAATAAATATAAAAAGCCATTTACATATTAAATATTGCTCCTTGATATATCAACTTTTATACTTTCTATATTTTCTTCAGCAAGGGCTATTTAACCATGGTTTTTAACCCCACCGAGTACAAGCTCCTAAGCTTCGACATCTACGGCACGCTGATCGACTGGGAATCGGGTATCTTCGAATCACTCCTTCCTTTACTTTCAAAACTGCCGCAGAATGATCCGCATCATCCCGATCAGAATGCTTCGGCCGTAAACCGGAGTTTTATTCTCACAGAATTCACAAACTTCGAGTCCGCCATCCAAACCGAGGACCCCACTCTTACATACCCAAAAGTCCTAGCGACCGCCTACGAAAGGATCGCAGCAAAGCTGCAGATCCCATTCAATACAACAGAAGCTAAAGCTTTCGGAGCTACCATTGGAAAATGGCCTGCTTTCCCTGATACCGTTGCTGCTATGCAGGAGTTGGGCCGGCATTACAAGCTAGTTGTGCTGTCCAACGTTGACAATGCATCATTCTCGCGAACCCTTGCTGGCCCTCTCAAAGGTGTCAATTTTGACGGGATCTATACTGCTGAGAACATTGGGTCATATAAGCCTGATCTAAGGAACTTCCAGTATTTGGTTGAGCATGCGAAGAAAGATTTTGGTGTGGAGAAGGATGAGATTCTGAAGGTTGCACAAAGTATTTATCATGATCATCGTCCAGCGAAGACGTTTGGCTTGAGGCCGAGTGTGTGGATTAAGAGATCTGAAGATGATGCTTCGATGGGTGGGAAGTACGAAGAGTTCAAAGACGAAGTGCAGTTAGCTGCTGCTTTTTCAACGTTGGGAGAGTTTGCGGCCGAAGTGAAGAAGGGATTTGGAGAAGTAAAGTGAAGGAGGTCACCGAGGGAAACTAGCATCAAGTTATCCTTACATTCATTTTTTGGAATATTGACGAAGTCATTTAAAATTAAAGCGATTTCTTGACCTGGCTGCAATTCTCGAGTCCTTGGCTGTTTCTCACCCTGAGTTCATGCGTGGTACAATTCTCTAAATCAGATTAGAAATGAAAGTGCAATTTAGGTATTATACGGTCTGCAGTTTTTAAGCTAGATGTTATTGGTGTGAACTCCGTGCTATCGGCAAACTACTTTGTGACGATGAGTATGGGCTCCAAATCCCTAAAACCTATGTCTTTTCCACCAATTACAAGTGCAGGGTCCTACTCGAGCCGAAAATGGTGATTGTCTATGGGGAAAACTATTTTGCGGGGTTAAACTGCGTATTTCCCGACGTTCAGCGATTGGTTCCCCTTTACCCGGCAACTCACTTCACGATATCTCGTCAACACTCTAATGAGGAATACGCTGGTAATAATTCCGGGTCTTCAGAACACTTCTTGATTAAGTTGCCACCATAAAACCTGTGGAAATGAAGTCATCAGCATATATAGCAGGAAAGTTTGGTCGCATCTTGAAGTGCAAACCAATCTAGTACACTTTCCTTCTGCGCTCGGAGTTGATATTGTTCTACACCATGCATCTTTCTCAGGTAGTCTTGCCGGTCCTTTATTTTTGCGCTGCTGTTGTGGATTCCTCCTCATGGAACGGGTCGTATCCACGAAAAACCTGTACCATTGCTTCAAAATATCGCTCTTCGAATGGGACATTGAATGATTCACCTGCTGTGGCTTCCGCCTTTGCAGAATGCTCGCAAGATGCAATCATTGTATTCAGTGAGGGGTTAGACTACAATATCTTGACTCCCATCAGTGCGACCAATCTCAGCAACGTGGAGATCCATTTGCAGGGCAATCTTCATCTCCCCCGAAAGATAACCGCTGTCCAGGCAGCTGTTAATGCCAGCAATGCTCTCACGTATTCTACCGCTCTCTACTGGTTTAAGTTTGCTGGGGCATCCATTGATTTCATCGGAACTAGCAATCTCACAAACGGCTGGATATATTCATATGGCCAGGCTTGGTGGGATGCAAATCCCGTCAATGGAACTGGCATCGCTGCTCGGCCTCATCTAATGAGCTTCAATACTACCCATGGCTCAATCCAACACTTCAAGTCAAAAAAGCCAATTGCCTGGGGTGTGCAACTTATTGGAAATGCTATCACAGTCAGTGATACTGTTGTTGATGCCTTTTCGACAACTGGAAGCTTTCCCTTTAATACGGATGCTTTTGATGTGACCGGCACGAACATCAAGATTCTCGACAGCCTTATTTTCAATGGAGACGACGCCATTGCAGTTCAATCTGGCGCACATGATATTCTCTTCCAAGGTGGAACGATCGGGTACCAAAGCCATGGGATGAGTATCGGCTCTTTGGGACAAAATCAAGGCTCCTTTGCGAACGTCTCCAATATCAAATTCAACAATGTAACAGTCATCAACGCCGTATACGCTGCCCGTTTCAAGTCTTGGATTGGGGGGCAAGGCCTGGCAAAGAATGTCACTTGGTCTAATATCCGGACTCATAATGTTACCTTCCCCATATTTGTCACGCAAACGTATTATAACCAAGGCTCGAATCAAACACAACTCGAAAATGGCGCAACGATTGGGAGACCGAACAACTCTACAGTCCAGATGAGTGACTTCACATGGGAAAATTTTACAGGGTCAATTAACACCTTTCGACCTGGAGATGGATCTTGTGTAACAGATCCCTGCTGGTATGATGCTGGTTTGCCGAACTTGACTCATACGGAAGCTATGATTATGGAGTGCAACACGAATTCATCTTGTCAGAATTTTGCGACAAAAAATATTCATGTGTTTTCGCAACTTGAGAAAGCCGCGACGGTTATTTGTCTAAACGCTACGGCCGAGTTGAATCCAGATCTGGGGTTTGATTGTAGGAATGGAACGTATATTCCATTTTTAAGCTAGCTGGGAAGAACATAGTTGCAGCTTGACATCAAAACCATTGATTATTCAAGCAGCTCTCGAAAACTGAAGGTTCAGTGCCTGTGCCTCAACAAGCTCCTGATCCCCCCCCGCCTCCTTTTTGAATACACGTGAGCGATCATCCTCGCATAGTTGACGTAACTTCACCACCATTCAGCTTCAATTCACGTAGTCTAGAATCAAGCTCTACCCCAGAATATCGATTGTTCGGCTTTGATTGCCGCAGATCTTTCCCTTTCAAAAGTTAGTATGCATGCTCCTAAAGCCCCGCTTGCCAACAACAGCAAGTATTTCAAGTGGTTTACCCCGCAATCTGTACAACCCTGTCCACGAAACTCCTACGGGTAAATGCATTTATTGCATGTTACTACAGTAGCATTTAAATACCGTGTAATCCCCTCCCACCTCGGAAACCGAACTGCAACCTGACTCTTTATGCCCTTTATTTGGAGCTAAATCCGCCAAGATGGCTAAATTCTTCAAGAAACACTCCCTGAAAGTTAGCGACAAGGAGAGGACCCAAGCCGCGCAGCTGACACTAAGAGAATCAATATATCCGTTGTTTCTCGTTACGATCTTATTTTTTCTCTGGGCATGTCTCGTAACTACGATTGTATCGATGAATTTAGCGCTAACTCTTTCATATAGGGATTCTCGTACGGGCTTCTCGATACATTAAACAAACATTTTCAGAACACGCTTCATATTACAAGAGCTAGATCATCAGGTCTTCAAGCTGCTTATTTTGGGTATGTGTGTTGTACCATGTTGTAGACCTAGAAAATAATAAATGATCTTAAAGTGCATATCCCCTCGCATCCCTAGGACACGCGAACTGGATTCTCCGCCACTATGGCTATAAGCCGGTATTCATCTGGGGACTCTGTCTCTACGGAATTGGGGCTCTCGTTGCCTGGCCTTGTATTCTACATCGGTCGTTCGGGGGGTTTTGTGCCGCGATTTTTATCATCGGAAACGGTTTGGGCTCGTTAGAAACGGCCGCGAATCCCTACATCACTGGTACGTTGGGACCTATACTTAAATGAGATATTGGTTGACGAAGATTCAGTTTGTGGTCCACCGAGATATGCGGAGATGCGAATCAATCTCTCACAAGCATTCAACGGAATCGGAACGGTCGTAGCGCCCGTTCTTGGCTCTTATGTCTTCTTCACCAAGACTGCTGATGACCCTGCAGCATTGAAGAATGTCCAATGGGTGTATCTCGCCATTGCTATCTTTGTATTCTTGCTCGCTGGTCTTTTCTATTTGTAAGAAATCCAGTCCTGCTCCTTTTGAAACCGCAACTACTAATTGCTTCTTCAGCTCTCCTATTCCAGAAGTTACGGATGCGGACATGGCCTTCCAAGCTGAAGAAACCCACGCAAATGCTGACAACAAGCCATTCTATAAACAATACCGCCTCTTTCACGCCGCCTTTGCTCAATTCTGCTACACGGGTGCGCAGATAGCGATTGCATCCTATTTCATCAACTACGTGACCGAGACGAGACCCAACACCGACTCGGCACTGGGTGCCAAACTCCTCGCTGGAGCACAAGGTGCTTTTGCTGCGGGTCGCTTCCTTGGCGTTGCTCTCATGAAATACATCCGACCACGCTGGGTCTTCTTGTTCTACCTAACTATGTGCATTATATTCATTGCACCGAGTATCACGCAACGGGACAACACCGGCATGGCAATGCTGTATATCACGCTCTTCTTTGAGAGTATCTGCTTTCCCACCATCGTCGCGCTCGGTATGCGAGGCCTAGGAAAATACACGAAGCGTGGTTCTGGATTCATAGTTGGAGGAGTATCTGGAGGAGCATGTGTTCCTCCGTTGCTTGGTGCAGCAGCCGACCTCAACAACTCTACAGCGACCGCTATGAGCGTGCCACTTGCTTTCTTCGTCGCAGCTTGGAGTTATGCCATCTGCGTTAACTTCGTGCCGGCGTATAGAGACCCAGCCGATAAGTTCGCCACTGCTGAGATTGGACTGGAGAATAGGAACGTTGACGAGGAAAGCAGTGGGAAAGGAGAAGGTGTTTTTGAAAAAGGAGAGGTGGAGACTAGTGAGAATACTACCTCCTCTGAGATCAAGGATACCAAGGTTTAGTGAACCAACACATATCTGGGTAATACTAGCCGTTTGAATGATAGAAACAGTAGAGATATCTTCTCCAGATCATCATATTTGTCCATTATATAAACGAATTCCGTTCACGGTTTTTGATTTACTTGACGTCTATGGGAATTCCCAGCGAACTAGAGTCTTACCACTATTTATCCGACCACCTACGCATAGCTAGTGATCCCTATTCCCACGACTGGTTATGAGGTAAGGCCGGTTCATCGCAGGAAATATCCTGGAGTATTGTGGAAAACTTACTCCCAGAAACTTCAAATATGCAGCAACAATTCCAAACGTTGAAGCAGATGGAAGTGCATACGCATGCACGCCTATGAAGAAACTTTTGAAGATCAAGCTTTCTAAATTACTACATTGGTAAAATCCCCATATTAGGAGTAATCAGATTAGAACCAACCATTTAATATAATTAAACGGTTCTGCATTCAGTAAAAGACCTAGAAACCAAAAAGCTTAATCTTCCTTCCCAATGACATAGACCAGTTTCTCCCCACTAATCTTCTTATTCTTCAGATCCATCATCCCACTCAAAATACCCCCAAGACCACCAGGCCGAACAGCCGCCGGATGTGGTTTGATCTTCCCATCTTCAAGAAGTCCCTCAGAGAGGGCAAGAACCTTCTTGACGAGTTCATAATCTTCGGGAACCACAGGCCATTCTTCGCCCAGAAAGGTATAGGTCTCACCAAGGCCAGTATAACCCAAGAAGAAAACGGCTTTTACATCTTTGCGAGGGGAGTCAACGCCCATCAAATTGCAATATATACCCCCTTTGCTTGAACTCATAGCTTGGGTAGAGACCTCAGCCGTTTCCGAAGTAGCGATTGTGTCTAGAACGAGTTTGAGGGTGTCTGAAGTAAGTTCTCGGATTTGTCTGGTACAACCCGGGTCTCGCTAATGTGCATGTCAGATCAGACTTGCCTGGGGTGAGGACCCAAGCTTACGTAGTCAAACACAGCATCTGCACCAAGTCCGCGGACAAAATCAAAGTTTCGAGGAGAGCAGGTTGTTACGACCTTCAATCCAGACCTTTTCACGGATCAGTATTAGTGTTCCAAGCAGCGGGGTAAAACTTTGTACGTACAGCTTTGCGAACTGAATAGCTATGGATCCAGATGCACTACTGCCTCCATATACGAGTATCCAAGGGCTGCCAGCCACAGTTTCAGGCAGCAATGGCAAGCCAAGGTGTCTATATAATGCAAGTGCAGCGGTCCCCACACCGCATGGTACAGTGGCAACATCGGTAAAACTCAAGCTAGGTGGGATGCGTATAGTGAGATCTCCTTTGGCCGTGATATGTTCCGCGAAAGTGCCGTCCTCGTGATTATCCACATTCGCTAGGCTTGAGGTTAGTATTATCATTCTCATTTTCCCGCTGAATTGATCGCAAGCACTTACTGCCATGAGCAAAGCCCATCACTCGGTCTCCTATCTTTAGATCTTTGCTTACATCCTTTCCAATCGCTTCGACGATCCCAGAATAGTCGCAGCCGATCAAGAGAGGTGGTGAGCCGGGCTTGAGCTCTTGCTCTTCCAGGTCTTGCCAATCGGCTGGGTTGAGCGCTACAGCGATTGTTTTCACCTGAATGAAATCATCTCGGAGTTTGGGATAAGGAAGATTGATGACTGCGGCATCATTTTTTCCCTGCTTCACCAGTCCTCGGTTTTGGTGTTTGGTAGTCATTTTTCAAGCACGAATTAAGTAGGAAACAATGGCAAAAGTAAATTGTCTCTAGTTGAATTTTCAAAAAGCAAGTATATATCACATAGACGTATTTATATATCTCTTACATCAGGCTTTTGAAAATCAATAGCTGATAAATCAGGTAGATGTAATTCCGCACTCGTACTTGGTGGTAAGATGCTTGCCGCTTAACTCAGATAGGGGAGTAAGAGTGGAGTGATTTCGACCAATTACGACAAGCGTGGCCCGCTAATCGCTGTGAGTTACTTCTTTCTGGGAAATAGTGAGTAAGCAGGATCTGCTTACACATTCCTCACCACAGACACCCTGACAACATATTCTATACTCAGTGTCAAAGCCAAGCTTACATCCCTCACCATATCAGCTTTATGGACAATGTAATGTAACGAAGACGGAGGCGGTTAGACCGAGTTACGTAAACCCAGTCATAGTGTTGGAAATGCTGCTATGACGAAGCATAAACGAACCAAGACTTTCACCGGCTGTGCGACCTGTCGTTCGAGGGGAGTAAAGTGTGATGAGGAGAGACCGATCTGCCGGAGGTGCAAAAGTGCATTTCTGCATTGCAAGGGTTATAGCGCTAGGTTGACATGGCCTGGTTGTAAGGTGTCTAAAGGGTTACAACGGGTGTCACTTCTGAATGACTTTTGTCAACCGGTCCAATTAATGACGCGGGACGCCATCTCTTCTGCAATCGATGAATTGGATTTGGCTCCACAAGAATGCAGTTGCATTGCGGGGCCGTTTGGGGTTTTCCCTGTGTTTAACGACACTCCTGCTTTGGTACATGTAGCCGGAGAAGTCGACAACTCTATTAAAACTAAAGGAAGCCGTAGAGACTTAACGAAGTCGTGCACAAAAGCACCGAGCAGGGCCCTTCGTCATCGGAAACCACTTTACCACCATGGATTGCAAGAAACCGGGGTGGATGTGGAGCGAATCGACCGTATTTCTTCGACATCAGAAGATATCAATCTGCGTCTCGAAGCGTCACTTTTCGCCTCTTTCCTAACAAAAAACAAAGAAGATCGGCTGCTGATGCACTTTTGGCTAACGATTCTCAGCCCTCTAATGCTACCAACACCTAGCGCAGACAATCCATTCCTGGCCATCATCACGCCTCTCGCCATGTCCGCCAGCCACAACTCTGAAGACCCGGCCGCCAATTCCCTGCTCCACGCTATATACGCACTCGCAGCCGCAAGTCGCGCGAACCTGCAGCGCGTGGAACAGAGCGGACGGGTCATCGGAGCCAGACATCTACGGCTGAGTATACAATACTTGATGTGTAGCATATCAGGGAATAGCAAAACGAAATCTCCTGAAACTGTCTTGGCTGCGATAGACATTCTGATCATAGCCGGTATTATCAACGGCGAGTCTTCAGATTGGCGTGTGCATTTGCGGGGTGCTTTCGCGTGGATCCAATGCGTGGAGAAGAGCGTGTGGAGAAGAAGTCGGGGTTCTTCTATGATATACCAGATGTTCCTCTGTGTAGAGGCTCTCCGTCCCGCTCACAGGTCATTAGCTCTCGAGCTCGAACCCCTGTCGCTGCTGATCGAAGACTCTCATAAGCTACAGGATGAGATGAGCCGCCCGCGAGATGAGGTATCGAACACTTCGGAAACGGAGGTCTATGAGAACTTGGACTACTGTCTCGATGAAATATTTTGCATCTCGCAACCCATACTCGAGGCAATCATCCAAATAAACAAGTGGGTGTATATCGACCAAAAGCCCCCGACAAGCGTGCTAGACGTCCTCGAGTTAAAAATCATCCGCAGCAATCCGGAGCTCATTCAGGCCGCGTACCCAGCAAATTCCTCTACATTCGAGCAGATGAAGTGGCGCTATGCCTGCTTATGGTACTCTGCAACATACCTGTACTTCAGCCGTGCACTTCAAAAGTTACCCGTACATAAAGTACAGCATCTTGTTCGGCAGAGCGTGGAGCATCTCGATGCAATATCGCTGTTGGAAGTGCAACAGAATGTGTCTGGAATCTTGTGGCCGGCGTTTATTGCAGGTTGTGAGGCAAATGATTCAAATTCAAGGAGAAGGATCGAGGTGTATTTTGATAAAAGGGAAACGCTCGGGATTGGGAATACGGCAGATGCAAGGACAGTGGTGCGGGAGGTGTGGAGGCGGAGGGATGAGTCGGATAGGTCTGTGGACATATCGTGGCATGAAGTCATGGTGGATCTGGGAATCGATATTGCTATAAGCTGAGGTCACTCGTTGGTACCTAGACAGTCATTGTATTTGGGTCTAAAGCGCAAGCGCAAGGAAAATAAATCGCATCGCAGTAGGGACGTCAACCCAGTCGCTACCAACATACCTACTTTGGGTCGCTGCATGCATGCACTTGCAACAGGTTCCCTGCGTCCAGAGAGTAAAGCGCAGACGACCGACCGTTCATTTCAGTATACCTCACTTGCAACCCACCCTAGCCTAGCTAGTAAAGCGAACTACTAGGGAGGATCGCAGGCGGAGTAAGTGGGCATGGAAGTAGAAGTGCAAGTAGAAGTGCAAGGAAGAGATGATTAGCTACAAGGGACACACGTACCGTAATGAGGAAAAGCAAGCAAGCGCCAGAATATGAGAAGAGAGATTATGGAATTCATAGCTTGCATCGGGAATAAACCAACGCCAGGCCAAAGTAGCTGGGTATCCCAACAAGAGAAGACAAGAAGGCAAGACAAGACAAGATAAGACAATGCATCTATCGTATCCAATCCAATACAATACAACAAGACATCCCTATTTCCAATTCAACCCAAAACCTAACCCTGTCATTCATGAACTCTTTACTCTTTAATAGCCTCCTCGGAACCAATATTACCACCAGCGGCAGCAGCTTCATCCTTCTTCCCAAATGCCCAGCCCATCCAACTGGCCCTCTTCGCCTTCTGCTCCTCAATCTCCGCGCTCGTCTTCCGCTCGGTCTGATCCTGTACCAACCTTAGAGGCCTTGGTTTATTCCCGGCAAATGTCGTAGCTTTCTCCGGGATAACGCGTGGAGGACTCAGGCTAGGAGGCGTCGACACTCCGCCCGAATCACCGCTCATGCTGCTCGTCTCGCTCTTCATGCCGGGGAAGTTGCCCGCCGTCGGGACCTGACCCGCACTGGGGACGCGATGCGCAGCATTGGGGTTCCCGCCGGACGCTGGGGGCGCGAAGAAGGATTGCGAGTGTCGCGGTGTTTGGGGGCCGGTGATCGGGGGTGAGTTTTGGCCGCCTTTGTACATTTGGTTCACGACGCTGGCGGCGCCACCAGTGTATTGCTCGCTCATAGGGCGACGATCTGTTTTGCGAGTGCTGGAGGATCGGCCGAGGCCGAAGGGGATGCTGGGCGCGGTGTCGGGGTCACTGACTGCGGAATGCTGGGAGCTTGGTGGTCCCATAATTGTTTGTGATTGCGGGCGTGGTCGCCGGGTTCCCATGGCTACTGACTTTGCTCGCTGGAGGATGGAAGCACCAGATGCTTGTTCTGGAGGTGGGGCAGGAAGCGCCTTTTCGGTATTGGGAGCTCCGGGCTTGAAGTCAGATGATTGATCTAGGATTGCTTCAAAGTCTTGGTGTTGTAGGAGGCGCTCAATGATCTTGTTGATGTAGAGTGTCAAAGCCTTGTTCTGGTCCTTAGCCGACTTCAACTCTCCTTCCAACCGTCTGTAATTGTCGCTTCCCCCATCATCAGCCTCAGATAGCTCATCCGCTAGGCTTGGTGCTGCTGATCTGCCCTCTAGAGCGCTCAGCGCATCTTGATTCGAAGCAGAGCCCATAAAGTCACTCTTTGTGAAATCTCCCGTCAATGTCTTCTCAGATAGTAAAAGTTGATAGCTCTCGTTGTCCTCCATCAGTCTTGCATTTGTCATGCGGGCTTCCAAAAGTAATCTTTCAACTTCTTGCATGCGGCCACCACCCATATTCTCTGATTCAACCAGCTTGATTTGTGCTTCGGCGAGCTCTAGACGGAGAGACTCGATTAGGCGGTCTTTCTGGAGAAGCAACTTTGAGTTATTGCGGGAATCGCTGCGATTGAGGCCAGAAGGAGGAGCGAATTGGCCGTTATCGAGATTTGGGGAGGAATTGTTGGCTATGGGAAATTAGTATAGGCAAGGTACGCATAATGCTTTCTACTCACATCGTCTTGACAACCTCGATTCTTCATCGGTGTTGGATCTCTGGCTCAGGGAATCCTTCAGTCTCTGAATAATGGTTTGCATCTCTTCCTCCCGATTAGACATCTCCTCTCTCTCCTTGGTCATCGAGCCTCTCTCGGCCTCATAGATGCTTTCCATCTCCCGCCTCTGTCTAAGGGCATCACGTTTCTCATTCTCCAGCAGCTCCCATTTCTCATCGTTCTCATGCAAACGATCCTCAAGCTTGCCTTGCTCGCTCTGAGCTTCGTCCAATCTTGACTGGAGAACTTGAGCCTGTTTCTGGAACTGCTCGGATGCAGTCTCGGCCTTGTGCAGTCGTTCCTTGAGGTCGTCTAGCAGAGCAACCGTTTCTGCGCGAGCGTCATCATCTACGTCGGAGGATATGCTGCTCTGACTGAGGTGTGATGTACCTGCACCGGGCCTCTGCATGGCTGCTCGCGCAGAAGCTCCACCTCTGATTGAGCGATTGCGCGCCACTCCGTTGGCAGTTGATGTTGATGGAGCGGGCGAACGAGTACCTGGGCTTCGAACTGGCAGTCCGTTAGGAGGATCGGTGGAAGTCCGGCGACCGCCTGCTGTGCCTACTGGTGGTTTCTTTGTAGTTGTACTCATGGTAGCGATATGGAGAAGGCAGACAGCTGGTGAAGCAAAATGATGCTGTGGTGTTGTTGGATTTGGGTTCGCGCAGCTAAATCCGGAGGTTGATCCTGAGAGGTAATAATAGCAACGGACTGCGCCCTAGTAGAATGGGCTTATGAGATGCAGAAATGTACTGTTACTGTACTAGAAAGATAACAACGAGTGCTGCAAGATGTACAGTGTAGTGTTTATGCGGTTTTTGGTCAGCAGCGAGGTGGTGAATAAAGAATTCTGGTATGCTCGCTCGTTGCTGTTGACATTTGATTGGAGTTGCGCGCTTGACTTCCGCGACTTGTCCTTTGCATTTATCCCTGGTGTGCAGTAGTCCAAATGCGTCTGCATAACCTTAAAGCTTCACATCGGGCCAATATTAATAAATATCACAGCAATTAAGGCAGGGGATTTTTGCATTTGTCCATGATCTCCGGTCTCATGGAAATTGAAACATCTCTTGGCTAGGATAGGCTTGGATTGCTTCTTCACATAATTGGTTGCGGATGTTGCGAAGTCTACTTCGTACCTACCTTACAGCATGTAATTATGGGTCCGTAATCATGAGGAAGGGATCAATTATCCTCTCGATAGTACTATACAATTTATTTATCTTTGAATTGAGAACTCTGGGATTGGTGTTTATGTCTACTCCATTACGGAAACCACTGCAGGTAAAGATGTTGATATAAATAAATACCTAGGTAAGGTTTCCTTGGTGAGCTTCTGCTCAAGAGGAGGTGCAGGTCCAGTTCGCAAAAGCACGTGACCTTTACGCTTGCTAGCTCAAGACTAGCTCCATTCTAGCGCCGCCCGCGCACACTTTATCGCGAACTTTCAACACAAGAAAATCTCCCAACCACAACATCGCCGGAGCGTAACAATCGAATACCACTTTTCAAGATCCCATAGAATCTTGAACTCGCAACGATGGCCCCAGCTAAGAAGAAGAATGCCGAAGGTATCAACTCGCGCCTGGCGGTAAGTCTATTCAATTCATCTCTATCTTCATCTCCATCGTCTTCCTGCACATAAGAAAAGTACAAACGCTGATTCCCTCCAAAGCTTGTGATCAAGTCTGGTAAAGTCACTCTCGGATACAAGTCAACCCTCAAGACCCTCCGCTCTGGCAAGGCCAAGCTCGTCATCATCGCCGGCAACACACCTCCTCTCCGCAAGAGTGAACTCGAGTACTACGCCATGCTCGCAAAGTGCAACGTCCACCACTTCGCCGGAAACAACGTACGTACCACATATATTCAATTTCCTTCTCCCCCAGCGACCAGACCAGACTTGTCTGCGAGGGACCGTATCCTGAGAAAAAGTCGTCAGACTTTGGAGGGTACATTCGCTAACTTGCCATCATAACAGATTGAGCTTGGAACTGCTTGTGGTAAGCTGTTCCGTTGCTCCACCATGGCTGTATTGGATGCTGGTGACTCTGATATCTTGAGCGGCGAGAGTGCTTAGGATGGGAACGGAAGGCAAAAAAAACTGTGATGATGTTGGCGTCTAAAACCTTTCTACATTGCATTGCAGAAGTAATGGGATGGATGGGATGGGATGCAATGGAATGATAAATCGTGGATCAAGTGTGCATACTCTGCATACTCTGTGTCCTTCATAGCATACTGAATGATACCTCTACATCTAAGACTAACTAATATTACGTGTGACTTTGGTGAGGGGAGTTGTAAGGGTTGTCGTCCTGAGAGAGAGCTTGATGAATGAGTGACGAAGTGATTTCAAAATATGACCGGCGAATGACTCTGAAATACGTGAAACCTACCCTTTATACGCCTATAGAATCATAAAATTACTCAATTCCTCCGAATCATCTTGATATTCTCCTTCTGGTCCTCTTCGGAGTCGGAAGAGAGGGAAAGCCCCGAGCTTCTTTGCTAAAATTCTTGTGGGCGAAACAAATATTGGTAAGCGAGGACACGCTAAACCCTTTCTAGCTCTTGATTTGAAATCTGGAAATCGCATCTTCCTCAAGAGCTTCGACTTCATCCTCCATCTCGCAACAACAAAGAACCCGCCAACTCGAGATCATTCAAGATGGCACGCCGCCCAGCGAGATGTTACCGTTACTGCAAGAACAAGGTGCGTAGGCCTACCTCACATCCGTCGCAGAGGATTAGAGAAGGAAGATGGATTTCAACCACCGATCGCCACTCTCATTGTGGGATCAATCTTCCGCACTGTTCCGAGACTCTGCGACAACGGGATTATTGAAATTGAACAAGAACTGACGTTTTGAACGTTCTAGCCGTACCCCAAGTCCCGATTCAACCGTGGTGTACCTGGTAAGTCAACTCACGAAAGCATCCATTTCCGCAGCACTGACCACGACATCCAGACCCCAAGATTCGTATCTTCGATCTCGGCCGAAAGCGTGCGACCGTCGACGAGTTCCCTCTCTGCATCCACTTGGTCTCCAACGAGTATGAACAACTGAGCTCCGAGGCTTTGGAGGCTGCCCGTATTTGCGCCAACAAGTGAGTACTCCATGACGGAAGCGGGGTTCATGCCACGTCGTCTCGAATGTTACGGAAAGGCAGATGCTCATTATTATACAGGTACATGGTCAAGTACACCGGAAAGGAGTCCTTCCATCTCCGTGTCCGCCCTCATCCATACCACGTCGTCCGTATCAACAAGATGTTGTCTTGTGCCGGTGCCGATAGACTGCAGACTGGAATGCGTGGTGCCTGGGGTAAGCCCAACGGAACTGTTGCCCGTGTCAACATTGGTCAAATCATCTTGAGTATCAGAACTCGTGAGACCTGTAAGTCAAACCGCCGCTTGTTACAAACCCAAAATTCTAATAATCATGCAGACCGTGCACACGCTCTTGAGTCCCTCCGCCGATCACAATACAAGTTCCCTGGTCGCCAAAAGATCATTGTCTCCAAGAACTGGGGCTTCACTCCTCTCCGCCGCGAAGAATACATGGAGAAGAAGGCTACTGGAAAGGTTTTGGTCGATGGTGCTTATGTTCAGTTCTTGAGCAACCACGGAAAGTTGGCAGACAACGTCAGACGTTTCCCAGCTGCTTTCCAGGAGGCATAAATGTTGTGTATTGCAAGGACAAGAAAGAATCATTTTGCAGAACAAGAGGCGTACATTTGATTTAATTTGCGATGGCTGGATTGCACGATGTCTCTTATGGCATCAGGTCTTCTAAACATTGTATCTAAGGAAGTGCACGACTTTGACCAGAATTGGAGTTCCTATGACGTGACAGTATTGATATTCTACGAACGTGATGGTGAGTATGTCTAACAATCAGCACTGGTACTCCAGAGTCACACATTCATCAAGAGCCATATGATTACTCGAGAACAGGCAAGGCCGTTTGACATTCCGAACTTGACAAATCACAGTACCTTAGCAGCCTCTCCTGTGATACAAGAACGAGTAAGTACCGTATACAGTAGCAAACCTACCTTGCCTGTATCCTTGACTCAACGCCCATCCCGTGAACTGGCGTAGCTGCGGCAAGTAGGTACTTGGTGCCAACAAATCCACCAGACCGATTCCATCATCGAGCCCAAAATGCGATAAGATAACCGGATAACACAACACACCCCTGAAATGGCGCTACTCACGTATATATTGTCTGATGGAAGGGGAAATATGTTAATATAGATGGTAGTCTGACATGAATAATCAGTACTACTCTGACATGCCCTTTACGCCCGTATATATATTGTTGAGGGGACATTTCTTCAGGGACTGACTGTGTTGTGATATGTTATGTTCTGTTCTTATCACTAGGACTCTTATCCATGTGCTGGTCATCCGTAATCTAGGATACGACATATTCCGTAGTGATCGCGCATCTCCTTCACCTGTTTCCTACATGTACTTCTGTACTTTGGAACATCGGTAAAGACAAAGAACTCAGTCATCCAAGTACTCGCGTGGTTTTCCAAATCGTTCAACTATCCACAAAGCACAAGAAAACACGAGTCATAAATCACCCGATCTCACTCCTCGTGTTGTACAGGTCACGACCTGCAAATAGCCTGTTCATAGCCTCAATTAGGTACTCCTCAGACCTTCCTCCACGGCGGCAACCTCATCCTCATCTACAGCCACGATCATCCAATCTCTTCGAGATTGAACAAGCATAATGGCTTTCCGCCAACCCACCTTCCAACCTCAACAACGACAACACCCCGCACCCGCTCCTCAACCCATCCAAACCACAACCCCTCGAAGCGAAAACCTCGCAGACTCCCAAGAATGGATTCTCTTCTCCCCAACCTCCGTTACAGCCTCCACAGCCCGCACCCGTACCCAAGCCAGCGACTTCGACAGCTTAGACACAGCAGCCGGCCTCGATATCGATCTGCACTCCTCCTCCTCCCAAGCGGTTGATGAAGAAGATGAAGAAGAAGGAACAGAAGACGGAGAGTTAGACAGTCTAGATTCACATTTACACGAGTTCAGGACTGAGCCCAGCGTATACCGCGGCGAGACAAGCGGGACTGTCTTACCGACACATGATGGCTTGGGCAGTTTCAGAGTCAATAGGACGAGTATGGGCCCCGAGGTACAGGAGCAGTTATACTCGTTCGAGCGCTATAACCCTCGGCGTATCAAGCGCCGGAGAGCAAGTGACGATCTTGCAGAGGAAGAAGCTGAAGCTGCGGAGAGCGAGCGCACCAGACGCGTCGAGAAGTGGAGGATGGAACAGAGTCGGTTGTTGGTTGATGAGATACAAAAGGAGACGAGGCGGAGGAAGATGAGCATGAATAGCGCTCGACGTGCTACAACTGTGTCGGCGCTAGAGAGGGAGCAAGAGGATGTCGCCAGTATGAGCGTGGTTGAGGACGCGGTAGATGAGGGGGATGGGGAGACGTTCTGGAGCAGGATTACGAAGAGGGTTATCCGGGATTTGATGGGTGTGGATGATGAGTTGCTTTCAATTATCTTTGGGGAGTCACTGCCGAAAGACGATGATCTGTCTACCACGCCGCTTGCCAATGATCCACGGGGTCTTATCACGGCTGAGCAATCAGAGCATGCGGGCTGGGAATACAGGCTTTTGGAACGTGTTGCAAGGGAATTGGGGATTCTAGTAAACCAACTATCCGACCACCCTGGCGCATTCTCCACATACCTCAAAACCCAACAAACTCCTCTGCCATATGCTGGGTTACCAATGATCCCAGAATCATCCCGCGACCCAGCACCACCTCCACCACCGCTTTCAACATCAACCCAACTTCTAAACCCAGAATTCCAACCAACGCTCCCAGTCACCATCCCAACTTCAACATCCCTCGCTACAGAAGAGCTCGAGGAAGCTACACCACGGCAAACATGTCCGATTACGAGGGAAGAATGGGAGAGGGATCTAGATATTAAAATGGTATTTCGCTACCTCCGGACCCGCTTCTCCACTTCCTCATCCACCTCTCCAACAAACCCCACATCCCCTAATTCCTCATCAAACCACCCCAACATTCCATCCCTCGCATCCTCCAACTTCACCACAGCCCACCTGGCCACAGCATCCACAGCCGACACAGCAGCTCGCGCCGCTCGAGTACGACAACATCATCCGCTTGTCACGGGGACTCGACGCCGGAGTGTGGACCGCCGGACGTGGGGTGTTAGCATGCCAGGCGGCGGGGTGGGTGTTGGGCTGCCAGGGATAGAGAGGAGAGCGAGTAGCAGTTGTGCGACGAGCGAGAGGAGGAAGAGTGGGAGCAGTAGGCATTATTGGGATTTTGGCGGGAGCGTGGGGAGTGGTGGCTGGGGTGAGGTTTAATTTTGTGCTGGTTATGATATCTCTACTCTACGAGGTCTTTTTTTTTTTCATTATATGCTTGATTGTTGATGCGTAGGTGCATAGGGTTAGCAGAGGGCATTTTATGTGTTATGATATCATGCAAGACACGAACTGGCATATATAGATGATATAGCATTATTAAATTACAAGTAGCGATTCAGGAATCAGATTGCCATTAAGCGGAGATAATAAGATTAGAATCGAGCAATTAGAGCAAAGGCGGGTCACTTCATGGCCATTATATGAGGCTTAAGTTGCGTTGGTCCATCTACACCTTAGAGCCGGATGACTAATCTTTAGATATAAACAAGCTATGGCCTAGCTCTACTTCTACTCTTCAGCTCATTCAACCAGAAAAGAAAATTAAAAACATGCCAGATACCCCAAGTGGCACTCGTATTAGATCTACGCAAAGACCTCCCCGATCATGCAAAACTTGTGCCCGGCGCAGAGTGCGTTGCGATAAGAAGATACCGTGCCATGGATGCGTATCTCGCGGCTTGGAGCTCAGCTGCGAGCGAGAGACTGTTTTCGTAAAGGGGAAGTTATTGGCATCTCGGTAAGTGAGTGGATTCTTTCTACTTGTATAGTAATACCGACTGACTGATATTATATTATGAATAGGGTGCAAGCACCGCCGACGTACCAGGATCTGCTTGAGGAGAATCGGCGTCTGAAAGCTGAGATAGCAGGGTGGACTGTGGATGTCCCATCACTAACAAGTACGGAGGATGGAGTGTATGGCGAGGCTCTGAACATTACAGAAAGTTTTGAGAGGGAGCTTTTCGAGGCTGTTGGTGGGACGAGTCGTGCTCCGACTGTCTTTAGTGAGGATCAGATTCAATGGCCTTCGGCTACGTGTGTAAAGAATCTCTTGGTTTACGGAAGGACGTGGACTTCTTGGATGCATTGTGCATTGCATCATCCGACCTTTGAGGCAGAATGCCACGAGTTCTTAGAAGAGTCTGGATTTGGCAAAACCCCCGATCCGTTCTGGCTTGCGGTTTATTTTAGTTTTCTCAGTGTGAGTATTGCCTCGCTGTTCACAATCTGGGATCTTTTCGGTTGATGAATGGATTGTGGATAGGCTGCTCTGATATTCATGAACGAGGAGGAAGCAGAGGCTGCAGGTATCCATCAACGTAAGATTCAGAAACTCTCTATGTATGCTGGCTATCACTCATCTTGTCTGCAGAGACAGGGGCACTTCTTCTGAATTGGTACGACTCTGCGCTATACTTCCTCCAGAGAGCCGATTTTCTCCGACGATGGGATGTCCGCACCGTCCAGGCAACTGCGATTTTAGGTATCGTTTCCATCAATGTCGGTGACTCGAAGATGCAGAGCGTGCTTTGGGCCTGCGCCATCCGCATCGCTCAGTTTTTGAACATGGGGAATGATAGTGCGCATCAGAATGAATCGCTTCTTCTCACAGAAACGCGCCGGCGGCTTTGGTGGACGTTGGTTATATGCGAATGGATTCCCATACCGTACCTCGCACCTTGTATTTCTGACGCGGATTTTCGAATCGAACTTCCTGCTACGTTAGATGATGAGGAATTGCTGTCTGAGCCTAGACAAGATGATCTCCCAAGACCCATACAGTACCACATTGTCATGATACAGTTGGCGAAAATCTATCACGGATTTCGCGTCTCCTTGAACCTGCTATCTGGCAAGGCCGCAGACATCGTGACATTGGTCTTGCAGACCGATGAAGCACTCGCAGATAACATTGCTGGTCTGCCATCGCACCTCCGATTCGACATTTCCAGCTCTTCATCGGTAACTGAGTCTCCAGACGTCGATAAGCCATGGATACAATGGCAGCGAATAAACATATCCTTGATACTGTTATACTACCGGATCGCAGTAAACCGGGTCCTTCAAAACCAATGGGTTCAGGATCCCACGACGTTCGCACGAACGCGTGCGATATGTTTGGATTCTGCGCGTGGGATTATCTCGTTAGCTTCTACTTGCACGGATTCTCTTGCTCGGCATAGACCTTGGTAATTACCCCAAGCCTTGAGTTGATTAAGCATGGGAGACACCGTGCTAGGACAATCAACATCATATGCTAATAACAATGCAGGGCTACATCTTTACATCTGTTCTCTGCGGCGATAATCCTCGGTGTGGAGGCACGGTTCCACGCAGATGAGTCTAAGCAGCAATATGTTCGGGACATGCGATTTTGCGTTGGATTTTTGAATGGAGTGAAGGATCAGAGCATCATTGCTACACATGCTGTTCAGATTTTAGAGGAACAATTTCCCGATGAGCAGTGAGCCGGTATTCAATAAAGCATAATATCCAATACATTTTAGTTCAAGCATCTTCGGTATTCTAGCTTGGTAAAAAGAACCTTTCCATCTCAATAAGCAAGTCGCCCGGCTAGTTTCAAAACAACATCATTCATCTCAGGTTCCTCAAACGGTCGATCTCTCTCATTGACATCTGGTTTCCCCAACCGAAGCTTCTTCTCGTCATTCGGGTAAATATTTGCATGTGGCCAATGTGTCTATGGCCGTTAATTAGCCAGTTGTTCATTTCAATGAAAGATTCTTTCGCATGACATACAGTTCCTTTCCGCTGATCGAATAGTTCCGCTTTCTTACCCAGGTCGTCTGGGGTAGCGAAGGATGCAGGCGTATAACACGCATCTATTATATCAGACATTAATATAGGAATCGGTAGCAGTCCAATTAAGATCAATGAACTCACAGATCAGCGCCCTTATATTTTCGCTCTCAGGGAGCACGTTGTAATGCACCGTGCGAGAATCCCACAAAATAACATCTCCTACACCAGCGCATACCTTCAAGAGCTCACAGCCCTTGCCCTCAAACCACTTCACCTCTTCCGGCTCAAACCCAAACCAATCACCCGGGCCCCAAGTCTTCCTTCCCAAAACGTCAGCGTGGGCGCTGAAAAACTCCTCGCTGAGCTTATGCGAGCCTTTCATGACCATGAGCCCGCCGTCCTGAGGACCGTTGGGCGCGAAGTTGAGGATTCCTTGCACGCATTGCAGACCAAGGCGGGTGGGAGACTGGTCGATGTGCGGCCATGGTTCGGTGGCTGGACGGGGGTGAGAAGGGAGGGTGAAGTTCATGCCGTCGAAGGAGACGAGAAGGTCTTTTGTACCCCATAGTTTCTCAAAGGCCTCGATGACTTTCGGCTCCCTGCTTCCCTCGTTAGGTTCGCCACGTCTTATCTTAATATGGAATTTGAATTTGTTAGCTGTACGCACTGTCTTGCCTCCCACATAAACCTCTCATGCTGGACCGCGTACCCGTGATACATTCCCCCTCTCTCAACCGTTAGCATGACACATGACACAAACCCAACGGCCAATTATCAGCAACGCAACTCACTTCATATGCGTCGGCAGATACTCAGGCGTCCACGTCTTCTCGTCATTCCTATCAAAGCCGAACGGGAATTTCTCCAACCAGGAAAACATATTCTGTTTATACCTTTCCGAATCCTCCGTCGATATCAAGCCCTTCAACACGACGAAACCATCCCGGAACAGGTCATCTCTCCAATCGCCATGTTTCTGGACAGTGTCGATCGTGAAGCGTTCTGCGTGCGGCATGGTGGTAGGGTGAGACTTGGTCGGGGGTCAAAAGTGGAGGGAGTTGGGATATACAGAGGATTGATCATTAATGTCACTTTCGCATGGTAGGAGAGATATTGAGAACTTATATTATGCGCACCTTAAAAAATAGCAAGCAATTCTTCAAGCTCAATGGATATAGGCGATCTCCATCACTCCATCTTGCACGTCGATCGTCTCGAGGGGAAACTAACTAGCATGTGGGGGAATCTCGCGCGAGTCTCGGGCGAGAATATAGGGGCAGCGTCAAAAGTGGACCATGGCTTAAAAAAGTACGGTACGCAAACCTTCTACCCTCACCTATGAGCCGTGTGTACAAGATGATACAACAGATAAGGCGAAATTCGTGAAAAGTTCTAGGGCGCGGACTTGCAATGGAATGGCATTTCTGATTCCGCCGCCGGTCATAGCGACCTCCTTGGTTCACTCCTAAACAAGTCTGCAATCGATTAGATTCAAGACGGGAGGGATAAAGATAAGAAGACAAAGATAATTCCTTCCCAATCTCTTCTCTGTTTATCTATATATTGAACTTGATGCCCATAGGATCTTTCCATCTTCTCATTATCTCCTTTTAATTACACAGATATATCCAACGATGGCCAACCCGACAGCCGATCCCCTCGCTACTTTAGAACTTCCGAACAATACCAATTCATGCTGGTGGCGCGACAGAGGGCTTCGGAAGCTTCTATTCTGGCAAGGATGCATTCTCGTTTCGCAGATGACGGTAGGATATGATGAATCAGTCGTCGGTAGCCTGCAGGCCATGAAACCCTGGATTAACGGTGAGAGAAAATCTATTGAATACACTCGAAAATTCTTAGAGATCTGGATGGCTGACTTTAAGCAGATATGGGCCACCCAAGCTCCTCGAAGATTGGTCTGATCACTGCAATAGTCTTCGTGGGAGGCTTCGTCGGTGCGTTCTTGGCCGCGCCCCTGGCTGATCGATATGGACGTCGTGTTGCTATCTGTACCGGCGCAGCACTCACGCTTACCGGAGCGATAATTCAGACGGCTGCTCAGTCATCGGGCATGTTTATAGGTGGGCGATTCGTTATTGGACTTGGGATCAGTTTCACCTGTTGTGCGGGTCCTTCTCTTTTGAATGAGTTGGCTCATCCACGCATGCGGGGAACGATTGCCTCTATGGTAAGTAGCAGCTACCTCTGGCCTATAATATCTCTTTTCGGTGATATTAATGTTTCTAGTTCAACGTGCTTTGGTACGTGGGCTCTATCATCGCAGCATGGACAACTTTCGGCACAGGACATATGACTTCCTCTTCCTGGTCTTGGCGAATACCCTCCTTGATTCAGGGTATCCCATCAGTCTTGGTGGTTATCGCAATTCCGTTTATTCCAGAATCACCACGATGGCTCTATTCCAAAGGTCGAGGTGACGAGGCCAAAGAAATCCTCAGTCGATACCATGCAAATGGATCCCTCTCAGACGAATTCGTAGACTTTGAAATGACCGAGATCTCCTCCTCCGTCGACATGGAGAAACTCATGTCCTCAGAATCCTGGGCCCAACTCCTGAAATCCAACGCAAACAAAAAGCGCTTCGGGATATGCATAGCGGTAGCTCTCCTCACGCTCTGGAACGGGCAAGGAGTAATCTCCTACTACTTTTCGCCGATCCTAACCAGCATCGGAATCACCACAACCGACTCCCAGACTGGAATCAACGGCGGGATGCAGATCTGGAATTTCTTCTGCGCGCTCGCCGGCGCCTTCCTCGTCGATAGATTGGGACGGAGAACGTTGTGGCTCACGTCGTTTATCGGCATGATACTCGCTAACGTCCCGCTTACTATTGCGAGCGCGATGTATACGGAGCATGGATCGAAAGCTGCTGCGTACACGGTTGTGGTGTTTCTGTTTCTGTATAATGCTGCTTTTAATCTTGCGTGCAATCCATTGCTATATTGCTATGCGACGGAAATCCTGCCGTTTGGGATTAGAGCTCGTGGACGTAAGCGGTCTTTCTTTCCTCCCGTCAAGTGAGTCGTTCAATAATACAGTACTAACATCTCGTAGTGGCGTTGCAGATTGCGGTTTCTCAAGCGGCGCTCACGGTCAACCAATACGTGAACCCAATCGCACTAGACAACATTGGGTTCTACTACTACATTTTCTACCTAGGAATGCTGGTTCTCGGAGTAAGTGATGCTATGCAATCCCTGAAGCAAACATAACCTTTAAGCATAAACGGTTAGCGCCCTCGCTAACATTTTCATTTTCTTACAGACTATGATCATATATTTCTTCTTTCCAGAAACCAAGGGGTATTCGCTAGAAGAACTCTCTCATCTCTTTGAGGATCCTGCTCATATACAGATCGTGGGTCTGGACAGGGCCGAGGAGGACGATTCGAGTAATACGGGGAAAGAAGACCTCTTTCCAGAGAAGCTATAGCAAATTGAGGCCCTGCTTTGCGCGACACGAAAGTATAATAGGAAAAGCGGGTTTCAATGTCAATATATGCGCTGCCTCTCTGTACTTCCCATAATGCTTGTCCATGGACCATGCTCCTATTCCTTCACTCGGGGAAGCTAATGAAGGTTGCTGACGGCGAGGCCGGAGACAGCAGTGACGGCCTTAGAAAGGCTACTTGGGTTTCTAGACACAGTCTATATTTAGAGTAAGAAATCTGAAGATAACAAAATAAAATTAGATTCAAACCCCCGCATAAGAGTCTGATACTTACAGTCACACTCCTAGATCCTTAGGATAGGGTTTGGGGTCCCTGGGTCGATTGTATCGAAGTTGACTGCTCGTGAATGCGAGTATTTGCGATTCGAGTATCTTTACCCGTCCGTATCTTCGAAGTATGGGATAGCGCTGCAAGGGGTAGTATGCATGCAGTACAGGATGAAATGCAGGATAGAGGCACGAATCACACAAAGGGCGAACTCCAGTGCTCGCGGTGTACGTAAGCCCGTACATGATCAACAAGCGAGATCCGAGGGCCACCAAGTATATACTAGATTTCAAAAAGAGACTCTTTTGAGCCGACAAAATAGTCATAGAGGAGCATAGGTTATCATAGGCTATAGGTAGGTCCTGGTACCTGTAGTTTACAGATACCTAACCGCGCTCTTTGTACTTCTACCTAGGTTGCTCTAAGTATAGCGTAGTAGATCCAAATGTGTTATAAACGCGCATACTAGATTTCAAACTTTTATTCTCTTCTCCTAGTTTTGAACTTGTTTACTTCTTTATATATTGAAATTCTGGCACAAATAGTACAAGTATTCTTGAATATTCGGAATGTCTACCATCACAGGTGATCAGGCTTATGTGGACTCGGAACTAACTGCGGCTCGGGGGACGATGACGGAGCATGTCTTAACAGTCGATGAGCAGGTCGAGATAGAGCAGGAGCACGGCATCAAGTATAGGAGTTGTTCGTGGCAGAAAGTATGTGCTGTAACCCAAGAATGACCTGAGAGATTGAGCTATAGTACCGGTCAAGGCAATTTCGTGGTTATGTGGTGTTGGAACTGATGGATAATGGGGAATAGACAGCAGCGCTACTCTTCGCGCAGTATAGGGCGCTACCCATAATGTCCCTTCCAGCAGCATACTCAGCTCTTGGAATTTTCTTAGGCTTGCTCATGACCCTTGTGATGGCCTTGATAGTGCTATATACCTCGCTGATTCTCTGGTTGGACTCTGAAAATGTCCGCAGTCAGTTCTCCGTGCTAATTGTATGTCTTTGACAGGAAGTTCTGCATTCAACATCCAGAGGTCCGAGATTTCTGTGATGTGGGCCAAGTGCTCTTTGGCGGGAAGAGGTGGGCATGGTACTTTACTGCCGCTTTGTTTTTGCTAAACAATGTCTTTGTTTCGGTGCGTTTACTTTGGTATGCTGCATATTATATCAGTTACTAACATAAAATACAGGGAATTCATCTTCTAATTGGAGCAAGGTATGTTGAGACTATTAGTCATAGAGGCTGGTGCGCTGTCAGTATTACGGCTATCATGTCTGTGATCTGCCTTGTTGGCACGCTCCCAAGGACCTTCGCTGGACTTTCCAAGGTAGCCAGTGCAACGGCGTTCTGCACCTTTATTGCCGTACTTCTAGCCACAATATTCGCAGGTATCGAGCCGCATCCTGCAGGGTATAATTCAGGGAAGATGAACAACGGGTTGCTTATGGACGGAATGCCACATGTGCATGCTTTACCTAAAGGGACAACGTTTATGGCGGGCATGAATGCTTTTCTGAATATCACTTACACCCTCATCGGCCAAATCACCATGCCCAGCTACATTGCGGAAATGCGTCATCCAGAGGATTTCCCTAAGGCTATATGGTCGGTTATGGTCTGCAATTCCTTGCTCTGCGGACTGGTCGGGTCGGTAATTTATGCTTATGTTGGGGACCAATATATGACGTCCCCAGCTTTCAGTTCTATCAGTAACGAAACTTACCGCATTGTTTCGTTCTCATTCATGGTCCCGACCTTATCGTTTACCGGCGTACTATACTCGTCCGTCTCGGCGCACTTCGTTTTCGATAACCTGTTCGCAGGGAGTCGACATAGAGCTTTTCATACAGTGCAAGGCTGGGCAGCGTGGATTGGTATCTTGATGACCATCTGGGGCTTCACATTTGTGCTAACGGAATTGATACCATTCTTTGGAGACATGTTAGCGCTCATGAGTGCTTTATTTGACTCATTCTTTGGATTTACTTTCTGGGGGATGGCCTGTCTACAGCTCAGAAGGACAGGTAAGGATAGTTTAAAGGGAGATCAGAACTGGTTGGTTCCTCTCGTGGGTGGTGGACTGATCATTTCAGGAACTTTTGTCCTTGGGGTGGGGATGTATGTGAATCTGTCCATTCATGTTCCGTATCCAAATTGCTTGTGTTCTATTTTTTTAACACTGTACCTTGCTAATACTCGTGAATCTAGACCGCCGTCGATAGCATCAAAATTCTTTTTGAGAGCAATGAGAACAATAAGCTTTTCAGCTGTGCTTCCTTGAGCTTTTGGTAAAGATATTGAAATGTCCAACGATAGGGGTGAATAATTGGGTGTGGTTGCTGTGTTGAAAGAACAGCTCTTGGTTTGAGTCTAGAAGCTCGATTGTTAGAAGAAAGAGGATGTTTCAATTCGCGGACGATATAGGGTGACTGTCGGGTTGATGTTGGTCCATGTTTACTTGTCAAGACAATGTGTTATTGGAATCATTGTGGTCAAGAAGCAGTGTCGAATGCTAAAGGAGAAGTTCGATGCAACACTTTAGATCGTAGTTTCAAGATTTATAAAATCAATAAAATTGTAGTTATGCAAATACTAATACTAGGAAAGACGTTTTGAAGCTATACCGCTCTCTATAACCATTATGTTCGGTTTATTAGACCCAATGTTTAATAGCATATTAGCAGATCTAGCTCAGACTTCATGTAGAACGCAAGTATAGTTCAGTCATATTGACCTTCAGAGCCCTCAAAACAGCAGCCTGACTCCAAACCCGTAGGTATTCCCAAGATGGGGAAAGTGATTCCAAGTAACAACTTTCAGAAACCCCTTTATATTCCTCTCCCTAGCCCTCTCCACAATTACAGATATTGCAGGTAATATTTTTTTTTTTTTTTGCGGACATTGATGTATTTGCAGCCCTTTCATTGGACTTTCAACCCTTTCCAACGATCCCCCCCCCCCTTAGAGTAAACACTAGATTTGGACCCTCGTGATCCGCTACTGCAAAACCAAACAGCTTGTACTCGTCCAAACTATTCCTTCCATCTGTCCGCCCGCCCAGTCCTTCTCTAAGCTTGCCGCGGGGTATCACATGCCCGTCTACCACGAAAGCTTGAGTGTAGTCAACATAGGGCTTAGGCCAGCAAGTACCAACAATGGATGGCGCGATCCGCAGTCTCGTCGATTGTGGCGCGGAGGTATTTACATCTAGAGGTAGGCGGGAAAGGAAAATTAAATTCACAAAAAAGTCTCACACGCAAAAACAGACTAACCGCCAACGAGTAGATTCTTAAGTAGTCAAACTACTCTCGCAAGTTATAAGAGGACATTGTTTTAAAGTTTCGCAGCTGTCTTGGCAATTGCTTTGCCCCTATTCTTCTGGTCCGTGTTGACGCTAGTCCATGCTTGGGTGAATATGCGAGGCTCATATCCAGTTTCAAAGACAAACAGTCAGCTCTTTATCCTTACTCACACTGTTGGTACTACACATAGTGCACTGGTCTGGCCTAGGATCACGTACTTAATAGTGGTTATGTGGTTGCATTTCTAGGTGTAGAAGAGGTTCTAGCTAAGGTTGCGGCGATGACACCACTGATATGCCGGACCCGCCATCTTTCCTCCATGATGACTGACATAGTTCAAAGGTGGTGTTTTGTCAGCTTGAGAGGCTCATCATGCTTGAAGTGGAGCTGATTCCTTGTTGTTGCGTTCTTATTGTTGGCAATTGCACCGTCCTCGCTCTTATGAATTATGAGCTATTCGAAATCACAAGTCCCTTTCGCTCCGCCTCAACCTTCACAATATCCCCAATCTCCTCCCTCGACCACTTAATCGTCGGCTTCCACCCTAACAACTCCCCCGCTCTAAAACTCCTACAACACGCCCCCAGATTCCCGCCCGCCGAATACACATACCGAAAAACCTCCTCATCATTCCCCGTCACCCCCTGCACTTTGCCTTGCGTCAACACGCCCTGCACCTTCGCCTCATCCGCAATCCACGTTGCAACCTCCTGCCAGTAATGCACGCCGTTCTCCGCAAAATAATACCCCTTTTGTCCCCAGCTGGCCGCCTTTCCCTCTGCCCCGCTAGCATCGGCAGCGGCATCGATAAGAAGCAGGTACAGGCGCGAGAGATCGAAGATATGGATGTTGTTCCAGAACGCCTTGTCGCCGCCCGGGATGCGCACCTCGGCGCCAAGATCCAGCGTCAGTGCTGCGAGCCCGGGGATCTGCGCTGAGCGCTGCTTGAATGTGCCGCGGCCGTGCCCGAAGATGGTCGGGGGGCAGACGATGGCGGTTTTGATGCGTGTGTCGGGGTTGGAGCCGGAGATGGAGAGGACTACTTGATCGACTGGGCGGTGGGAATGTTCGGCTATTACCGTTAACTAGGTATTCATGTTTTCCTGGGAAAAGCAATATGTGGATGTGGAGTGAAGGGGAAGAGGGGTTCTTACGAGGAAACGAGATAACTTCGTCAAGGTGCTCCCAATCATCAAAGACCTTAATCTCTTTCGGCTCGACATCTTTGCCTCCCTTCAATAGTTTTGGGTTGAGCAGTAAATCCGTTCCACTAGTATGGATCCAAGTTCCCCCTTGCCCTTTCAGCAATCCAGCCTTGATAGCTTCAGCGGCCGGCACGTAATCAGAAGAGGCGAAGTGGAGGACTATGTCTGCTTTGGCGGCTTCATCTTCGAGGATTTGGGTTGACTCGAGGGTTCCCTGGATGGTTTTGATAGCGGGGTAGGTAGTAGTGAGATTCTTGATTGAGGAGGGTGAGCGGTAGAGACACGTGATGTTGGGTTCCCAGGTGGGGTGGGATTGTAGCAGGGTGTGGAGGACATCGCCACCTACGTAGCCTGTCTGGAGGTACGAAGCACATTAGTCAAGTGTTTTGGGTTATGTTTTGTGGTAAGAGTGGGGTGGAGTATAAACACTTACTGCACCGGTGATGAAGATCTTGGGAGGGGCCATACTCAGTGTTGCTTTCGAAATGAAACTTGGTAGAAAGTATTAGATGACAATATATACCAACTTGCAAATTATTAGTAATGAGGCTGAGCGGGTTCTGACAAATTCACAAATCCACCAATCCACAGATCTACAGATCTGCGAACAGAGTCCGTCCGGCCATAACCGTGCCGCCACTCATATAGGGTGAGTGGTGACACGATCACTGTAGATCATGCGATTTGGGCATCAAATCACAGATTTTCTACCTTTGTTCCACTACTCTTAGGAATCAAGCTCAACACAACGGCAAGTCACTTACTTTTATCATCGTAAGCAATGGGGATAATAACCTCTTCGCATTGCAACCTCTATATCTTAGCTAGCTAACAAAAATCCATGAAACCACCAAGACCATAGCCTACGGACCTTGTGATACCAACAAAATATAAAGTTATAGGATAGACTTTAAGGTTATCTACTGTATAAAAGGTCCCAAGTGCGCCAGACTAACCGAGAGATGGCGCTAAGCCTAAAACACTCTAGCTAATAAAATTCATAAACCCCTAGAATTTGCTCCAGAAGCACCCTATTATTAACGATTTTACTACCTTCAGCTTTTAAGTCGCTGATTAATGTATATATATAACTGACTGACTGACTGATATTAAAAGCTTCAACTGAGGCGGTGACTTAATTATGGCTGACTTAATGGCCAGTCTGGTTCAGATGTCTCGAAATGCTTTTAATTCTACTGAATAATGCAATCAGCAAGCTCACAGCCTATTATCTTACAGCCTCCAAGCCTTCCGATTTACTCCAGTAACCCAACCACAATCTTTAATATATCCTCAGTGCCCTTCCCAGCATTCTTCGGGTCCTTCGCAACTCCCTGCCAGAACTCTCCGTGTCTCGGTTCATTCAAGATAGCTTTTGATATCACATCTGCTCGTTTGTCCTGTTCATCGTTAATTCATTAGTCCATGGATCAATTGATCTCGTGCAAGATGGAGAACTTACTTCCGTGCCATGCTGTAGCAGAAACTTGTAGTACCAAGCCCACGTGTCACCAAGGTCACTGTCGAGGAGAATAGCCTTCTCGAACCAATTCTGTGCCTTCTCCAGTCTTCTCTCGCCCCAGAAGATCCTCGCAATCGTAACGAAGAGAATGGGATCGTTATCAACTTTCTTGATGGCTTCTAATGCTCGAGGTTTTCTTTGTGTTCTTGGCTCGAGATGCCAGATTGATTCTGTGTATAGGAGACCACTGTTGGGTACTTCTTGAAGGGCTTTCGCCATGAGTACCTTTGCTTGACTGGTATTATTGGCTCGGCGCTCGATGCGAACGGATTCTGTCCAGAGTTCTGGCGATTTCGGAACAGCCAGCCTTGCCCGGTCGAGTACACTGCGTGCTTTGACAACAGCTCCAGTCCTTTCTTCGAGTCGAGAATACAGAAGCCAGAGAGGAACTGATCGCGGGCATGCTTTCGTACCGGTGCTATATGCTTCACGAGCTTGAGGCAATTTCCCTTCGCCCTCGTATATTTGACCCTTCATCATCCATAACTTTGCGGCAGCTGGGAAGAGCTGCAACGCTTGGTTGACAAGATCTAACGCAGCCTCGACATTGCCCGCTTGGCGCTCGAAAGATACACTCTTCATCCATACACGGTCTGTTGGTGCTTCTTGTCGGGCAGTCTTCAACAATTCTCGAGCTTGGTCTGGTTGCTGATTCTCTGCCTCAAGCTTCACTGCAGCTAACCAAATGTCTTCGTTGTTTGGATTTTGGTTGAAAGCTCTGCCCAGAACTCGTCTAGCGTTATCAATTTCTCCAGCTTGCCACTTTTCCTTAGCAAGCATCATCCACAATACCTCGCTCTGCGGACAAGCCTCTACTGCCTTCTCGAGAAGCTGCCATAATGCTTCTTTCGTACCGTGATTCTTTTCCAAATCTGCAGCCGCCAGCCAAAGCTTTCTGCTATTGACAAAAACTCGTAACGCGTAGGCATAAATTGCACGAGCTGTTTCGTAATTCCCCCGGCCAATACTTGACTTTGCATCTTCCATCCAGATCTCCTTGCGGTCATCGTCCTCATCAAGGCCCCATCCGAGAGTTTCCCGAATGACGTTGCCGCAAGTCAGCACAGCACCCTCTTCTTCACACTTCTCGGCCTCAGTGATCCACTCCTCTCGTTTCAGCATAGCAGATTCTTTTGCCAGTGCTTGGACCGCACGCTTCATTACATTGACCTTCGCAGCATTGCCTATCTGCTCCTGAAGTCGCGCAGCTGCGATCCAAATTTCATGGGAAGTCGGGATAGCTTTTCGGGCTTTGTTCAGAACCTTTTGCGCGTTCTCCGAGGATTCTAATCGTGCCAGGGCTAACCATAGCTCAACGGAAAGAGGAATAATCTCAGTTGCCTTGGCCAGGAGAAGTCGGGCATCAGCAGGATCTTCTTCGAGGTTCACGGCCTCTTTCCACAACATGACAGATTGCGGAATATGATCTAATGCCTTCCTGATAACTGTTTTCTTTGCTCTGGACTCGGACTCGAGTTTCATAGCCTCAACCCATAACCGTACGGACCTGTCGTTCTTCTGAATAGCATTTGATGCAATGATTTTGGCATTGTGGTTGTCGTTCAGGCGTATGTTTTCCAACCAAGCATCTTCGCTTTTGGGGCAGAATTCGCAACCTCGCGCAATAATATTACGAGCCGCAACCGTCTTGCCTGCCAACTCTTCCAATCGTGCAGCAGCGATCCAACCTGGCGCATGCTTCGGATTCGTTTTAATGACCGACTCCAGTAAAACCCGTACACGCTTGACATCACCCACTTGTGCTTCACCCTCGTTGACTTGCGATTTGGCCAGACTGGTGAGGTAACCTTTGGGATCAATACTGGTTGCGCTTCCAGCGACGGAGTCGGTTCCACTTCCTTGCGAAGCTTGATCCAGCCTGACCTTCAGGACCTTGTCTCTAGCTGCACCAATATCTGCGAAGTTCGTCATGGTTCCGTCTGTTCCATCCACCCCACCGGAACCGCCATCTTCAGCCACCGTTGTACCCAGCTCGCTCGAGTCTCTAGCTCCAGCAATGACGCTATCAGGCACCGCATAGAACCTTTGTCTCAGCGCCTGCTTATTCCTTCGATTTTTGCCAGTCAAGTCTCCAACCTCCGGTAGATTCGCCCAGTCTTCATCGCTAACCGTTCCAAGCGCTCGTTTCAAATCCGCGAACTGTTGTTGAATTTTAGGGTTATTCCGCTCGTATTCTTCTTGTTCGGCTTTCTCGCGTGCTTCCCTGTACGTAGAATGGTCGGTAATCTGCTCAACTATTTGCATATTTGATAAACCATCTGCAGCGACGGGGTGGGGGGAGTAAATAATGGGGAGACCAACCTTCTTGCCTTGCGCCGCCTATCCATCTTCTCATCTACCTCCTGGTAAATTCTATCCGCCTCGTCATCGTCCTTGTCATATGCCCCGCCAGCGAACAGTCCGACCTCGTTCTCTGGATCTTGAAATCGCTCATCGTCGCCCTCGTCTTCTTCTTTCTTCTCGGGGGCTCCGTAGGCTGTAGGTGCCGCTGCTCCAAGCTGTGCGGCGCGCTTTGCGAGGGCTTCTTTGATCTGGTCTTCACTTGGGCCTTCGCGCGCGGGACCAAGATCAGAGCGTGTCGTGAATCCAGTCGCACCACGACCGAGACCCGCAACATAATTCTCGGGCGCGGGTTGGTTCAGGAAATCTCGTCGTCCAGCCATGTCGTCTAGATATCTGGCTGCGTTCGCCTGAGTAGCCCGAGTAGTGTAAAATATATCATGAGGGTTCAGGTGACAAGGCTGCGATGGGGTTTTCGGCCTTGCTTCAATCGGGACTAGGCTATTTTGAGAAGTTGCATCCGAATGCTCTTCCATCTTGTATGAAATCCGTAGGGATATAAATACCAGTGTATCATTTTCAGGGATATGGAATGATGAGCAGGATAAAGAAACAACGTAGCTGTTTTACACTTTATGATACAAGGTTGCAATTAGGTTTTCAGGTACCAGCTCTAGAGAAGGTGCGTTACAAGTTATACTATACATTTCATGTACTATCTCTTATGGTTACGGAATGAAAGAACAAAATAGATATGTCAAGCGTATATCAATACCATTCACGGCTTCTAAAAAGCGTCAAGAACCTAGTAACACCTTTATACAAGTATAATACACACATCATAGCCCGCCCTCTCACTGCTTTACAAAGGACGATTGCCTCCATACACACTCCCCTTACCCCACGCCAGCTGTTTGCTAAGAAACTTTTGCAGAATCTCTGGATGTTTATGCACACTGGGCATCAATCCAATCCCAATACTTCTCCTGATAGCTTTGGCAATTCTCCTCTGATTTACGGGTCGCAAGCCGGTCTCCCTCGACGTCTTGATTCGTCCCATATCCGTCATGTATTCTGACATAATCGAGAAGTTCTACATCTCGTCAGTATTGGTTTGCACAACTATTCCACACGTCTTATACGTCCAGGTGAAACATACCCGATAATGATCCAACGGATTCATATCCAGGATATCGAAAACATCATGAGTAGGCCAGCTCCTTCTTTTCCACTTTGTCATCTCCACCTCACTCAGATCATGCGGCGCATACACATCCCCAGTCTTCCACCTCCGTGTAATCAGCTTGGTAAACTTGCCTGCCCGTTCAGAATCTTTTACATCCGCCACAGCGTCCGCTTTATGGTTGGTAGCATTACGCCGATCGTCGAAAAGGTGTTTTTGGGTCAAATTTAGAATAGCCTGGTTTGCTTTGAAGTTCTGGGCAGGAGGAGGGCGCTGAAAGTTGGTGCGGTTAGGAAGCTGCACTCCTTGATACTTTGTTGGTGGGCGGATGCCCGAATTTCCTCCAAATCGACTTGTTCGAGAAGGCGCTGGATCACCTATAGAGTCGAGGAGGCTGCGGGACTCGGGGCGCTGCGGGCCATCTTCTATACGATGTTAGATGGTGCTCGAAGAGGTAGAAGGTGGTCCAAGTACCAGCCTGCGCGATTCGAGACGTGGAGAATCCTGCACGCAGACACGGAATCTTCGTCGTTATCTGCTTCGCCGAATTGAGGCATTGTAATCGTGGAGGAGCCATCTTTCTTGCGTGGATACTCTGATCTCCTCAGTTCGTAGAGGAAGTGTCTTTCGACCTCAAGCTCCATAATAACAATTCTTTAGCGCCGCACTAAGGTTCTTCCGCTCCGACATCTATCAAAAAATATTTCCGAACTTTAACCCCGCCAACTTCACATTCAGGACAAAACAAACACAATGGTTCGCAAATTGAAGCATCATGAGCAGAAGCTCCTCCGAAAAGTTGACTTCACTACCTACAAAGGCGACAATGACCACAGAGACGCGGCGGTTATTCGGCGCTACAACATCCAAAAACCCAGCGACTATGCAAAATACAATCGTCTCGCCGGAAGCCTCAAACAACTAGCCCACCGCCTGTCCGCCCTTCCCCCAGACTCCTCCTTCCGACTGAAACATGAGACGCTCCTCCTCTCCAAGCTGCACGACATGGGTATCCTGCCCTCGACCTCCAGCACCGCCAAGCTATCCGAAGTCGAGAAGAACGTCACGGTGTCCGCATTTTGTAGACGCAGGCTTCCGGTTGTGATGACAAGGCTGAGGATGGCGGAGACGGTGCAGGCTGCTACGAAGATTATCGAGCAGGGGCATGTTAGGGTTGGGACGGAAACGATCACAGACACGGCGTTTCTTGTCACGCGGGGCATGGAGGACTTTGTTACCTGGGTGGATGGAAGCAAGATTAAGAGGAATATCCTGAAGTACAGGGAGAAGCTGGACGATTTTGACTTGCTATGATGGATTAGAAGTGGATTGGAATTGCATAGCGTGGCGTTCAGGATTAGGGAAAATTCATATGGCAGCTCGGTGAGCGGCCGTTTTCACATGACGTTCATAATCATACTGGGAATTTTGCAAGGCAAATTTGTTGCATTGATTTTGTACTTTTCGCGATCCCCAATTGCATTTTGCAAGTCCCTGAAGATCAACTTTTTTCGCGCTAAACGACATGTCACACTCCCATAAAAGGAATGCGTTTGCACAAGTGTGCCAGGCAAAAAATCAATTCCTATCTCTCCCACCAATGTGAGAACAAACGCTGCAAGTGCGCAAAAGTAGAATGCCTAAAGCGAGCTGTGCTAACAGCCTTTGTGCCCATCACAAGGATTTTGATACTAACGAGCTTCTACTATGCAGCCCCTGTTTCCATTTCACCACGTCTTCTTACACACATACACCATGGTAGTCGAAGGACCAACCGCCGTTGTAGTTGTGGTGAACCGGACCACGGGACCAATTCCACCATGGCTACGGACTTCTAGGTCGCAGCCGTTGCATTTCACGGTACTAGTGATCGTCGTGGTTGCAGTCCACTAGATGACGCGGGAGTTAGTTACTTCCTGTTCAAGAATCTTTTCAGAGCAGAGGAAGGACAATTTCCCGTTTCAGGATGTGTGCAGGGAGGAGTTTGAGTATATGAGATTAAACACAGTGGGTAATGAAGTTGTTCTTACTGTTGTCTTGACGGGCCCTTGGGTGAATGTTGCGGGAACGAAGAGGATGGTGCTGCACGTAGTTGGAATGACATCTTCTTTGACGGGTCCAATATTGGTGATCTTAGGATCACGCCTGTCGAGAGCAACAGTTGGATGGGCGATGGGAATGCTGTGATGACTAGTAGTGCTGCCACGGGCCACGGCTGCTGCGAACGGAGGGTGGACCGAGGTGGTGCTTGTGAGCCATAGGAGCTTTTTGAAAGAGCTGATTAAAGAAGACAATAATCTTCTTTCTAATCCTGGTATGTATCCGCAATATTGTTGCACGCAAAGTCAACAAGTGTAGAATGGAATGTAAATTGACATACACTCAGTCCAACCGGACGATATGGAGCTTAAGACCTATATTTACGAAAGAGATACTGGCTTCAGGTCGATTGAACTGGACGAAATGGAAAGATTAAGAACACAGGCGGAGGAATGGAATTGAGTTGTTTGGGCAAGTTCCAGGCTTCAGTGGAGAGTCCCCGTGCTGTCGCTTTAGATCAGTTTGATTTAATTGTCAAACATTGTTCTTCCAGTTGAAATTCTGCTTGGTCTGCCAGCTGACGCTAGAAAAGAAGCTGCCATTTCCATGAGTTCGATATCGGAGTCTAATGTATGTTAATATAAGATAAGTGTGAATTGGACTGGACAAGCGTACGAGCTAAGCCCATCATAGAGGCACACACTGGCAAGTGTTCAAGTCTCTTACTAATCCTAGATTTGTATTCTATTTGACCAACTGATCTGTTATATCGAGTTCCGAGAACAAGTTGGAAGGATTGCAGACTTACTAGGGATTACTATTTCAGGAGCACTGAGAATTGGCGCAAAGAGAAGAGGCTCCCAGAGATCTTGACCCGCTGTTGCGTCGAACTTAGAATAAAGTCAGCAATATTAGACGGTACGAAAGGTAAATAGTGGGCATATCTCGGCCATTCATCACGATAACTTGGTTTCACTTCTCTTAACGGCATCACAACGATTGTTTTCTGGACACCTGGCTTTATAACCTTGTTTAGAAGCCATTCTTTATAGACGCAAAGGCGCTTCAAAGCCTCTTGGTTCTGCTCAGGTGTAACATGGACAGCCCGATCCCTGTAATACATCAATATATCGAACACTAACTTGGAACGAGACTACAATACCAAAGGCTTATACCATCTGGAGGTGGCATAAAAGGATCCTTGTGAAATCTTTTCAGGTAGTCATGATGAAACTTCTCAATTCGTTTCCAGAATGAGTAAATATAAGTTCTCGAAGCAACCTAGATAGTTGAATAAATTCATCAGTCTGCGAAGCTGGAGATGACGTGGAATGTCAAGAATGGGTGAGAACTTTACATCATTGTTTAACCACTCTGGTAGCGTAAATCCTCTGGCTCCCACTGGCCCATCTTCAATCCATGAATGTTCTATTGATAGCTTCGTAGCTCGCACACCAAGATATTGTTCGAGGTCTTGAACAAATTCATGAAAGATATCCATCTGCTGCGTGTTGCCTGGAAGACAATCAACTGGGTAAATAAGCGACCAGGTGGTCTAGGTTTCATTAGCACGTCTCATTCTCCATTGACCCTGGGAAAAGTTACAGTCTCGATCGGCTTGTCAAGTTCATCTCCGTACCAAAAGCCGGCGACTTCTTTCAATTCTGCAATGTCCCTTCCAAATAGGCAGGGTGTATCGAATTGACTAGCATGGTTCAGAAGAGTGCCTAATAAACTAGAGCCGGGTTATATTTACGGTGCCCCAGACCACATTCCTTCTGTTGAGAGTGCCCCACAGGTTGGACGGAGAGAGAAGCAGCCATTTGCTTGAGCTGGCATGCGACCACTGACAGTAGCTAGATATTTGCGGTTAAATTTATTCATATCACAGAACCTGGACTCACAATCACTGCCGATTGCTATATCTAGCCAGCCATAAGCCGCGATGGCCGCAGGTTGACCGTTACTTCCCCCGGAAGGAGATTGATAGCCGTCGCCACGGGGATTGAAAGGCGCCTGGAAGTCAATACACTGAGTTGGATCAGTTGTTCCCACCATTGAACACAACTGTGTAAAACCCAATACCACAGCTCCAGATTCAAGTAGTTTCTGGATTGCTGGTGCAGTGCTGGCGGCCGGTGGATAAAGGTCTAGATAAGCTCGGCTTCCCAGAGAGTTTCGAAACCCTTCGATTTGGAACATGTCTTTGACAGTGATACGCATACCGGAAAGAGGAAAGGTTGAAGACTTCTCTGTGCGTAGACGTGATGGGACAGCAACGCTTCTAGCTGTATGATTAGTACCTTGGATAGAAAGCCTCGACAACTTTCTATTATGGGCGCTTATGGGTCGGAAAGGAAGTGTGAATGAGTTGATTGAATCTTCATAAAGCCTGTGCACGTCCCAATATCTTCTCCCACTGACAAGATAGGGACCTGGCAATGGAATTGGTCCATCCGCTGATGTAGTACCGCGGACCCACGAAGTATTCCAAGAGACTGGGAGTTGGAGGGATTCCAAGTCTGACAAACTTTCCATTGCATAGTTTCCGTGGACAATGATTCCCGACAGGAACTCTGGACATAAGACATCATCCTTAAGTAAAGCACGTTCCACAGAGCTCAGTATAGACTCTCGGAGAGACGAATGGCCTTCTGGAAGGTGAATAACGGTAATGAGACTCTTCTCTATGCAAGTATCGAATGTAAAGTCCTGAGCATATCAGAGGTGTACATATACGGGAGATTCTTCGATCTCGAAATACGCACCGTGTGAGTTGGGTAGGCAACATATTGAGAATCGCCAACAGCGAACATACAAGACTCCTCAAATATAAGATTAGTAGATAACATACTGGGTGGAAATGGGAGAGCATAGGTGCTATTACTTTTAGACGCTTCATATCAAGTTCGGAAAAAAACGTCAGCAACGCAGAAGCGGTAATATTCCGTCCGAATGTGCAGCTTTGCACAGCCTCCACAACTTTTCCCGGGCACTACCTGCATCTATTAGCCGGTGGGGGGTCCTATGGTTGAACCCCACAAGAGCCATTGCCGCTTCTAGGGAAGATAAGGGCCTGTTTGGTTCGCCTGAAATGTACAGATTAGCTCACCCGACCCTGACCAAGGTCTCGGATAACAGTAATCTGAACTTCCTGATTTGCAAGAGGACTTCGAGAAGCCCTTTTGAAATATTTACAAAACGCCAAACGTTGATTTGATGATCTACATGGAATGAGATTACAGATTATTCACAATAATCCCGCCACCGAACGAGCTCTAAGCAACGGTGCAAGTTTGCGACAATACAGGAAAACAACTTATTTCGGCCCTGTTACTAATATGGATTCGAGTTTTGGGACAACTTTATTTCTTTCATATCGGCTTGTAATGTAAGAACTTTTAAACCCGTTTTTAGCTGAGACTAATGAACGATTGGCTAGATTATCACGATACATTCATCTAATACTCGACCTCGTTCAATATTTTGGTTACTTGAGGCTGAAAGCTCTAGTCTCGTCGAATCCTTCCTTAACGCCAGAGAAAGACGTCACAGTAATTTCTTCGACTTTGGGTGAGGAGGAGAATTACATCGAGACAGTTAGGAGTTGGTTGGGATGTGATCCGAGGACCATTAATATCATCACAGTTGAGAGAGCAGTAAAACGAATGAAAATATTGATCGAAAAGCTTAATGATAACAGAATTAAGCTTTACACTGTCGAAAAGCCAGATATCCGCCGACAGCTTACCTTAGGCATTCAAAACACGGCTACTGAGCTGGTTGTATTGGTCGATGATGATTCGCAATGGTCTCCACAGACCTTGAGATATCTGGCTTCTGCCTTTTCTGACCCATCTGTTGGAGGAGCCAATACGATGCAGTATGTAAGGCCGCATTTGGATGGCCTGTCAATATGGGAAAGTTTTGGTGCTCTCAATCTTGTCAGAAGGAATATCTTGCATTCCGCGGTCGCATATTTCAACCACGGCCAAGTCCTAAATCTATCTGGGCGGACTGTTGCATATAGGACGTCTATCCTCAATAATGACGAATTCTTTCATGCTTTACTTAACGACTATTGGAGAAGGAGGTTTCGAATTACAACCGGTGATGATAGCTTTATTACTTCTTGGATTGTCAACCGCGGGTGGGAAACGGTGTTTTTGAACCAAGAATATGCAGTAGTTCTAACCACTGTTAATGACAATTGGACATACTCTAGGCAGGTCTTGCGATGGTCGAGGGATACAGCAAGGCATTATCTGAGGGAC